ATAACCTTTCGTCATTAGCGAGATAGTTGTAGACCCGTGCAAAGCAGGGGCGGGTAGCTAGTAATTTAATATAATTAACTTATTCACTTTGTTGAGAGTTTTGTAACGTTATACCTATTCTGCACCTCTACCCCCGTTTGCAGATCACCGTCATATGACTTCTACCGTACTGAATGGGGTTAGAGGGAGTTTCACTCGTGACTAAAAACCACCCTGTTTCTTCCCCTGCTCCAAGCCGAACCAAAGAACATCATTGAGCTTGGCCTCGTAACCCCGACCAGAAAGTCTAACTCTTAAGACGAGAAGAAGTAAATTATACCTACCTACGTAAATAAAATATTGATCATTGTGATCGTACCTGGCTACCCGACCGTTCGTTCCTACATAACTGTTAACAAACTAACAGTTGAAGCCGTATTTTAATTTCATTAGTACAAACCGGTAATTTCACGAATTTGTGGTATGATTTCAATACTTTAGCAAAATTATCGTTGAGCAGTTTATAAATGGCAAAATGAACAACTAGAAAAAATGAGTAGTCACATTAAGAATATTGTTTGAGTATGGGAGAGCCAACTTTCGGCAGGAATGGGTCGGCTCGACAGGATTGATACCGTGGCCTTACAGAAAATTGGCGTGAAACAACCACAACGTTGTGTTTAGCCGTGTGAGTGAGGTTACTGGAGGCCCAATCCTCCCCCACCCCCACCACTTACCAATCATTAAATACCCGTAACCCTTATCTCCCTATAAGAACGACAACGCACTCGTAACTCTTTTGGTGTTGCGGGTGTCTATGGGTGGCGCCAATTGCTTACCATCAGGTAATCCGTCTGCTGATTTGCCGACCTATACCGTAAAAAGGATAAGAATTAAATGGTAACAGAAGCATCACCTGATGGTATGCGATCAGTGCTGGCAGTAGACACCAAACAAAAAAGGAATTACAAGTGCTGATAAAGATGGATTACTCTCTCTAGAATGTCGCTAGGCAGCCTAACTTACTTATACATGTCATGAGGGATATTTAATGTATGGTACATCTTTGTACAGTTGCGTACACCAAGCAACACAAGTTAACACATTAGAAATATTTCCTGTCTCTACATAAGATATTTAAAGGTCACACTGAAGGTTGCATTAACAATAACAACAACTATGTACTGTAAACATGATAAGTTTTAAAAACATAAGGCCGATACTATTCGTCGACTGTCTGCGGAATGAATCGATCGATTTACTCTTTTATTCCGATCGATTTGCTGCAATGAGGTGGATAAAGTTTGAATAAAAGGTTCTTGTTATTAAAAAAAAAAATAACAACTTAGTTTCTATTACATCTGTGTGGCAAATGGGAATACTATTCAAATGTATAATATAGACTATAATATATTTAGACCAAAACACATAAAAATAAAAGTAATTTTTTAGGTAGGTGCTGTGTTAAAACAAATAAAACTGGCGTAAAACTCTAAAATACTGGCTGCATAGCACAACACCCACCCACTTCAACTTTAAATTTAGAATTAAACTATTTGGACTTTGAGACGGTCAGGCGCATTTATTTCTACTAGTTTTCTAGATTTTGTTTTCTTGCAATCTTTTAAACAGTTTCTAATGTAAGAACTTTTAAATTAATTACTTAACGGAATTTTTTAAGCTCATAACGTCGCATTATCTGAAATGCTAGGTAACCAAGTCATGTCTAATTACATTTTATCAAATAATCAAACCAATCATCATCGCCATCTGGCCTTTCAAGCCTGAATCAATAATAAATAAAATATATAAATATGTACTCAATGACATCTACTCTATAACGAAGCCTTTACCAAGCAAAACTAATCCAAACTAATATTATAAATGCGAAAGTAACTCTGTCTGTCTGTCTTCCTGTCTTTTCTTCACGACTAAACTACTGAACCTATTTGTGTGAAATTTGGTACGGACATAGTTTGGAACTCGAGAAAGGACAAAGGATAGCTTTTAAACCAAAAATCTGCAGGAAGCCATTATTTCACGCGAGCAAATCGCGGGCAAAAGCTAGTAAATAATTATATTATTTACTACCTTTTTTTTACTGACATAGCAAGAATACTTTCTAGAAAACCTGTTACACAAAACTGCAATATTGGAATTATTTTGATGACACGTACGATTTACGAAAATTTTTCCATGCACCGCACTACATATTTTATTATAATAACATGTCAGCTAGAATTTTAACAATACCTATTGTATCATTCATTTAATTCTAGCTTTAACAATTGTTTTTCAACATCCGATCGGATCTGGCCATAGAGTTTACATAGCTATTGTTTAGAAGATTCTAGATGGTAATTGGATGAAATGAGGATGAAGAGCTACAAAATTCCATGGTTCTGTCTCAAAGGTTTTCAAAACTATAAAAACTAGTTTACTTTATTCGCTTCTGTTCATTTAATTACGACAAACATTAATTTATTGCTTTTTACACAATTATTTCTACCTAGACATCTATAATCCACTACTCGTAGATGGCCATATAGAGAAAATGGAACGTAAATAGGTAATTTGTAAGAAGTATATGCCACATAAGCTTTTTGTGTACACAATGAGATAGTGAAAAAAGGTTCTAATATTTTGCAAAAACAAACATTTTGTACCAAATGGTAAAATGAAACACGAAAGAATAAAACGCAAAAACAAAATATTGACAATACACATACCTACCCCGCGGTTTGAGATTACACGTCATTTTCGTAGAAATTGATTAGATACGTATTATCGCAGAGGTGAATGTTTGTTTACCTAATTTTGGCTACCTACGACCAAAGTTTAATGTTAATTTTACAAGGGGCCATGTTAAAGGGTATGAAAACAAAGATACTAGGTGTTAGGTATAGACAAAAGTTTTTACCTTTTTAATAAATAAAATTTCAATTTTTTTTTTAAGAAATTAAGAAGTTCTCAGTCGCATTGTTAATTGTATATTTTTTTGTAGGATGATGGTTGTGAAATAACTTGGATAATAGACTAATTCCATTATGTAATAACGCTTCGGTATTTAAAAATTAACATAAAGAGAAAGTGTCAGTAGTTCATAGAAAAGAATTTGTTTGGTGGTAACATGTTCTTAGGGAAACATTGGCACAATATTAATGAACAATATTTTGAATATAAACTGGTCAAAAATAATGACTAAAAAAATTAGTTATTCCTTAATTGGAATAGTCACGTAGGTAAAAGAGGGTGAGTCAATAACCATTCCCTCTACCATTTATGATATTCTGAAAAATCAGGAAGAGGATCAGTGCAACCGGAGTGATCAATCAGCCTTACAAAAAACATACATCAACCAAACATTCTCCATACCCACGTGTAATCCCCCCTCCCCCTCCTTCAAGGGAAAAATTACAAGTCCCCAGCTGGCAACGCCCCTGAACTCTGGTGCGCATGGGTGGCGCCGAATGCTTAGCATCGGGCGATAGGTACATATATACATGTATTCGTTTTCCGCGTTATCCCATAAATAACATAAAATAACCAATGTCTAATAATCCAGACCATTACCGTGACTCTCGAAGTCGCGGATGCGAGCACTCCAATGAAGCAACCTAGTTTACGAAGTCTTAAAAAGAAGTATAATTAACTTTCATTATATAAGTTATATAAAAAAATAAACAAACTAAAATGATTTCATGTTATCACCACTAGAGGTCTGACAGTGACTGATAGAGTCTTGTATCTCGCTTCACCGAGATTATTAGTTTCACCTTGACCAATAATAATGGCCGCTTTATATTTAGATTCAATCCACTGCTGCTGTTGCATCCATTTTATTTGTTAAAGGGAGCATCCTGTTGAGAATGCAATCATGTCAATTGCATTCATATTCTAAAGGGGAATGATGTACCTAGCTAGATTTATAGAGCTGTTTAATACATCAAAGCTTAAGCGAATGCCAGTGTTTGCGCACTTATTCCTACTATTGTATCTCATATAACAACGATTGAAAGGTACTTTTCAAGAGATTACTTCTAAAAGATCTCTTTTAATGCTCGATGATTATCAGAACAATAAGTTCCAACTTAAATAATAAAATTTTAAAACCTTTCATGTCTGCTACCTCCACAATGAACCTCTTTTTCGCAGTATGGTGTTAATTATTTATGGAAACCAGGTTACAGCTGTTAAATTGAGGTGGAACTAGCCAATAATATTTTCTAATAGTCTTTGTTACATCCCAAGTATTAATACACAGTCCAGGACATGAAACTAGCCAAAGTTGTACAAGACTTTTTTTTACTAATAACAAAGTGATAAATCATCAATTTGACAGAAAAAGCAGGTTAATAAGCCAGTGTCCATACAGCCAAGTCTGTCCATTAATATGTAAACTGTCACTCCATTTATCTAATCAATGCCCACATTGTGTTGAGAATCAAAAGATAAATAATCTTATCTTAACAATTTAGACAATGAGACTAATTGAATAAGTATATATTTAATCAAAGTTTTAAAAATTATGCTACTTATGTCATAAGAGGTAGCAATGACCCTGTTGGTAAACTAATTAGTATAATACCAAGTTCCATAAGACAACGAATAATTTGCTTTATTTTCAAATTCTAAAAAGATTGTATAACTAAATCCTCACTCATAAATAAATGTTATTAAACAAAGGCTACTCTGCAACTGACTAACTATCTATTAGTAATATACTCGAAAACCAGTGAACAAAATTTGATATGACGGATTTGAATGCACAACTGGTGGCTGGGCAACTGGGTGCTGTGCAACATGTTGCAAGTTCGATTCGAACAACTCTTTGTGTGATTCACAAATTGTTGTTCCTGGTCTGGCATCCACAACACAGGACAAAATCATGTCATTAGAAATACTCTTGATGAAGGAGTTATTTCTATCCTCGTCGGTAGCTTGTGCATATTTAAGTACTGCAGATGAAGTCACAGTTGGAATTTAAGGTTTAAATAATTATAATAAAACGAAAAACTTACCTCTCTCCCCATTTAGGCACCCTATTTGTCTTGGTTAAAACTCTCTTTGTGTATAGACATCCATCTTTCACTTCTCTGCTCCATGTATCTTCTGACAGGACATGGGTACTGAAAGGAAAGAAATTGTTTAAAGCATTGCTATATTATCATCATCACCTTTATCCTGTGTGAAATGCCAGGGGTGAACTTTCAGCACCTTCCTTATAGGAGGATTTCCCATTACCTATTAGAGAGGGTTTGAGATTAGAAACAATTAAGTACAAAAGAAAATATGAATATAATATGGGTCAAACCACACAAGCAAACTAGATGAGTAAAATGGATTATGAAATACACAGAGGTTTGGAGGTTGAGGTCGTATCAATACAACTTTTTCACTGTCTAAATCTTTTGTCGAATTGGGTTCTGACCATAAATTTCACACAGCTAAACTGTGTAGTTACTATAGATATGCATAAAATTGTCATAATTCAATTTATTTCCTTAAGCAAATCCAATAAGCTTGTGTAAGCAACTATTGAGTTAAGGTATTACTAATGCATGAGTCATGACTAAACAGTTGCAAATAAACTATTAAGTTGTGTTATGCCTACTTCTATAAATTACAACATCAAGAAAATGTGTTTGATAGCTGTCCAACTATAGAACCTACTGCAGATTGAAACAATCATTGGATTTTTAGATCAACTGTTGAGTTGCTAGAATATATTCATATTTAGAAAACACTACCAAATAATTGTTCAACTTAACATTCTATTTAATGTTTGTGCTTGCCCTAATTTTGACACTAGTACTTTTAATATTTATTATTGTTAAGTATTAATATTTTATCAAATCACAACTAATGAGGTTAATTATATTGATATAAAATTCTTCCTCTCAACACAATATTCTTGACACAAAATTGAGTGCTGATTCTATATTGTTAATGGCAATAAAAATGAAAACAACATTAACCTGATCAATAAAATAGCATTTTGACCTTGAAGAAATCTTAGCACCTCATTTGGATTCAATTATTCAATATTACTTTTTAATAAGCACTTAATAGCTTCAATGAGGTGGAATGCAACATAACCTAAGTATATAGACACTATGAAATGAAACAGACTTCTTCTATTTTCAAAATGAATAAAAATAAAAAGTTTTTATTTTTGTCTATTATTGATGATTTTGCTTTATTGACCATGATATTAATGTGTAGGCCTGACCTTGTATCATACTTGAAATACTTAAAGATGTTTGGTCACTAACAAATGGACTTGTTACAAATCAACTTAATAGATAGTGTTTAACTTTTTAGTTTTTAGTATTTACATGGTGTGTGACATAGTTATTTATTGAATATGCATATTAAATATTGTACAAAATTTTATTGTCATAAAAGTTTACAATAAACACATCTGTTTTATAAATATAAATATTATGCATTACTATTTATTATTTTTAAGCCTATTCTGTTTTCATAAAACATGCAAACATTACTCATCTTTTGTAGCTGGAAATGTTAAATATATTAACATAAAAGTTAACATTTAGCATAAAATTATTGACCATCAAATTTTTAAGGCCTCATGAATCAAAACAAAGTCAAATAGAAGAAGCATAAATTTTTAATAGAGCCTTGATTCATATTGAGCCTAGTTCTTAATATTATTTCAATATTTGTTGTAATGGTAACCTTTCGTTGTACATGACTACACATGCTGTTGAACTTTGATCAACACAATGAATCATTAATTATTCCTTCTATATAAATAAATAACAGGATGGACTCACCTCTGAGGGTTTGGGTACCTCTTCCAGTACCCGCGGGTTACTTGATCCCAACTAAAGTTAAAGGTAGACGTGTTTTCAAAATATCTTGCCATTTTTTTCACTTTTTGTGGAACTATTTTCTTATTGGAATGATTGTAAACAATGAACTGACAAGTTCAGCATAACACCGAGCTCATTATTTCTGTAAAAAAACAACAATGATTCTCTTAATAACAATGTTTTCCGATTTACGATTTTTGAACCGTATCCGATTACATAAACATAATCTATGTAGGTCACAAGATGAATATATTTAAGTTTGGCTTTACCATGCCTCTCGCGCACAAAGGCTATGTGATCATGGTCACGTAAGTCGACAGGTTTAGTATATAACGAAGTAAACAACGTTCGTTCAACTTTACTGCAGTCTCCGAAGACTACAATATTACAATGACACTAAGCGGCACATGTGCCGAACTAAACTGTCAAGCAAGAGTTAATTAAAACCACATTGAAAATACGTAATGTCTTTGTATATCTATATAATAAATATCAACAACTTCTACCTAAAATAATAATAAGAACTTACCAACAAGCCGGAGGAGGTATTGGATTGAATTTTCGTGTAACCAAGATTCCGAAATTGATCTTAACACGTCTACCGACGCAGTCAAAGATGTCTATTTTGACCGTAAGTTAAATGAAACAGTCGCGAAACACATGTTATCATTCATATTTTCAGACTCGTTTTGATAAAATTTTGATAACTATACTATTGACAGATTATTCGAGAGCCCATTTGTAATACAGATTATAAAAGTCATGAGCATGAAATGTATGACAAAACCATAGAGAGGCAAAGACAATTTACCGGATGTTCATCTAAAGCTAGAAATACAACATATCGTGCTTAGTGTAGAATCGCGCAATGTTTTTCTTTCTTTTTTTTAAATCACATTAATGAGTGATGGACTGCAATCCCACCTAATGGTAAACAGTAATGCAATCGTTGATTGTAAGTCGCGCTAATTTATTAAGAGCCTATTCTTATAATCATAAATGGACGGGAAGACAGTGATTTATTTCTGCCATAAATTCTTGATAGACAAAAACAAGGAACAGATTGATAATGTGATTCATTATTTCTTATTTGTAACTAAATCATGAACCCCCAAAATATTTTTTATCAGCTTCTAATCGCAGGCTCTCGAAAGTAAAAGACTAAAAAGTATCTTTTACAGTCTATGTGACAGGAAGAGCTTAGGGCTTCTATAAAAATATTACAACGACAATTTAAAAAAATGGCGGCGTTTGCATGTTTCAGTAATAAAAACGAAAAAACACCAGCTGCTTACAAATCACTAATACAAAGATTAAGAGATGATGGCGAGGATGCGGTTTGTTCGAGAACTAAATTTATATATTATTAGATATATTTATGTAGAAATATGAAACAGGTGTAGCATAACCTGCATAGATAGATACATGATAGATACTGATGAAGTGATGAATATCTCAGTCCGAGAGATTCTGATTTAAATGGCAGATGTCCACACCGCCCACTTATAAGTTTAATCATACATAATATGTACTTACCATATGTGCCACTTATGGCTAAACTAGGTATTACTTAACGATCATTAGTGACTATAGATATACCTAGTACCTGCTAACGATATATCTACCTTCATATTAAATATGTTAGGTGTTATACAAAATAATAAAATAGATACGTAGATAGTCTAGCAAAATAATACCGGCGGCAAGCAACACTAAAGTTCTGTTTCGTCGTGTGAGTGAGCTTACCGGACGCCCAATCCTTCCCTTGCCCTCAACCTCAATCCCTAACCTCTCCTATCCTTATATCCCGATTAACCCAAACGAAGCCGGCAACGCACTTGTAGAAACTCCTCTGGTATTGTGATTATCCATTGGCAAAATCAGGTAGTATGCAGACCTATGAACCTACTAGACGTAATAACAAACCAATTCGTTTTTTTTTTTAATCCACAGATATCAAACCACTGTCCGACTGGTAACATCGTTAGCTTTCAATATTATTCAGCTCATAAGGGGGATTTACGTCATACCTACAAAGATTTCATTTATAATTTGAGAATGAAGATGTTTGAGGATCCATACATCCTGTTGTGTGAAAATCCCACGCCGATATTTAAATATTTCGTTCGACTCATCGAAAGTTTGAAACTCGGAAACGGTGTAACTTCCTGTTTTTATTACGGAGAAATAAAAAAGATTATAACTGGTTTTATAAATTACTTTACATTTGTAATTGACGATGTGGTGAAAAAAATTGACAAATACACGCACTTACTGGATAATAAGCTTTTTGTTAAGTTAATTGACGAAACTGTACTAATTTATGAAAATAACCAAACAGCTTTTCTTAAAGAATATACACCCATAACAAATGATGAAGAAAGAGCGACTTTCTATCAAGTCGTAGAAGGACAAGAAAAGTTTTTAGCCTTTTTAGCAGATATGAGGCAGACGTGGGTTTCCACACCAAACAAATTGGATACATTTGCAAAAGACTGCTTTCAGGGCTCCTTACAGAAAATTAGTAACTTGTGTAACTTCGTACATTCTTATCTATCGATTATGTTGGCAGACAGAGTAAGTATCTATAAGTTATATTAACTAAGTACCTATGCAATGCTTGTTTCAAAATGTTTGAATAGCCATTACCTACCTACGCTCCCAGCTTCCTATAAATTTGAATATAGAACGTAATTTATAACTATAACTACGTGTCATAAGTCCCTTTACCAGAATTAGGTAACCAGACAAATTGTTCAACCAACTAAAACTAGGAATAGCTATGCATCACTACCGTACTATCAAACCCTTATCCACTAAAAGACCGGTAACGCGCTCGTAACTCCTATGGTATTGCGGTCCATAGGCGGCGCCGATTACTCGAAATAAGACATATCTACATTTCTTGAAATGATGACCACAATAATTTTCTCTTGTTATCTACAGCTATATGAGATATCTGTGAGTCTGACAGAAATAGTAGACCGTCTGAATACGAATTTGCGTAAACACAACGAGTACTGCGCGGACAAGATAAATGACCTCATTCAAAATCTCTATGAAAAGAACAAGGAGCATCTGGAGATATATAGACGTGTTAACAAAAGATCCGTGGATTCCGCTGAAGTTCGTATTTCAAATTCATGTTACTTTATAACGTTGTAGTTTTAGGGATTAATGAAAAACTCAAGATTCCCAAAGTGGAAACTGTACTGTAAATGAGGTCAAATTGACACCGGCGTAAGGTAATCTGTAAGTATAAGGCTGAATAGACCTGTTTGTCTAACTACCTATCCCTCAAATAGCCAATAGACCACCACAGATGGGGCCCAATCCCAACATGGCCCATGCTTAGCCAGCGTCAAGTTCAATAAGGTACCGGCCTGGACCTGGAGCAGGAGAAGGAACGGGAGGGTTTTTAGTAAGAGTCTGACACTCCCTCTCCCCATTCTCTGGACAAAAGAAGTCATTCGATGTTTTTCCCTCCACAAAAAAGGCCTGTAACTATGTAGTTTCACTATCTTAAGTGTGGGAGAGCCATGCTTCGGCACGAATGGGTCGGCTCGACCGGAGTGATACCACGGCCTCATAGAAGACCGGCGTGAAACAACCACAGCGTTGTGTTTCGCCGTGTGAGTGAGGTAACCGGAGGCCCCAACCTTCCCCGCCCCCAATCCCTCCTCAATCCATAAATCTCCAAATCCCTAACCCTAAAAGGTCGGCAACGCACCTGTAACTCCTTCGTTGCGGGTGTCCATGGGCGGCGCTGATTGCTTACCATCAGGTAATCCGTATGCTCGTTTGCCGACCATTTACATAAAAAAAAATCTAGTCATGGGTCGCATTAACCAATTTCTTTTAAGGTTTCAAAAACTATAGAAGACCTACGACAAAAGATGAAACAAACAGGCAATGAAGAGACTATCGCCAGACTAGAGTTAGAAACTCGGTACTGGAACAAAAAGATAAGCGACTTCAATGAAATTGCTAAGATCCTTATTAAGAACCGCTTGGAATTTTACAAGTTGCATGATGATCTGGATGATTATAAGAGTATAAGGTACGTACCTCACACCTGAGAGAGCTAAATTTATAGACTGCACGGTTGACGCGGTCGCTTGGCAACCGTCTGCTCTTGCAATGTGTGTGTGGGTTCGAATCCCGCAAGGAACAACTCTAGTGATCCACAAATTCTTGTTTCGAGTCTGGGTGTGATCTGTATTTGAAATTGTAATCCACGAAACAGGACAAAATCCTAGTGTGGGGCAATGTTTTTTTTTTTAAATATTGAAATTACCGATTTCACGTAAATTATGTGAGTACCTACAGTGTGTGACGTGGCGATGACATAGTTATAGTCTACTCACATACTAGTCATGAATATGAGTCCCGTTGTGACTTGAAACTAATATTTAGCGAGTTTGCGAGTTTATTTTTACTTTCGAAAAACTTTGTATGTAACCTAGGCGGCCTAGACCGCTAGGTATGTCTCATAACTAAGCAAAAAGCTTTTCTGTGAAGTTCTAGAGTTCAGTGAAAATAATATTGTGATTTTTGACACGGGCTCGGGTAATATTCGAAACCTTTTAATGTGCCCAAATAATACTAACACATTATTGTAACATCTGGTATCTCTCTTTCTTACATACCTAGTACCCCTAAGTACCTGCTCGTAAATGGCAAAGAGTGTGATATCTACCTTCTAAAGCACCTGTATAAATCAATATCTACGAATGGACAAACTTAACTTATACCTAATATAAAATTTCAAGGTGCAAAGACTTACCCGGTACAAAGACCATGTGCTTCGATTTGATTGGCGAGAATTTAAGAGACAGGATCGCTTACCTTGATAGGAAAGAACTGGTTGTGGCCAGGACCCTTATCACGTTCTTCTGTGTTCGAGGTAAACATTTTTTGCCGTTTTACAAGCATCGCATTGTTACATCATAAAGACATAAAGAAGTCTAGTAGGTAGAGCTAAGCTTCTCGGCTCGGCTCGACCGGAATGATGTCACGGCCTCATAGAGAAATCGGCGTGAAACAACCACAGCGCTGTGTGAATGAGGTTACCGGAGGCCCAATCCTTTCCCGATATCAAAATCTCCTATTCCCTTATCTCCAAAAGGTCCGAACGCACTAGTAACTTGTTATTACCAGTGTCCGTGGGCGGTGGTGATTGCTTACTATCAGATCGTTTGCCGTCCTATCACATAAAGAAAATTTCACAGTGGCGTTGTTTATGGGGAAAATTGAACTCGTACAATTGACAATGGGGATCATTATATGTATTTATTTACTATCTCTACATTTCCGATATTTCCAAGCCGAAGGCCAAATTGATCCCTCAACACCCCAAAAAGCATTTATTTGCCTCTAGCCTGAATGTCTTCCAGCTAATAGTGATGAAGTACTATCAATCGCCCAAAGTCCAGAACAATTCGTCAAGGTTTTGCGTAGTGCTTGTGCTGATCATTATAATTATAGGAACGGATCGCGACCTATACACGGATAGTGTCGGCTCATACTACTGCGATGAGTTCTACCATCAGAACTACATCACTAATTATGGGCTCAAGTATTTTCATGTCAACTGCGACGGAGACTTCGTGGAGGTAAGTTACAATCAGGTTTTAAAATAGATCAACTTGAATGCTGTTCGCTTTTCTTTCTTTAGATTTATTCCCCTGAAATGCCCAACTACTGTAGGACATACAATTTATAAATAAGATTAGGTATTACAATTGATATACCCTTAGTCTTTGCGGAGCTGGGTTGCAATATTTAGATTATAGTTAAGTTTTAATTATGAAAATTTACTTAAAAATGATAAATATTACTCGTTCCTCAGAACGTGGAGACTGAACCGTATTACTTTGACGAAAATGGCCGCTATGTCATAAGGGACGGCGAGAAGTTCCATCAGTGTGCGCCCTGCACCAGTTTGTACAAGCTGACTGAAGATGGGTTCTTCCAGAAGGTCACTAAGGACTGCGGCCATTCTGAGAGAGTCAATCCTAACTGTCGGATGGAGATTAAGGATTTGACCGACGCTGTTATATTGCCTAAGAATGACTTTGTTGATATTACTGGTATGTTTTCAATTGCACAGTTATTAACGACGCGTCTTCCTCGTGTTTTGACCTAAGTAATATGATCGATGGAATTTCTATATCTACCTATCCGTCTTCCTTTATTAGACTCCTTTTTTAAAAAGTTTTATTATATTTATTTTGTCTTTGCACGCCCTTACTTTCCGTACTTCATGACCTACCAACTAGAGAGAGGGCATCAACAGATACGTCCCGACTCCCATGCCCATCTGTCTACAAAGTGTAGGGATCTTAAAAACCACATCATGTTCCTCTCCACACCTTTCAAGTGATAAAGATACCTCAAATACCTACGTAGTGTCCATAAATTACATAAAAATGTCCCTGTCATCACCAGGTAAACTCGACAGTGATTCGGTGAAGTTCCTTTGGGACAGTTTCGGAATGATACTGCCTGAAGTCTTGTACGCAGTCGCCACGCATCAGCCTAAAAACCCTATACACTACATGGCCCATATACTGATCAAGCGAAGGTGAGAAAATGAAAGATATACCTACTTATAGAAAACTTCTTAAGTAAAAAATATATTATAGCTACACATAAAAAATAAATGCTCATTATTGATTAGGTGGTTAATGCTGGGGCCACACTAACGGGAAATGCCAATAATTATCGCGATAATAGATGATATTAAACAATGTAACGTAGAACATTGGTTTAGTGATCAAATTACACCTAAGATTAACGTCCATTATCGCGATAATTAATGGTATTTCCCGTTAGTGTGGCCCAAGCATAATGAGAAGGTAATTTTTTTTCTCGGAACTTTAGATTCGAAGCGACTAAGCAAGAGTTCCGTAAACTGACGAAGAAGGCGGATAAGTACCGCACTAAACTTCACGAGGAACGCATTCAAGTGAGTTTATTTCGTCATTTTTTCTTACAGTGAGGAACTGGTGCACTGGGCACTCATTTTAGTATGTTTTCTGAGTACCAAACAATCAGAGGTCTCAACGTGCTAACGTTTCGGTCGCCTATACTTAGAGCAAACTTGCCCTAGGCCACTTACCTCAGCGAATGAGCTGAAAGGCCATACAAAGCGAGCCTGTAATAAACTGGTTTTGTATGTTATAACTTGATGTGTAGCCCAACTAATCCAGTACGCACTACTGGATAAATTGTTACTTGTTATACCTACCGGTCAAAATAAAGAGCTCTACAGCTGACTGCTGAATACTTTTAAAGTAAAAAATATATAAATATACCCATAGTAAACTCAATTAGATATCCTGCGGTACGAAGATAAATTGGAGCGGTTTTTCTTCTTTGCATTGCTTGATATTTACTATTCATAGTCAGTAATTGTACTTATTGCTGCATATTTTCGTATGTTCGACAGAAAACCAAAGCCGAGAGACTTGCGTGGAAATCTAAGTTGATCAAGTATGCCAAGCCCGAAGATTTGGATGACACCCATCAACAAGCGATGAGCATGCAAAATGTTTCTGATTGGACGTTCCTTAATTTTTTACAGAATTACTAAGATTTTTTATTTCATTTACATTATATTTACCTTCATATTCTACAAAATTGATCTATTGTAACGGTTAAAATCTTCCGGGCGAGAAAAAGGGATGGAGATATAAAAGGTGTATAGCTCCATCCCTCTCTTCCCTACAGCCTACTGTATGTCAAAGTCAAATAAGCTTAATTAGTTATTCATTCAATGGCCTGAATAAGAAGCTGTTTCATGAATGACTGTTTTTCTATTTCAGTCAATTTGAGAAACATTTTATTTGAGATTTGATTTCTTTATGTGTTGCAGTTCTAACATAACCTAACCTACCATTCTAGTACTACCGTAATACCGCCAACGTATCTTGGCGAGTCTGAAGTTAGCCGATTAGCTGCGCAGTACACAATTTTGTTCCTAAAAGATCCATTGCGCAAACGAACGGCTAACTTCAGACTCGCCAAGATCGGGCAGCCGTACTGTGGCTAGTTTGTTTTTTAAAACTCACTTCACCTTTGGACTAACAGCTTCAGAACTTTGAATGACTAACACGCGGTTTCCGAAAGGCTGATCAATGTTAAAATCAATTTAATCACTAGTCAAGTCATCTGATTGGTTGACTGAATTATCAACAACCAATCAGATGACTTGACAAGAGATTTGACACCTAGTTAGTTGATTTTAACATTGATCGGATTTTCGGAAACCGGGCATAAATAAGCTAGTTGCCTGCGACATATACAGATTTACTGACTAATAGGAAATTCAAGTTGTATTTAGGCAAATAAAAAATTGTTTTGCAAACGAACAAGCTCAATGCGACATATCGCCTGATTACAAAAACGTAGTTGAATCGCATCAATATTGCGAATTTTCCAGATCACAAGTTCATAATATAATTTCTTTAACATTTTGCTTTGGTGAAACGAAACCGGAAATTTAAATAAATTATATGTGATTAAATACTGAACTTTATCAGCATAATAATTGGTTTTATTTAACACTAGTAGCGGCCTGCCCCATTTTCACAGAAGTTTCCAAATACCCCACTGACGACGAAAGGGTTTTGGTTATTATCCCCAGCACTCAACTGTTATATTTTCTTTTACAATAATCTTGACAGTAAAGAAAAGAAATGGCAACATTATTCCAGGCGTCGCGTCGTTGAGTTATGCACTTACCAACACATATTGAGTTTTTTTTTTAATTTTAAGGTATTTACTACCTCATAGCATAACAGCATCACTGTTTCTTGCTAAAGACCCAATTAAAAACAGAAAGGGTTTGATATATTATGGCTATGTTATGTATCAATACTAAAAAAATGTTTTACACTTTATTGAGTATATTATTATTCTATAACGACTGGTGAGTGATGTATGTTTTCAAACACAAGATCACATTATAAATAATTTATTTCCATGTTACCTAAACACTAAGCTACTCCGAAGGTGTGTGTGTATGTGTAGATAGTTAAGAATTCATTCAAAAATATCCCTTATTGACACTATAAACTTTAATATTATATAAATTACACTTTGAGTCCACTTACTGTACACAGATAAGTAAGCTTTATATTGTCTACGCCAAAATAATAAAGTAAAGAATATGAAAACGTGTACTAGGGCAAGATAGAGCGAGTAGGCCTTAATTGCAGGGTGTGTCCATCAGACTTGACATTCAGAGATTCTTGTAGGCAGACTTGAATACAATTTGAGTACATTAGTCATAGTTAGACTCTATTTTTCAAGTCAATGGGGTTAAGCAGCCAGCAATTAACAGCTACACCCTAAAAAGCTACACACTGCAAAACCACAAAAGCGGGGCCTAACAAAATAAAAGAAAAATAAAAAATATGTTGTCAAGGTACAGGTATTTATTGTTCAAGCGTCTACTAGATAATAACGAGACACACTTTGTGAGACGTCGACTTTCGTCCGAAAGCAAATAAAAAAAAACAACAGATGACACACGTCCCGGATGGACACTAAAATCCAATTCAAAACCCACTGTCTAATATTAATATTTGGTTTAATTAAGAAAATAATGGATAATCAAGTGGAACGCAACCGTCACGTGGGGACAGAAGGGGGCCCATGGCACTAACGTCACGCGGTGCCTCCGTGCTGACGGGACATTCGAAAAGCTAGCATCAAAGGCACATTTTGAATTGGCATTCAAATCTAAAACACAGTACAAAAACACAATTTATAAGACAATACAAGAACGCAATGTTTACCTCGACAATGGGTTGAAAAGGGTAATAAAAATATTTTGGTAAAAATATAGAAAATAATTTGATGGAAGCAATATCAAATGACAAATTTGGGGTCATAGCGAATCACTGACGCAAGGCAGCATAACACGACCATATTTTTCACCCGAGAAGTTCAGCGGCGGCGTGCGATTGTGTGGTCACGTCCTTGACAATGTACTACAGGCTATATATAGTAGGAAAATATTACTAATGCGTATTCTGCTGTCTTGCACAAGATTAAAATAATAAGTCGCAATAGCTTTGCTACCACCAATAAAATAGATAATTATTATTTTAAATCTAGGAAACATTTTCTGTATTTTTATTTCGTAATATATTAAACTAATTTAGATATGGTTTGAATTTTTCAATTAAGAACGTTCGAATTTACAAATGTACTATTCTTTAACTGCCCCGACTGCAAAAGGGTCGCAGGCTAGAAGACATTGTTGAAAGAGTAGTCAAGTACAATTTGTAAATAGAAACATAATGTATTATTATAATATTAGGTTGTTATTACTTCAATCGTAAGATATAAGTACTAAAACAATGCCTCCTACGTCACATTTGAAAACCTTTGAAATATTTTTGTTCAGTAAAAACTATTTAGTTACATTATTGTGTCAGGCGATGGAAATACATACAACGTTGTTTGGTTTTAAACACTCCAATGATATACTTACTATTACTACTAAATTGGTCTTTCCTTTTGAGACCGTATTTGAATAATACATAAATAAGTAATCACTATCATCGCGAATTACAACAGAACGCAAAGCGGCAACTAAAACTAACAAACGATATAAAAATAAGGATTGTGATGACGTCATATGTATTTCCACGAGTACTGACACGATAAACTCCTCACAATTAGTTAGTTACACGCTAAACCGCACAAACAGGTACAAAAGTATTTTTTTTCTATTCTCTTTTATTTACAAGAGGTGAATATCAGAAGTGAATAGTACACATAGAATTTGGTAACAACAATATATGACAAAATGGAATTCGGTCTAATATGTTACATTGTACGGCAACAGACTACGCGTATCGAATGATTAGTTACGTTCCTCATCTCTAAGTACGAAGCAAAAATTTAAAAGCATACCCAATATTTCTTTAGATAACGCGTAACTTTTAAAAAGCGATTAAATCTAATTTCATACTTTCTGTAACACGAAACGAAGTACGATAAATTTTATGAAATAAAAAACTAACAATTAATATTACCCCATATTCCAATTCCCGATTATTAATTCTAGTTTATACTTTTAAATCAATAAAGGTTACTTTGACGTTTTGGATAATGACTATGTATGTTGTAATAAAGAAAAGAATATGTACAAAAATGAAACTAGGTATTTATTATTAGAATTGAGAAATCAATTAACCAATCTTCCTTAGGCTTTCTTGTGAAATGGAACATAAGATTACACTAAAACCGACTGGCCATTTTCAATGTCCTATTACAATCTTAACACTGACATTTAGAAAATTTTGCTACCGACAAATAATTTTCTCTAGATACTAAACAATTTTAGGTAAATCGTCTGTCTAGTAAGTCCTTAACGAAAATGTTAAACGCCAGAACAAAGTAAAAACATTGAACCGCTCACACAAGGAAACTGTATCGTTGACATCCTATTAAATCCAATCGAATATCAAATATTATACATCTAATATTATGACATTCACGAATGGCCAATGTAAACACGAAACAAATAATCTAAGCTACACAAAATAAAATTGTAACGCGACAAAAATAAATGTTTGCTATACAAATGAAAGTTCCGTTAAGATGGGTATTTTCAATCCGGCAGGGTTACAGTATAACATGGCTGGAGATAATGAATTTTGTGCCGTGTGATACAAGTGAGGGGCTGTGGTGAGGCGAAACGAAGAAGGTTTTATTATAATAAACATTTATTCTGAAGGCCGTACCACAGCCTAAAGAGTATTACATAGTATAATATGCATTTTAGGATTCCAACATGCTTCGGCTCTGTTCAGTTGTCAGTTCACTTACATTTTATGGAGATGTCGCTTTATAAAGATACGAGGAATTTTATAAGACCAGAGACAGGACTTAATTGCTTTTCTCTGAACACGTCACCTGCGTGCTATAGTCAATACAAGAAATAAAGTTACAAACTACTATAATAGGAGTCTCCCAGGTACAATTGAACAGACGCGTCAACACAGTCGAAGCACCAAGTATTGACTGAATCAAACAAAATTCCAACTACATTACCCAACATTCGAGACAGTTATGTACAAAATGAAATGTTACCAACGTTCAAAATTCTAAAGTAATGTAACTAGAATTCCATTTAATTTATTCTAGTATGATGTATTCAGCTAATTTTGGGACGAAACCGCACACTTGGCGAGTACACTCTTTGACGATGGGAAAGCGGAAATAAAACCGTATTCTACATCTTCCCTGATCCTTATATTTGAAAATAAGCTTTGGTTTGATATGTTGAAATTACAATTAATTTAGTGAGTGTCACTAGTACAAAACAAAGTTTCCTAAAGTTACTTACCAAACTAATGAAACAATATTAATTTGAAGGCGACGCAGATGTCGCTGGTGTCGCGTTGTGGCATAGCGCGCTGTGTGCGAGCTCGTCCCGTGTGTTAGTAGAACGTAATGTTATGCGTTAGTTAGGGCTGAACGCGTCGGCCAATTCCGTCTGACTGTCGAACGTCTCCGAGCTGTCGATGTGGTCCGGATAGAACTCCCTGTATATTTTGTCCAGCAGTGATTGCCTAGAATCGAAAAAATACATCTTATAATTCGCTCCTGGTCTATTGACTCATTAAAATTTATTTTCTACATCGGCAAAAAGTAACGGTAATATCAGAGGTTACCCTTCCATTAGAATGAATTTTATAATGGAAACTTTTTCTCTTATTTATCACATTTGCTTGAGAATGCGATGTATTCTTGCTAGAAGGACATTATTTAGGTTTAAGAGTATTAAAAGAGGTTACTCACTTAGCAGCAAGCCCGCCACCTGGCGGCAAGCCCGGTATGTTCTCCTGCACGAGCTGCTTCAGCACCCAGGAGAAGTGACTTGCAGAGTCCTCGCGCTCCTCATTACCGGCGCTGCGCTCTATCAAAGCTGTAAACACATATACCACTACGTTAGCCAACAGTTAATGGAGACATTTACTAGAATTAGAGCATCCTAAGGGATTTATCAACTTGGTCAAATAATAAATATCATTATCTAAGCTCAACAAACGTCTGTTATGATATTCCTAGAAACTAAAAGTGTGTAATGCTTTACAGACCCTTTATGTACTTTTCAAAATTATTTAGACATCACCGACAATACAGTAAAAGGAAAATTGTGGCACAACCTGCATTAATAATAATAAGTTTGAAATTATTTTTTGCTGATTCCTTCTGGTGATGTGATTTCTCATTTAATGATAGGCCAATTATATCTACATCCTTTAAACATCATCATCATCAGCCGGAAGACGTCCACTGCTGGACAAAGGCCTCCCCCTTAGCTCTCCACGTCGAACGACAAGTTGCCACCTGCATCCATTGGCTCCCCGCGACTCTGACGATGTCGTCGGTCCACCTAGCGGGAGGCCTGCCCACACTACGTATTCCGGTCCTTGGTCGCCACTCTAGGACTTTTCGGGCCCATTTAGACATATCTATACTTAATTCACAAGACATATTTGTTTGTTTATACTACATTCCTAAAACAGGAAATTACTACCAAGCCAAAGTTAATTATGTAAAAATTAATTGATAAATAATCTAGTAATATAAATCTAGTAAATATGTAGTTCTGTCAACAAATAGCTGACATTGGCTCGACCTAACGTTTAAACTCTTGTTATTATTCAGTCACAATATAATTAAGCTAGATTCTCCACGCGTGGCTAGACTGTATCTGACCCCTGATTAGTAATTGGGTTACTGACTCGCCCATATTAGTATAAGATAATCAATTTATTAGAAGTCGTAGCTATTCGGTTTTTATTAGAATTGATTAAGATTTATAATGAGCATTTTCATTTAATACAAATCACATACAGTCTGTCGAAACGTGGCATGTGACCTTTCTAAGTTATATGTACTTTCTAAAATTAAATACACATTATAATAATGAAAAACCACCTTTAGCCGACGTAGTAATTAATACTTAAACCTAGCCTTGTGAGAAGAGGTCTTTGTTGAGCATTGGATACTTATAGGCTGATCATCAAACACTTATGTGAAAATTTTAATTTTCTTATAGACATTTTTTACATGTAAATTCCAATAGAGAATTTATTTCCATATAATAAAAGTTGTCAGTAAGAGTATACAAGGAAGCACCGAAATAAGGGAAAAAATACCAAGTGACTATCGACATTTCAAAGTTTTATGCCACTATAATAGACCATACATAGTTCAGAGAAACAAGTAGCAACTTACAATTGTACCTAAAACGAATAATAAAATGGCAAGAATGCTTTGCTATTTTTTCTGCGATGCTGGGCGACATCGCAGCCATGGTAGCATATAACATAAACGCTGCTATTTTATTTCCAACGTATGTATGGGGTTTTAGAGATATAGGGTACGAACACGCGATATATTGCAGACACATTTCACAGTTCATTATGACGGTAACAACAGACCTTGAGAGTTCAGTGTCAAGGTCACAAGGTAAGTTGGTTTAGGAAAATTTGGCGCGAAGGCTGAACAACTGACTCGCATGTTGCCACAGGCCCGATTCCTGCACGGAAGAACTCTTTGTGTGATCCACGAATTAGAATTCCGGGTCTGGGTGTGTGTGTGATGTGAAACAAACCACGAGGATTTTTTTTATAAAAGAAAGCTTGATCGCTTTTTGTAAAAAATAAAAAGATATTATAGCTAATTAATTGAAATAGTGCCCTTATGTGGATAGGAAAGAAAACTGACACTGTATAAACTTTTTTGCCTGCATATAAATGATTTTATTTTTTTATTTCATTTAAAACTCTTGCATTTCAATACACTTCAAAAAATTTATTATAAGCAAGTTTACGACCTAGGTAAAACAGGAAGTCAATCTTTTTGCATGTTAGCAGTCAATCACATTAATATCATTTCTCGATTGCAAAACTGAATGTATTGTGTGAAGGAAATCAGTAGCAATCGTATTTATTTACCCTTCTATGCACATAGAGGTCGTATCGCCTTCATTCATGATTATAAGTCTATAATAATATATTGTTATATTGACAATCTTGCAAATAATTGAGCTGATTGTTATGATTATAATACGAGACTATATTTCTTTTTTTTCCTATAATTATAAAATAGGGATTAAAAAAATATTGGCATCTTGGAACTGCTTCACAGAATCTCAATAGCCGTTATGTAGGTCCCAACCACAAAAGTTTAAAAATGTGATGTATAAATGTATTATGAACTATTTGCCACATCAGTTTATTGGGATCCTATTGAGATTATATATCACTAGCTACTCTCACGCGGTTTCAGCCGCTGCTTGGCTCCACTTAATCGTAGCATGATGTTTTATACCCTATAGCACTCAGGAACATTGTAGCTATCTATCAGTGAAATAATTTTGGCAATCCAACCAGCGATTCCAAAGATTACTCCCTACATACAAAATTACACATTTTACCTCTTTAAAATATTAGTACATATATAGATTAAATACTAGTTTTCGCGTTTAGCTTCACCCACGTTCACAGGGGAAAAATTTGCCTATGTGTTATTCCAATGATCCATCTCTCAAATTCCATTTGGTTCGTTCAGTAGTTTTTACGCGAAAATCTAACAACCACTGGTCGGATTTCCAAAATTCTTTCACTGATATATAGTTCATCAGTGCTGTAAGCTGTAAAACCGCACGCTACGATTTATAGAGGAGCGAGTGAAACCGCCCTAGAGAAGCTAGCGTTTTAATATAGAAATAGATAATATATAGAGGCACTTTTCTTGTTGTAACGGTGTTATTTGTCACGAGTGTCGAGTTTATCGCTCGCAATCTCGTCATTCAGGGCCCAATTATATATTACATGAACATTTACGGCACATGCACTACATAATCGATAAGAGACAAGAGCAACAAGATTACAAGTGCACTATTGTGGCTTCTGGTCTTATAAACCTAGTGTCTTTTACTGCATTCGTCACACGAGTCTACGCCTCCATTCCATACGCACGCCAGTTCATTGCTTTAACCCTTCTACCATTTTCTTTTTATTTTATTATTATGACATTTTTTCATTCTAATATCTTTATGAGATTCAATGTAATGACATGAAAAGGGTCGGGACTAAAGCAATGAAACTAAACATTTTTATTTTTTTAAATAATTTAATATTAGAAAACAGGGTAATAACAAATTTTTAGACAATATAATTTTTAGCGCGATTTTTTTTTTAGTCTCACAATACAAAGTTAGTAGTAAAAATTTTGTAAAAGGATTAATTAGGTATTGTAAAAAAATTTTAGTATTATAATATTATTTTTTTAGATTAAAACGTTAATATCACAAATGTTAGATTTTTTACATAGAAAGAAATCACAAATTCGATTAAGTACATTGTAGTTAAAGTTTTGTACAACGAAAAATACTTATAAGCTAAGCTTAATTCGAAGACTTTTCAAAACTTGCACATAATTTGTGTGAAAAGGGTTGATTTTAAGTTGTTCTACATAGGAAGACGAGATTGATAGTCAAAAGAACAATCGAATACTTGAAACTTATGCATTCAACCTTTTTACTCAATGGCGATGTAATATTAAATCTACAGATTTCAATTTGAATTTGGAATAGGACATAAAAAAGGGTTGCTAAATAAAAATCAGCAAGATTATATGCCATTCAATATGCCAACAAAAAGATCCTTTGAAAAGCCTTCATATGATGAATGATGCGAGGCATCTGTGAGTATTGACACAAATAACATAGAACATTTAATAAATAAACAATAAATACTCTAATAAAACAACAAAAATAAATATTTTGTATAATAAATAAATAAAATAAAACTGGTAACATTTATCGCAGTAAAGGTAGGTGTTCAATACGATTGATATTGTTGATAATAATAAATATAATTTTACTAGGTGACATGTATTGTCACTTAGAACAAAAACGATTTTCTTGTAAAGTATGTTTTTTTTTTAAATAAAATATGACCAAGTAGGTACAACAAATGACTCGATCTAAATCTATACATATACTTTGATAGAAAATCGCTTTTTAATAGCTATGTGTATGTATGTACTTATAAATAAGTTTCTACAAGGGACTGATTTTTACTAAATTGTAATAAAATACAACGGTATTATGTTCTTATGAGACGAAATAAACATTTCCTACCTCTAAATAATAATGAAAAACTTATTTTAAAATAGGTACAATAGAGTAATACCTTTAATACGTTAGCTAAATCCTAAATAAAAAAATGGCAAGAATAATTATTCAACTACTTAATTATAATAAAATCGGTACAGGAAGTGAACTATTTATTACTAACAGGATAGTAATAACTACATTGAGGTCAGGCTTGAGGATTTGTAAATATCCTGAAAAATTGAGGATACCCTTACTCTATAGAATGTAATGAATAATCATTAATATCAAACTCTAAGCTCATGCAAGAGGTATGGTCGAAAAAGGTTTTACGATTTTGTCAAAAAACATTGTCACACGAAACTATGTTAGAAAGAAGAAAAAAAAACATTCAAAAATCGAACAATCCGTTCTACGATTAAAAGTAGTTCCATTATTATGCTGTAGAATCATGCACTCGTACTTATATTGCTCATTTATTATTTTAGTGTCGTCATAGATGGCACGTGTTACAGACAAGTACTGACGGGACAGGATAACTGTATACTGATACAAAGTTTATTAGTATTCCCTCAATAGGTGGGAGGAGCAACACTGGTACCTACATTTGAAGTATTCAGACTAGCAACTAGAGTTTTGCTTACTAATAAAGCCGAGTTATTTTGAAACAACGCCAAAGTGATGACGATTTCATCGACGTGGATGAAGGAATTTTTCCTTAAAGTGTAACTTTTCTTTATATTAAGAAGTGGCATTGGTATGAGTCAACGAATGATAGTTACATCGTATTATCTAACTGCGATAATGACATGAAAATAGCCAAAAATTCCGTTACATAGGGTAACATTTTCCTCGTATTGCAATCAAAGGAAAATAAAGTCCTCAATCTCATTCAAACCATCGTATTTTAAAAATAGATTTTGCATAAAATTTGACATTTCTTAGTCTCTTGTTAACAGGAAACTTGTGAACGTAAGTTACCTAGATTTTATTGTTTGTATTGATAACAATGATGACTCATTATTATTCCGTTCGCGATGTCCACATAATAATATGGAAGCAATGGCTTTGGCAATCTAATCGACGGCGACGAGGAACTATAGAATCATAAGTTACAATAATCGTCATGTACTATGAACGACTTATGTGGTGCGTGCCCATTTGAAATAATAATCTAAATAATACAGCTAATTAAATCGGGACTTAAGAATGAATAAAATGAAAATACGAAATCGGATAAAAGTGATAGGACCGAATAGTGAAGCAATAATAAATGTAAAGAAATCCCTAAAAATAGTATAGGGATTTAATCTATGAATTTTCTTCAATACAAAACAAACAAAAAGTTCCATTAAGGAGTGTTCACAACATGGAAAAATATAAAAAAGAGGCGAGGTTGCATATTGCGGTTGGAACTGAAATCTAAACGTGTTTGGTGCGACACACGTGCGGGTCTAATGTCTCATGTGTGGCCACAACAACTCTCAATCAACAAACAGCTAACATAAACCAGTGATTTAATGACTTAACTACTTCATTGCCCCTCAATACATCATCATTTCGTTGATTCGATCATCATTTTGAGTCACTAACACATATTTACCTTCAGCAAATAATCCCTGATGACTTTAAAGTCTTGTCATAATTGATTTTGTTGAAGGACTATTATGTGAGGTGTTTATGAAATTCCCAGTTAAAAAAATGTTGCTACATATTTGGCAAGGAGATATTTCTTTGATAACAACCGACTTTAATTTGCTTTACTGTATAATTACATTTCAGAGAAAACATCCATGTAATGTTATGAAAATTGTACCGGTATACCTATAACAGCAGAATACAGAAGTTGTAAGATAAATTTTCAAAACACCATTCAGTGATTATTGCGCATAATCGGTCGCGGTGTGCACGTTAACTAAAAAGTGATGTCATCTTCTGATAGTAAACACTATGATTGTGATATCATAGCTGTGATAACAATCTACCAACTTCATACTATTACTTGTATGGATACATAATATATGAATATGGTTTAACTAAGTTAAATAATTACCTATTCTAGTAGTCTTATCAAGCCAGTAGTCACTGGAAAGGAAATCTCGTAAAATAGCCTTACAAAGGTATTGTAGGTCAAACGTCGCTATTCAAAAGATGGTGTGAAGAGGACCCGTTCGTAATTGTACTTATCAACGGGATAATTCTGGTAGATTTATATAGGTATGTAGATGGTTCTCATACTTTGGTAATATTTTTAACTAATGGAAAAATTCTTCACACGCGCATTCGCAGCTGCTGTCTTTAAAGACTGTAGCTACCTTGCCTACCTTATATTTAAGTAGATATTCCAAAATCTCTAGCAGTGGTAATAATGGCAATGTATGAAACACTTATGAATTAAACAATGGGCTATTTTAGCATACGTTAATACGAATACCGGCAAATATTATTTTACAATATTATAATATCGAGAATTATAATCAATTCTGAAAACTGTTCTCGGTTAATGTGCCCTTGAGTATTGTGTGCACAAGTGTTAGTACTTAATGATAAAAAAAATCGTTTATCGATCTTTAAATGATCGAAAATCCTTCCTTATATTAAGAAGAAAATTGCGTATACATCAAAATAGATGTGTTTTTTCTAATTATTCCTGATCAATATAGGTCTTGAAACGCAAGAAACATGAAAAAGATGTCTATAAAAAGCATTGACCTTTGTGAGGTAAGAATTAAATAAGTAATGGCACCATGGTCGCTGTTCACAGTGCCTTAGATATAAGGAGGAGATAGTACATATTGATTACTGCTGTAGTAAAACAACGTATTATTTATGTGAGTCGAAGATGGCACGGCTAAGTATTCGAAGGTTATTCCTATTCTACAGCTCAGGGCGAGATTTAATTCCAGTGGCAAGTGTGCAGCACAATATGTAAAGATATTTAGCTCATGTTGTTACGTAGTGCAAGAAGTTTAATATAATTGCTAGTTTTAATATCTGGTCTTTTTTCGAATATGCAGTCTAAAATTGTCTTTTTTCGCACACGATATTGTGCTTCCCTCAATATTCAAAGTTTAATGCAAAAACATCAAGCTTTACCCTAAAATAGACTTAATAAAAAATTACCAATTTGTACTTATAAAATTGTACTAATGATTAAAAAAATTCGCCAAAACGATCCACTTATTTCGGCAAATATGGCAAAAAATTACGATAAAAATGTAAAAAATACCAATCGAGTAAAATCTTATTCCTAATTTTCTTTCAAAATTGTCAAATTCTCGTCTTTCTTCATAACTTACCAAATTGTCAATAAGGCCCTTAGTAGCACAGAGTAGATGCACAGTCATTCGACCGTACCTACGTAGTGTAGTTTAAAATGCAGCAGCGCGGAAATGAGTCAAGATGTTTAGGCAAGAGAGTGTAATGAAGGTATACATATGTTATTGGCCTGTCTAATTTGATTTTGTCGCAATTAAACTTGTGGAGCTTCACGCCGACCGTCTTACTCAAACAACTTTTAAATACTCTTTGCATTCGAACTCCAAGGCAGTGTACGAGTTATATTAAATAGGATTTGTAATGTACTCAGGTCCGCGCTGTCGCTAACCTAACTTAGTGCTTACGCCCTAGCATCGCTAGATTCCTTCCTACAACCGTTCTGTCTGTCAATATTGTCAGTTCTCTGTCTGTCTCTGTGTTTATGTGAGCAGGCATGCAGTAGTGAATGATAGCAACCTGTGAGCCTCTGTCGGAGTGTCTCGTCGAGCTCTCGGTCAGCACGCTGGGCCTCGGGGTTCGGCTTCGGCGCTGAGGGGAACACCACCAGCACAATGCTCATGTTGTCTTTGCTGCCCTGTAAATATGATGGCACAATGAAAATGATGATGAATATGACTCAGTGTAACAAGTACCTGGTATGCGAGAGGAAATGTGAAATATGTGTTGGGCAAAAAATATTTTGTAATTCTGTGGTCTTAAATTGCCACTATAAAAGACATGACAAGCCTATTAAGAGCTGCCATGAGCAGACCTAAATAGATCATTACTAAAAATACATCAATGATGTTGATTAAATTACTTATAAAGGAAACTCTTATAACATAAAGACCTTGTCACAAAGCATTGAAACTTTAATCTAGGTTATGACCTACCTAGTTAGTAACAATACTTTCATCAGTTTTCCTTACTACACTGTTACATGACGATGACATAATGTTTTATAATAATAATTTACAACAACAATGAACAATATACAAGTCTACTTGTGGGCACAATACAATGGATAAAGAGTGGCAAGTTATAATGTTTGATGATTTACTGAAAAAATTATCTTGGTATAATTACAATGTAGGTATGTTAACTGAAATAAAGAACACATCCTTATTCCACTACAGACTTTACCCATTGAACAATATTACTAATTGAATACAATTGCCATCTGAATAATTTTACCACAGTAGGGCACAATTTCAATTGGATCTTAAATGCTCTTAATTGAAAATAAAAAACAAACTAAAGGGACCTCTTTGAATAGTGCCAAAACAGTTTAATAAACAAAGTAATAGACTATAAATGTGTATCAAAACAACACAGCAACATAGCATATTTTCTACCTTCATGGTTGTAAACACAAGATAACTCAATGAATGAACAAAAAAAAAATATTCCAGACCCCCAGCTAAGAGACAAGCTTATGGAAAAAAACAAACCTTTAAGTCTATGGGCAATGTGAGTGAGATACAACTTCAAATCAATTTAATTGTACAATTATGATCATACATTTATTAAATAGCTTCTTTATGTGGGGACCTTATTCAATTTATAAAAACATATTATTTGTGAGACCATTCATTAGGATGAGTCATATCTCCAAGAGGTTGAACTAAAATTAATTGATTTACAATGATACTGTGATAATCCAAGACTAATTGATTATGGAAATTTATAAAACCCATTTATTTGTTTATTAGTAGGTTAATACTAATATGAAGAATTGATTAAATGACTAAGACCCTGATTTACCCGTGCAGTATAAATTTTAAGATAAGTTTGTTATTAAATGTTTGGAAATATGTAAGTGTAGGTTAATGAAACAAATTAACTTGTAGATCACAAAGAATTTGAACATTTATAACTCAATACAAGGAGTGATCAGCTACTTCATTTTCATAACAGGTACCTACAATCTATTAATATTCTTTCAAAAGATGTGTTTTATAAATAGCATGTTGAAATAATAGCCAACTTCACCAGAGTTGTACATACCTTATACAGGCAAGTGTCAATGACCTGGTTGGTCACAGCCACAAGGTCATCTGTCAGCTGAAGCAGTGAGTGTATGTATGCACACAGTGCCTCGTTGCTCATCACATCCCACACACCATCGCAGGCCAGCACCAAGAACTCATCCTCAACCTCATTTCGCTCATGAACAGATACCTCCGGCTCAGGAGACACAAGCTGCTCACATGGGCCACGGTTCATCACCTTCTTGTACTCATAGTCGCCTAGTGCCCTAGACACAGCCAAGCTTCCATTGACGCGCTGAATCATGACTGAACCACCAGCTTGAACAATACGCGACTTCTCCGACGGTAACTCCGGCTTGTGGTCTCGTGTCGCGAAGATCGGCACACCGTTGCGAGCGAGCACTGCGCGGGAGTCGCCGCAGTTCGCTATGTATATCTGCTTGGGGGACACAAACGCACACACGGCCGTCGAACCAGACTTCTCCTCGCCGTTGGAAAGCTCCGGCAGCTCTCGCATCTTCTTGTCCAAGTCCAGGAAGCCTGCGCGGATCGCCTCGGCTATATCCTCACGCCGGAACTCGTCCGTCTGAAGGATACATTCGAGGAGATTGTCCGCGCAATGCGCAGACACCCGTGCCCCTGCATGTCCGTCAAACACCGCGAAATAAGACCAGTCCGATAGAGTACCATTCAGAGTCAGCTGCGCGTGATGCGCATCCTCCATCTCAACGCGCCAACCCTGCATCGACGCCACGCCATAGCGAAGACCATTCCCTTCCCCGCTCTCGTTGTATTTCTTAGTCTCGGGCTTATTCAAAAACGCCCCCATACTGAGTCCTGTTTTACTGTAAAGTTAATCGCACATAGTTTCCACACCATCAGGCACTCGAACTCACGTCGCAACCGATAACGTAAAAGGCAGGCAAAAGCATCACTGGTAGATACAATCTCACGGTAAGATCACGTCAGATGGCTGATACACTACACTGGTGGCTGTGATGCCTAAACGCGTGGAGTTTATTGTTTTAACTGCTTTTACGTAGGTTAATTAATTACGCGATGGTGTTGCGTAGATCTCGATGACAATTGACAAATCGTGCTCTCGGGAATCGTAAAACGAAAAAGCAACTCAAAAGAATGAATGGCGGACATAAATAGTAATTGTCTATGATTTACTTTTTTTAGGCGATATTTATCGGAAATTGTTTATGGTCAATCTTAGGGATAAATAACGATAGTGTTCAAATTATTATTGAACTTATTAATGTTTTTAACTGTGAAATTGAAAAGTAATGTTTAATTTAAGTACATCATTATCTTAAATATTAATATTTGAAATGTGGATACATGATTTTTTCTGAATTAAAAGGCATACGTGTGGCAAAAAATATTGTCTGAGTAATCATAAAACATTTTTCTTTATCATATTTTATATCATAATATTTCTATATCATAACAAAAGAATTTCTTTGAAATGAAATAGGAAATGAAAACGGATCTAAATAATCAGTTTCTGAAATGAGGACCTACAAAATACTACAAATACTACTAAATTCTTATACGTATAAGAATTTTGAAAAGGTGGTATCTATCTGGCTGTCACAGTGACGAATGAACGAAACGTTATTTCCTCAACGTATGTCATCAATCACTTGGCTTAAAGGACTCGTATCCAGGCCATAAACTCCAAAAAAAAAAAAAAAATCATCAATCACTATTGTCAATTGTCATGTAAGGATCATAAATGTCAAAATCGACTCATGTGGAGGTTATGTTGTGTTTTGCAAATTTTGTTAATTTATTTAAGTAAGATATAATTCAATGATTAACATGAAAGTTACACTAATATTACACTTCTTGTGATGTACATGCCAAATAAACCTACCTTAAACTTTATAACCTTCAAAGTTTGTGACATAACCTTTTTGTTAATTGGAAACCAATTCAATCGATTGTTTCATGAATTAAGTCTATTGACTTATTACAGGAAAAATGTACAAAAGTTTTCTATTTAGAAGGTAAGATGAGCAATTTCTATTCTATGTAAAAATCTATTCGAATGTACCTATATTTTAATAACATCATTTGCCGATAGAGGTTGAATATCGGTTAAGACTCATGTAATTTACTATAACTTTTATTACCAAGTGAATAAGCATTTCAATAATTGGTTGCGATCAAATGAAATTTATCTAATAATACTATATATTTTCAGGTTACCATTAAATTTAATTAAACATGAATTTGTTTCTCAAGCATATATAATCAAAAAGGCTCCTCTGAATAATAGTCACCAATGGGCTAGACAGCTTTCGATATCGTACGTTTGCTGCAAGAAAAGGAGATCACCTGAAGAGAAGGTTTGTATTTAATCTATTAGAGTAGCTGTTTGCTGATTAGTTAAGATAAATCTGGACAATAACTTCTTCATTCTCTTATATTTGTTCTCTCTCTCTCTCTCTCTCTCTCTCTCTCTCTCTCTCTCTCTCTCTCTCTCTCTCTCTCTCTCTCTCTCTGTCTCTCTCTCTCTCTCTCTCTCTTTTTTCCATAGGTCTAGCTTGGTACAATAAGTATAAACAAACAAATTACATTATTTGCATACTCATACTACTTATATATTTCTACTTATAAATAAATTATATTTTTTTTTCACAGGAAGCAGAGAGTCAAGGTAGACAGTCAATCAGGTATTCACCAAAAAGTGCTGAAGTTGTTGGCATATGGAGGAATATGACTGTCCAAGAAATCGCTAATGTACTCAATAAGGATGTGGGTAAGTCTTCATATATTTTTGTTTTATAATTCTATACTACTACTTCTTAATACAATTATGTTCTATATGTATCTAAAACTACTACTCTTAATTTCAAAAGAGATGATGAAGTACAAAAAAATAAATTGTGTGAATAACTAATGTCATTCATTGATTGTCAAAGTCAAAAATCGTTTATTTCAATTGGACCCTTACAGGCACTTTTGAACATAAAATATTTTTTTTAGAAAGAAAGTGTCTGTCACTCAGTCCTTTTAGTGAAGCTATTTAAAATACATAGAAATATGCAGTTTTTTGATACAAAAAAATATTGAATTTGATTAGTTATTGTTGCCCTTTTTTGTTTCACTAATACTATTGTAGATTTTTATTTATTAATGAATTTTTTTGTCCTTACATTATATTGTTATCAAACATCTATAAACAAATAACAAACAGAAACATTTCCCAATAAAATGTAACTTGTGGTGTAAGTACAGAAATATATGAATAAGTAAAGCCTAAATCTTATAATAACCTATTTCTTTAATTTCAGATCATGTATTGAAAGCTCTAGACTTTGCTGACAAGAATTCAGATGTTGTTTATACTGAGAAAACTGTGATCCACAACCCACAGATAATCAGAGATGTTGTCAAGATATCTGGCTGCAGATTCAAGATTGTGGCTAAACCTGAACAGGATTTGGGTGAAGAAGAGGTATGTTTGCAAATCTATTATATTTAATATTTGTTGGTATTAAGATGGCAATCAGCCAAAGGTGTTGTTGATTGCTTACCATTAGGTAATCTATGTATATGCTACTCTGCCGACTTATTACATAACAAAAAATTAATCATTTTGAAAGAACTAAGGTCTTTCCTGGAGTTGAGAAATAAGAAGTGAATGTTTAACATCTTGAACTTATGTAGCTTTAAAGTGTAATGTACAGTATAATTAATATTAACATGCTTCACCATGACTGGCATACAAATATTAATATTAATTAATTTTGTAATAAATCTAAATACTTATAGTAAATGTCAAGAAGTTTATCTTTGTGTATTAATTCAACTATTTATTTTTTATTATATATCTACACATGTGTTAATTTTAAATGTATTAAATAATAAGATATGTATGACATATACAATAGGCAGTCATATAGCATCATCAGATCTGTGATCTCTTCCTGACAACCCTTCAATAGTAACAGTCAGCTGGCAGTTTTGAGGTATTTCTAGGTTTAATACTTTTAATTGTAATTGTAGAACAAAGACGCAGTACCAGCGCCGCCGGCTCCTCCCGAGGCGCTCCGGCCACGCCCACCCGTGGTCTGCGTCATGGGACACGTTGACCATGGCAAGACAACACTGCTGGATGCTCTCAGGGACACGTCGGTTGTCGATCAGGAGTTTGGCGGGATTACACAGCATATAGGAGCTTTTGAAGGTATTTACAAATATGACTATGAATAAAATTCTTGAGCATTCATCAGCTTATTCCACTATATAATAAACTATAGACCTTTGCCAACTTAAATTATTTATTTACTACTATACATATATCCCGCTATATGTATGTATCTATATAGTATTTTTTATTTTATCTTACTTAATATTAATCATAGTCATTTCGTTTGGTAATAAACATATTTCCCGTACCTATTTTTCGCAGATTTTCCACTTGACCCAAAGGTTGACTGGTAGAGAATTCCATGCCAGTCTGGCTTTTGTACCAACTTTATTTCATTGTGTACAATAAAGAATAAATAATTAAATAACCCCCGCTTACAGAAGTTTTTCTCCAATAATATAAATAACTCTCTATATTCTACGATATTTGCTGTAGATTTAACCCAATGGCAATATTACCAACTCAATTTTATCACTACCATCCCTTCACTATAATTACTCCCTACATAGTGAAAAACAAAGCCCATATCTATTCCTATCATACATATATAAGTGTTTGTGACTTGTAAATTAGTAGAGCTGTTCTTAGTTAATACCTACACGCAAGTAATTTGATTAAAAACTTAGTAACCTAACAAGTTATGTGCACAGTGTGTTAATTATTCCACTGTTTCCAGTTCAACTAGCATCAGGCGAGAAGGTGACATTCCTAGACACCCCGGGGCACGCCGCGTTCACGGCGATGCGGTCCCGCGGTGCGCACGCTACTGACATCGTCGTACTTGTGGTGGCCGCCGATGACGGGGTTATGGAGCAAACTGTTGAGTCTATCCGGATGGCGAGGGAGGCTGACGGTAACTAACTAGTTTTTTTTATAAACTTTGATTTTATACTTTTTCTCCAGTGACGCGAGGACAAACATAATTTCTCTCACACTTCACACTCAGATCCGGAACAACAATTTGTAGATCACACAAGCAGTTGTTGCGTGCGGAAATGCCGTTTGCCCAGCTACCGTGTCAACCATGCAGTCGATAGTTATGTACTGAATCCGGGGTTGCAACCTGGAGCAGGATATGGAAGGTTTTTAGTCAGTAAGAGTCTGACAGCCAATAGCTAAACAAGGTGGGGCGTGAGGGAGTCAGACTCTTAGTGACTATAATCATTATCATATCATATTTATCTTCTTAAGGAGTTGATAACAAAATATGTCTCTGAAGCTCTGAATTAACATACATTTTAAAGTATGATGTTTTTGTTACAGTACCAATACTGGTGGCGATCAACAAAATCGACAAGCCAGGTGTGAACATTGTAGGTATGCCTCTTTTTACTTTCTTTGTTATATGTTGGGGCTGTAAATATATAAGAGACACGCAGTTGATCATTATTGAAATGAAAATTAAACCATACAATTTACCTCGTTACTGAATAAATAGCGCCGTGGCTGGTCAACTGGCTACTGCGTAAGGTGTCGCGGGTTCAATTTCCACACTTAATTATGTAAAGAAAATTACTTTGCTAAATATATTTACGCATATCTATAAGTTTTAAATATATGTTACCTACATATTTTTTATATTTGAAAAGTACATATTATGTATCGTGTTATAAGTACATAATGTATTGCAATTTTAATATTGTAATGTATGTTATTTGTATAAAATACATGAATTATATTTTTTATAATGTACATAATAATATTTAATATGTAAAAACCTAAACGTAAACGTCTCTCTTCATCCAGGAACGCACAATGCGCACCTTAGCCACACAAGGAATAATTTGCGAAGCGTTGGGAGGTGACATCCAAGCTATACCGGTGTCAGCGCTTAAGAAACAGAACCTGGACACGCTGGTCGAAGCACTAACACTACAAGCCCAGCTCATGGAACTGAAGGCAGACCCTGGCGGGTACGTCGAAGGTGTGGTCATTGAAGCTCAGCTGGACCCGAGGACTGGGTAAGAGTGTTTTGTAATAGTACTTTTGGTATCACTTGTTATATTATTATACGCCTTTTAAGTGTGAGAGAAAGCCATACTTCGGCACGCAGCCAAAACGGCGTGAAGCAACAATTAACGTTGTGATTCGCTGTGTGAGTGAGATTACCGGACGCCCAATCCTTCCTCCCAGCTCCATCCTCAATTCTGAAATCCGGGTATCAAAAAATCCCTAAAGGTTGGCAACGGACTTGTTGTAACCCCTTTGGTATTTCGAGTGTCCATGGGCGGCGCTGATTGCTTACCCGCAGGTAAAGCGTCTGTTCGTTTGCCGACCTGACATAAAAGTAGTTATGATTTTCATCATCGTAAAATTGCCTGCAAGTGAATGCTATATTTTGTTCGATCCCCTAACCTCTTATATATATACTTTGTTGTAGAGATATAAACCATAGTGTTAAAAGATAAATGGGATACCAATACCAAATCCTTGTTTATTTTATGTGATATGGCAGTTAACGGGCATTCTTTATGGAACCAGCCATGGACACCGGCAATACCAGAATAGTTGCAAGTGCGTTGCCAGCCTTATCGAGATAAGGGGTTGAAGGATTGGGGAGGGAAGTTATTAGACCTCCAATAAACTCACTTACAACGCTGTGGTTATTTCACACAGGTATTCTATGAAGCCGTGGTATGACTCCGGTCGAGCCGACCCATTCGTGCCGATTGCTTCCCCATACTGAAATAAACTTTGAGTATTTGACATATTTTATAAGTTTTCTTTATTTTTAAGGAAACAAGCAACAGTATTAGTACAACGAGGCACATTGCGACGAGGGAGCATCATTGTAGCAGGCACGGGGTGGGCTAAGGTGAGAACACAAACTAAAATCAACTTTAAACTAAGTACACAAAGATAATTTTTGTATACATAGCTATGTTTTTTTATTAGGGGCAATCTTCAAATGACTTCCCTCGCCCAAGGTGTAACGATAGGGATTTTCGCAGTCTAATGACTAAAACCCCTTGTTCTTTCTCCCGCATTAGGCCGAGGCCGCAATGCTTTATAGCCCTGCAACCCCGCCTGTCTATACATTCCTTGAGTTGTAATTTAAAAAGTATAATTTTTCTTCTGTTCTCATCCCAAGTTATTTTGAAATTTGTACATAATATTTGAAGTGTAATAATATGAATGTATGAATTATAATATGAATTGAATATGAATAATATAATATGAATTGAATATGTATGCAGGTACGAGTATTGAATTCAGCGGAAGGTAGAGTGGTACAAGAAGCGCCTCCTTCGACGCCCGTGTCTGTACTCGGCTGGAGGGAACTGCCCTCCGCTGGGGATCAAGTTCTAGAAGTCAGCTCAGAGGTAAGCTGTATTGTTGGTGGCTTAATTTTAAATCTACTTATTTGTGTTGACTTGATTTTCTGCCTATACGCATGTCATTGCTCGAAATAAAATTATTCCTAATATAATATATTCTTAAATTCGAGAATGAAATTCGTGCTAGTATGTGGCCAATAGTATTAACTTATTTTCTAATGAAACCTCATTTCAATTGCACTAAAATGAGCAATCCTGAAATAAAACTAAAACTATCATTTTTATTTTACTCTTTATTACCATGGGATAGAGGTTTTTATGACAAAATAATATCTAAACCAATATTATATATCTGAAGAGTTGTTTGTTTGAATGCCTTAATTTTAGATATCTGGTCCGATTTGAAAAATTCTTTAAATTTAATATAGGTCATTTATCGAGGAAGGTAATATATCATCACGCTACAACCCACGGGAGTGGAGCAGTAACTAAAAACGTCGGTGAAGCCACGTGAGACGGCTAGTTATAGATAAATTCTAGGTTTGATTTATTGAACTTACACGTCGGTCCAAAACAGAAACGCGCTTCGGAAGTGATGCGCTGGCGTCAGGCGCAGCGCATGAAGGAGAAGCAGGCGGCCGACGTGGAGGCCATCGCCGCGAAGGACGCGCAGCACCAGCAGGCCTACGCCGCCAGACTCGCGCGCAAGCGGGCGCTCGGACGGTACAAGCTGCGCGCTGAAGGCCCACGGGAGAAGATGATACAGGAAGACACGCATCCCACCCTCACTGTCATCGTCAAAGGTTCATATGACTTATAACTCTTAATATGTTGTTAACAATACAAAAAAGGTCCTTCTGCTAATTAGATTAAAATCTGCAACGAGTTCTAACCACTAACGGTTGAGTTTTGAATTGAAATCTGTCACTTGGGATCCACCAAAAAATCTCTCGAAGCCCAACAAATATTACATTTCAAAATCTTATTTTCACAAATTTCTTTACAAATCCTATTGAAGTAATTTATATATCAAAGAGAAAAAAAGTTTTTGGAGAACCATATTCCCGGTTTCTAGGAGGACGGAGTGTGAAAGAGGTTAGTATTAGCGTATTACCCAATTCCCTTTAAATCGGCATTTAAAAGGTCTTCATAACTCCTTCAAGCGAACCGTCAGCGTGCTGCCCCCATATCTATGCCATAAAAATAATTTTTGATTTGATTCATTTCTTTGTCCAGGTGATGTGGATGGTTCAGTGGAAGCAATCCTGGATATCCTGGAAACGTACGACGAACACGAAAGGGTGAAACTCGACCTGGTGCATTTCGGAGTTGGACCTGTCACACCTAATGATTTGGAGGTCAGTGTCTGAAAATCTTTTAGTTTACACTATTAATTATTACTTATTTATTAGTTTATAAAATGTTCAATGTAAAGGAACCACATCTTGATACATCTTCTTATATACAAAAATTGAAATTTATATTATTGTTAGTCTTGCTAAAACTCGAGAAGGACTGGTCTGATTTGGCTAATTTTGGTCTTGAAATATTTCGGGATATACAGGAAAGGTCTAAGAATATAATTTAATTATATATGAGGCGGTACAGGGTTCGCCGGGTCAGCTACTGTAAAGTATACTCAAAATGACGTACAGACTTACGTTAGTCAACTGAGAAAAGCTCTACTAGTTTCAAGTTACAACGGGACTTTTATTAATGCATGAACACGGTCTTTTAGTCAAGGAACGACTATATTGAATTTCCCCTCAAAGAGCCAATAGACCACCACAGACAGGGCCCTATAGAGCTGATGTTCAGCCGGGGCTGCGAGGTAAGCTCAATCGGCCTCAGCACAAAGCATGAGAAGGAACAGGGAGTTTTGCAGTAAGAGTCTGACACTCTCTCCCGCCTTACCCTGGGCGGGAGAAGTCATTTAATGATTCCTTTGACAAAAAAAAACTATATTGAATTTCAGACAGCAGAAATATTCAAAGCTGTGATATATGCATTCAACGTGGACTGCCCGCCGGCTTTGTCGGTGGAGGCCAAGAAAAAGAATATTCCAATCAAATTGCACAATATCATATACCGACTGGTAGATGATGTCAAGGAGGATATCAGCGCGAGGATACCTAAGAAATTGGAAGAAGAGTTTGTTGGTAAGTTACAATATACATATTTACGCATTTGAAAATAATTTAATCGACCTCCAAATCTTCAAAAAAATAACGTATTCTTTTTAAAACGCCCGCAACGCATGGGCAATTTAACATTTAATTATACTCGGAATTTTAATTAGATTCCAGATTTGAAAATTTCAGTGTTGCAACGTTATGAAAACCACTAAATAGTGACGTTGCAAAATGATTCGATATGGAAATGGAATATTTCCGAATCGATTCCTCTCGTTTATAAATTTTTTCTCGTAAGAAATTAAATATTTCTGAACAGATGATTTAGTTCTTTTATAATTGTGTGTGAAATTAATATAAAAATGTGATCTATTATGGTACAAATTTATTTTATTATTTGTATTGTCGCTTTAGCTATCGCTGTTACTTTCTGTAACATTTATTATGAATTGTGTCTGTGATATTTATTGTCAATTAATATATCTAGCTTACTCATTTTTTCCTCTTCTTTGACAACATAGGATACGCATGTAAACCATTCGGCAGGCGTAATTTTTTGAATGCCTTCCTGAAACTTATTAACTGATCGTTTATCGATTTTTGTGATCATCAATGACAGTGGCTAATGTCAAATCTGGAATCTAATTAAAATTCTGACTATAAGACCCTATATATAGCAATGTACAACTTTCGAGTGCACGGTTGGCGTGGTTTCTATGCAACTGGCTGCCACGCAACGTGTCGTGGGTTCGACTCCTGCATGGAACAACTCTTTGTGCAGTCAGACCTGAAAGAACGATTTGTGGATCACACAAGAAATATTTCGAAGTCAAATCAAAATGTTTTTGGTTGAATCAGAAACTTATCTGATTTTCAATATAAATTCCAGGCGAAGCGAACGTATTACAGCAGTTTCTTGTGACGGAGAATAAGAAGAAGGTCCCCGTAGCGGGGTGCCGGTGCGTGAAGGGGTCCCTCGCGAAGAACGCGTTGTACCGGGTCATCAGAGGACAGGAGGTCGTTTTTGAAGGTCAGTTACATAAAATTGAGTATTTTCTAGATCGGCAGTGTCGAATTTCTAGACCACCTAAAATAATATTTTAGAATGGAGCGAGTTTCATTTCATCTTCGGCCCTTTTCTGTCCACTGCTGGCTATATGCCTCTAAAATTGCACGCCACAGAGCTCGATGTTCAGCTCTTCTCATCCACCCACTGCTGCCAGCCACCTTTTTTTTTGTGATAGGTAGGGAAACGAACAGACGTTTTACCTGATGGTAGGAATCACACCACCCATGGACACCCGCAACGGAGGAGTTACGAGTGCGTTGCCGACCTTTTGGGGATTAGGGATTAAAAGATTTAGACCCTTCAGAACACGTCTATTCCAACTGTTATAAGTTTTTTATAAATGCGACCTGCCCACTGCCATTTCAGTTTGCTAATCCTTTTGACCATGTCGACTGTGGACTCTATGGAGGAATCAAACGCCATACTGTCTACGGTCGACTAGGATTTTAGATAGAATATCGACAACTTACAAAAGCATACTCTCAGACCCTAGATGAACTGGATTAATTTTAAAGCATTTAGCTTCTAGAATTTGGCTATGACAAAAGATGTTACCGGACGCAAAATAGGTTGATAGCCAAGTAAAGAGTCTATAAAAATTATGATTATTATTCTACAGGTAAACTTGCATCAATGAAACACTTAAAGGATGAAGTTCCAACAATAAAACGTGATATGGAATGCGGACTTCGTTTCGAAGAACCATTCGACGTTCAACCTGGAGACACAGTCGTTTGTTACAAAATGGTCGACGCGGCCGACACTACCTCGTGGGATCCCGGCTTCTAGTTACCAAATTTAAGTAAAATATGCATTTTAGCCCAATAAATACATAAATTGTGTAGAAATTTTTTAGTTTTATTTTAGATTGTCATATAATTAATGTCTCTCTATCTAGTTTTGCTTGATTATTTTTCTCTCTCTCTTTCTCTCTCTGTGTCTCCCTCTTTCTCTTGCTTGACGACATAGATATGTTTACCATTGATTGATTCATTGAAATTTTTTTTATGTTATTGGTCGAGCAGACGGATTATTTGATGGTAAGCAATCAGCGCCGCCCATTAAGACCCGCAACGGAGCAGTTACGAGTGGCGAAACACAACGCTGTGGATAGAATTAAAGCTGGATAAAGTAGCTTGCAATAGAAAATCCAAAATTGAAAATGGATAGGCTAGACTTATAATTGACGTAATTATTTTTAGCAATGGGTAAAGTTGTCACAAAGAATGCCCAAAGAAATAAAACCACAAAACTTTATAAAGAGAATCCTCTATTTAAATATTAACTTGATAGGCTTGTAATTCGTGTCTCACTATTATTGAACAAAGAACTCCAATATAAATTAATAAGTATTTAAACATGATATCATTGCGACGGTGACCTAGTAACTTTTTATGGGACTAGAATTCATTAGGGCTGCCATTTGATAATTAAAAAACATTTAGGAAATTTAAACTTACATAAAAACATATTCACGCAAAAATAAACCTTACTTGAAACAAGTGTCGGATGATAATCGTAATTAAAAACAGCACTTAAAGATGGGATATAACAAGACGTTAAATTCGTATTTAGAGGCAGCATAAAAAATCTTAGTCCCATCCGCTCAAAACAGAGAGCTTGTAAATTCTAAAACACAATACAAAAACACCAATCACTGGATAAACAGATGAAAAGAACGGACATTTCACGCGTGTATTGTGTACACTGTATCTTTGAAAAACAAATTAAATTTATTTAAACCCTGTTCTGATTGCTGGCTATAGCTAACTCATTAATGGATTTTCAATCTGCCAGTCTTCTTTATCAAATAGGAATAAACCACCACTTTAATATAGAGTATCACACGTCATTAAATGCAATAGGACGGTCTCTTGCCCTTTCTGAAGTTTGCCTCAAAGGCTTCTTAGCCAGCAGTCAAAACAGCGCCTCAGTGATTGTTCAAAGGCTAACATTATAACTATGAGCACAACCTAGTATTAAGTATGTTTAAACTTACAAATGGCTCATTAAACAATGGATACTTTATTAGCTGCTTGTCCAATAACCTGAATAATACAATTTTGGAATCATCGAAATGTATCGAATAAATAATTTTGTTACGAAGTTTCTTCAAAGTCTCTTGTGCGCTGCGCATCGCGATTACAAAGCGACAGTGAAAGGATAATTTAGCTTGAGATCATTTAATTTCATGTAACCTTACGTATGTTGCGTCATCAGGTCTTTTCTCTATACTTACACATAACCTATAATTTAATGAACAATTACAAGATGTTACAATACTCTGTACAAATAACTATATAAAACTTTATTTGAATAACTTTACCAAGGCTGGAACTGTACCAATAATAGCACATTACGACTAGTCCCGTATAGCTTTAATTAAAACATTAGTATGCAATATCACGATGCGCAAGAGACGTAGTAACTGGCTCTAATAGAACCAATAGTGGCTCGCTAACCCTTTGTCGGCCATATTTAGTTCCGAATCACAACTACTGTCTTTATTTGAAACTTATTTAAATTAACTGACATACATAAATAGAAAGGCAAGTTTAATTGCAGCCACATGATATTCACAATAAGTAACATTTATAAGGCCACAAACAAAGAAAAACATTCCATCAAATTACAATGAAAAACTGACAATTACATCCAACATGCTTATCAGTTATTCTGAAAACGTTATCAACTGGGCGTTACATCTAATAACGGTGTCACAAATAAGTTATTTCATACATATAATGTCGATTTATCAAATTTAAAATAAAACGTTAAACGCTATACACATAAATAATAGTGACTATAGAACATACTTTTAACAAATAATTTAGGCGAATTTAATAAGTAGAGTTTTGTTACTTCATGTCTACTCTATTGCATTGTCAACAGTTGTTCAACCGTTATTTACATGGTTGCTATGTTATTATTTTGCAATTAGCAATGGACAATTTTATTGTGAAAATATCTAAATATAGATTAGGAATATTATTTCAAGCGCGGATTTGTGAAAATGGAGCCGCATTTATACAAACAATAGTAGAAAAAGTACGTTAATGTATATTTTTGTTAAAGAGAGATTAAAGTTTATAAAATAACTGGAATAGCAGCCTAAATAGTGAATTTAACAATACTAATACTTTAATTTTATTATGTATTTATCTCGTTATACCCGACGGACTCCTTTTCAAATAACCAAATCCGCGCCCTATATCAATTTACCTAAAGGAGAGCAAAATTATAGAACCAAACATTGATCTACGTATGATAAAATAAATTCACTAAACTACGAACTAACAACTAATATCTAAATAATTAACAACTTACAAGAGTCTCACAATAAAAAAAGAATAGTTAAACGATCAAACACTGCAAGTCTTACAGACAACGTCAATCGATGCAACAATATTTTAAATCGATAAAAAAATCGTAATAAATAGCTATTAATATGAAAAGCGCGTGTTTGCGAATACGAAGCGATCAGATCGCTTGACCTACCAACTATATTTACACGTCAGCCGAGAAAAGAAACCGTTTTCCTTAATTACAATATACATTTGTCTATATATAGTTATGAATCTCATATCTATTGCTATCTAAAATGTTTTTTATTTTCATCGTATATCAATTACAACTATAGAAAATGCTTAGTGGAACATCACCCAGCGACTGGAACTTTCCTGTATTGACTCGGATGCCGATACAACTTAAACTATTACATGAAAACATTCCGATAGAACTATGTAGGAAGTATTAACAATATTTAAGTCTGTTTATATATCTACTTGACACTATCGTTGGGGTAGCCAGGGTTGGACTTTAGGGCATAACTTAATGGGAAAAATCGTCAAAATGAAAACTAAAGATATATTTTACTATATTCATATATCAAGATCTTCATCCCAATAGTTTCAAAACCCTGATGTTCCCCCACTTAGTACCATTACATTAAGAGGACAGAATACCACCGATTTAATAGAGTAAGAGTATCACAATTTAGTCACCGTTACTTGTGTGTCGGTAATGTGTCGTGCAACTTCACCCTAGAGCAAGGGCTGCGTTCGAGGAAAGCATACAACTGATACACCTAACAGTTTCTACAAAAAATACAATTATTCGCAGGCTCATCAAAGTGCACAATAACTTTGCGTGCTGAAGAAAACATATATCTTATTAAAGTTTATATAAAGTTGCTATTCCCAGATCCGCGAAGCGATATAAAACATCCAAAACCAGAAAGTGTAAATTTCAAAATCAGTGCAAACATTTTAAAACTTTTCTAAGCCTAACATTTTGGCCGCGATCCAGGAATTTATAAATACATATATAATCTTAATGATATTGGCATACACAGGAGAGCTCCAGGACACGACATAATACACTCACACGCATCATGAACCAACAATGTGTCTAACATGGAATAATAGCACACGCACACCACTCACCACGAACTTTAACAGCTATGTACCAGCGACCGCTGCAGACAACCACGAGTATTATCGAACAACCAACGTTTCAACGGCTGTATACCTGGACATAACGATACTGCTACACTTCATTATCTATACCTTTAGTGTTATTTCATAGAACGCAACGAAACAGGGTATTTCGTTCAAATAACGGCTACATACAACCTTCGGTGCTGCTAAAGTAAGGAAATATATTTTCTTCTATATTGTACTAATTAATTTACTGTTAATTTTTAGTCTGGCCAAGAAACTGTCGCGACTGGAGTGTCGGAGTGTGAGCGTCGGAAACGTTGGAGTAGAGTAAGAGCGGGTCGACGTGGGGGGGGGGACTAGTCGACGAGGTCGATGCGGTCGAGGCGGCGCGCGGGGCGCGCGTCCCCGTTGAGCGCGCGCGCGGGCCGCGCCCAGGTATTGACGCAGCCGTCGGCGCAGGCGGTGAGCAAGTACTCGGCGCGGAACAGCAGCGCCGTGAGCCGCTCGTGCGCCACCTTCTTGCACACCAGCGGCTCCAGCACCGGGCACTCGTCGAACCGCGGGCACGACGCCGTGCCGATCAGCTTCAGCGGGTCGTACGACTCGCTCGTCGACGCGCCCGCAGACTTCCCCCGCAGCGCGACGCTGTTCGACGCCGACGACTTCTGCTCCGCCGGCTTCGACGTCAGACTAAAGTTCCGGCGATGCTCCGACCGACGCTCGCCGAAAGAGAACCCGGCCAACCGCTGCGTCAGCGAGTTCACTCCGAGCGAGCCCGAAGTTTCCTCTTTCGCTTTCCCGACACTAATGTTGAGGGTCGACACGTTGTTTACTTTCGCTTTCGTTTGCTTCGTCCCAGACGGTTCGCCCGCCGCGTTCGACCCACTGAGCTCGGCGTGTTTGTGTCCTATCTTATTAGTTTTGGCTCCTTTCGGCGCGGGTGCCTTCATGCCAGGGACCCCGTTAGGGGAGAATGTTTGACTATTGGGTGAGAGATGCGCGGAAGCTCGCGCCCTGACTGGCGGCTTCAGCACGTCCTCGGTGAGATCCCACAAGCACAACTGTGTGTCCTGAGATACACTGCCTAACCTATAACACTGCACACTTTCACTTTTCTGTCTATCGTCCTCGACGCCCTCCTCGCTCTCCGGCTCGCTGAAGCTGACGACGTAGGGGTCGAATGCGACTACAGACACCCACGACCTGTGCCCCTGCCCGCGCGCCACCACTCTCCTCTCGCTGAACGACCACACAGTGACCAGGTCGTCTTCTCCGCCGACTACGACGTACTTGCCGTCAGGAGACCAGCAGACACACAGAAAGCCGCCGAAATATGATCTCGCTCTTCCGATGAGTTCCATTGTATCGTAATGGAAAACTCGGAGGAATCCATCTTGTGAGACCACTGCAAGATTGGTGCCACAAGGCGAGAATGCGAATTCGTTAATACAGCTGCCCTCGGCGCCAATGAGCCACCTGTAGAGCGGGTTGCGAGTGGACTTGGTGCGGCAGGTGTGGATGGAGTAGCCGTCGCCTTGCTTGAACAGCTGGTAGTGCGGCGCCGTGGTCCCGCACGTCAGCTCCTCGTTGTACACGTACAGCTGGCCCGACGCGTGCGCCGTTATGAACAGGTTGCTCGAGCCAGGCACCCACTTTATGCAGGTCACTCTCGTTTTGTCAATCAGTCTCTGGAATTGGAAACAACATTTAGCATTGATATTTTATTCAAAGAAATAATACATACCTACAAATTACAAAGATTTATCAGTAATACACGAAAACTCACTACGTAGTTCCCAGTCACGCAACGCAATTAAAATATGTTTGAGGATCATAAAACTTTTTCAAACATATTTTTAGAGACATTGCCTATTGACCTTCGGTGTTGGCTAGGATTACTAGAAAGCTAGCATTGTAAATGTAACGGGAGCATTATTTTATAAATCACACAAGATAACTTTGGAGGGTGTGGCCATGAGCAGACCAAAGACAAACACCAAGACATTTCACGACGACCTTTGATAAACTTTGTTGACTTTAATCACAGATAAGCTAATATAACGTGTATGTAGGTGGGACAAAATGGCCGCAACCATTTGCTTTTTTATGGAAACAGAACAGAAGTCCTTAAACTATCTATTACAAATGACATAGATATTAGTCCGCCTGCGCTGTCAAAATTGTTAACGTTTCTCGTTATATAAAAATTATAAAAAAAAATACATTACACTTCATTTCGTGACCGTTAGGTGCATTTTCGTTCGGTAAAATAGCAGGCACTTCAAAGTAGGTACGTAAGACCTATTGTTCACATTATTCTCACGATCCGTAAACTTGAATTGAAATGACTAACATAAGCTTATGTTATATCGGAGTTACTTAATTGTTACGTAATTAAAATATGGTAATAACCATTGGGCAATGTTTTAAACGTGTAATAGAGGGGAAATGGAAAGTTTATTAAAACCACTCATACTTATAAAGGATTTTGCTTAATGGAAGTTGAGGAAACCAAGAAAAAGCTTAGAAGCAGAGCTGTTGGGGCCATGGATAGGCAGTACGGAACAACTTTTTGTATGATCCACAAATTGTCGTTGCGGATCTATTGCACATAACGTGTGCGAGTTTGCAAGCGTAAAAATGGTTACTAAATGGGAAGCTTAGTTTACGTTCATCGCGGGATTGTATGTTTCGGGTTAAACGCAATAATGTACTGCGCTCTCAACCTTAAGCAGGAGAAGGAACGGGGTGCTTTTTCGACACTAACGCTTTGACACGTACGTCTCGCCCCATCCAGGGCAAGAGAACTAAAATGATGATGTTCCCAGCTCAAAAAAAGTTTAAACACATTTTTCGGCACACCTGAATGAAGAACATATTATGATCTCAATTTATCAACCACGGTAATCAATGACGGGGCGAAAAGTAGGTCCATGCCAAAATATAAGCAAATATTGTAGATTTTTCCTAAATCTGCCTCATCTATCCCCAAAAGTATACAGATCACATACCTTGTGTATGAACGCCCATTACAGTTAACGAGTACACTATTTTATGAAGAAAATTTATAAAAAAAAAGGATAAACTACCGCCACGGGTAAAAGTCAATAATCTATCTTACTTCTATACTTATAATATTACTAAGCTGAAGAATTTGTTTGTTTAAACGCGCTAATCTCCGAAAGTACTGGTTCAAATTGAACAATTTCTTTTGTATTTTTTACTCCATTTATCGAGGAAGCTTATAGGCTAATAAAACATCACGCTACGATCTGTAGGAGCAGAGCAGCGAGTAAAACCGCATAGTAGCATGTTTATTATAATTCTCTATTTTGTATCGCACAAAACAAAACAACAAAAGAGATAGGACTACCAAAAATAGTACATCGCATAATTAGGTCAATTACAAATTAGGTACATAAATTCCATTTAACATACAAACGTTATCAACACTCCCTATTTACTTGTAACATTATATAACAGATATGTAATACTATACGTAGGATGTGGTCATGATAACTGGGTAGTGATAATGCGGTACCAACCTACCTATGTTTATACTCCGTATTATCAAATACCTATGCATGAGGGACATGTATGGGATAGATCGGCTAACGAGACGACTCGCTACCAGAATCGTAACAAATAGTTTGCCGCCCTTTTCAGTATTAAGGATTTGAAAGTTGAGGGAATTGGGCCTCCGGTAATTTCAATCACAAGGCAAAAACCAACGCGAGTTTTTTTATGTGGATCGGACGGCAAACGACCACATGGAACACCTGAAGGAAAGCAATCAGTGCCGTCTGTGTACATCCGCAAAACCAGTGGAGTTACGAGTGAGTTGCCAGCTAGATTGGGGAAGAGAAAGAAGGATTAGACCTCCGGTTTTAAGTTTTCTGTGAGGCCGTGGCATTACTCTGGTTGAGCAGTCCCATTAATAGCTCTCCCACATTCTTTTAATCTATGCTGTTCAAGATTAGACTCCATGACAATAGATACACAAAAACGGAAAGGTCCAATTAAAAAAAGAGAACGCCAGAATTAGCGAAGAACCGGGAAGGATGACATTCGCCCTAATTTTTTTTTAATAATCTTTGAAAATATTTTTTTTTAGTTTAATAATAAATGCTGTTGTTTTATCTGGTTGAAACAGCTTCATTCGCAATACTTAAATGTATATGCATTTTATAGGTACTTAATCATTCTTGGAAATAATCTGCCCATTGGAAGACTGTACTTATAATATTCGTGCATTATTAAGAAGATATTATCGAATATGGAACATATTACAACCTAGAAATGAGTGATAAACAGTTAGAGGCGGAACTCGGAAGGCGCAAACTGATTATGAAGCCTTTTTAATTAAGATCGTAAATATTTTGGGATTTTTAAATTTCTGCAAACACAGATGTGACCTCAAAAAAAATCATTTATAAATAGTCCACCTGCATATTTGTAGAATTAATTCTTCATTAAACATTACAATGAAACCTTGAGATATATCTTCATATTTTATTAAGACGACATTCACTATTATGATAATTATGTAAACACCTGGCCCAATGCTGACAAAACCATAATAATCAGACACTTCAAGGTCACATAGGAATATATATACAATATCTTTATTTATAGGAACCACTTTTGTAAGAACTTTGTCATCATACAAAATCTTCATAACAAAGGTTAGAATTCTCACACAAACATAATAGAAGATGGAAATTGAAAAGGCATGTTTACTTCAGCTCTGAAGTCATGTAATTACTAGAAACCTTATGTAAATAAATCATGTTAATACAAGGAACTAGGCTTAAGTATTCTTATTTTTAAAGTAATAAGACTTCTTGGTTAAGTAAATAGAAAGTATGGATTTGAGTAAGTACAGCAGAGACTTTTTTGAAGAAGCTAAGTATGCCAAATCGTGAAACTCTTGAATTAATTTTATTGCCAACCTTAACTCTTAAAACAGAAAATGAAAAAATCAGGGTAGATTGACAAACAGTTATAGAAGTATTTAGCTACATGATCACTTAAATTTATGCAAAATAATATAAAAAAAATAGTACTTACCTCTTCATTGTACAATTTACTTAATTCTTTCTTAATAGGGTCTATGAGTTGTATTTGGCCGGTAGAAAATCCTATAACTAAGGACACACTGTCCGGTGTCATTGTGACCGTGTTAAAGTCATGGCAGGTTGGGTTTGTCCCTTTGTACATCTTCTTGTCAACTGGCTTTGTGAGATCTGCCGCCTGCCGAGGAAGTGTGTAATATAGTGACATGCCCTGCCGGACGGACAATTGTGTGAGTTTTGTGTCCCATTGGATTCATACATCTAACTACAGTATATTTACTTGCTAATAGCATAGTATGGTGTTAGTATGGACTATGTTATAGCTGTTTTATCATGCAAAGCGTGTCAGATGAACAAAGCTACTTAATTGAATCTATGCTATATATTAATTATGGTTATTCAATAAAAGAAGTAAGTAACCACATCCTATAGAATCTTAATCAACAGTTATTAATGCAATTGTTCAGAACTTGATTAAGTATAAAACAATAATTACAACTTTTGATAGCTAAGGAATGAAAACATCATTTGTTTGTGATGTTGATTTCACTTAGATACCACTATGAACATTTGAAATCTTATTTGTGCAAAATGTAGGTGAATGATTCATATTTTGGGTCATAATTGGATCAATAGGTATATTTTGTTAGTGATAAATATTAAGTTACACACATTTTTTATAGTCAATATTGTAACACACCTACAGTATAACCAATTAAGGTTATTAATATTTAGATGGAGAGCACAGATACTATTTATAGATATGGTATGTTTGCTGTTGATATGGATTTTTTTGCAAGATAGGGAATAGGAAATGCTGATAAAATTTATTTTCAAATAAATTCTGTTGAGCTCCCAGTCTAGAAAAATCGGAGATATGTTATGTGTGCTCAAACCATTTCACAAAATTAAATTGAAGTTAGAATTCTTATTAGTTTCTTCTAATAGTGTGTATCCTAATATTTTTTTAAAATTCAAATAAGATGTGGTTTTTTTAAACTAAAATAATATACTTAATATAAATTTAGCTATACATGCAAACAACAAGATAATATACCTTTTTGACACCTCTGTACACATAAACATAAAGTTCTTTGCCATGGTTGAAGCATATCCTATCGTCGGATCCTTGTCCATCAGAGCCAGGCGCTCCGCCCCCAGGGCCCGGTGGAAGGCTGACCAGAGACACGCGCACATGGGAAGACCCGGAGCCACTCGTATAACCAACACGATTAGGCCTGGAATACTCCGATAGGGTCATTAAGCGATATGTGCCTTCTCGTGTCACGAACTGGGTCTTCACGTCGTCCTTCCCTCCAGAGTCTGATTGCACAGCCATGTTAACATATTATCCTGTTATTATTCATGGAGTCGGCTGCTAGAGAAGCCCCGATTAGACGTGACACCTCACTCCAAGTATAGACGCGTATTAAAGCGTTCGTACACAATGGCCATCATATTACAATACACTGTTGTAAACTCAATTTATTCGCCTATTGCTTACAAGCGTTATTGTAAACGTTTTTGATTACAAAACGTCGAATTAAATAAATTTGTGTATGCAACTAAAAAGTCAGGTGTCAGACAACATGACGGCTTGTTGCTTATGGTACTGTGTTTATTTTTTAATCAGGGCTAGTGTAGTGCACTAAACTAAATGTATTTTACACATATCCATAGACATATAACCGATCTCGCTCATTTGATTATAAATTTTATAATCGAGACACACTTGTCTTCTAATGTACATTAACCTGATTGTAAAGAAAAGTATGATTTAAATATGTTTTATAACTTTTATATTTTTATACCCTTATTTATTAGCACAAGCTCATCCAAATGAAATAGCTTACGTATTATGTCATTCATCATTGTCTGTCATCAGCAACTGGCTTTCGAGCCACGAGAGTAATAAACATGCAATCGAATACACATAATTAGCACCTTCTGATTATAATTAGATCGATAAAATTTATTTGTCATGTGCCTAACATCATTTAATTCAAGTTGAAATCCGAAGTCCAAGGTTATAAACTACGTATTGGTTTTAAACTGCAATGTTTTAACAAAAGCATGATGAATTCTATGTCTTGGAAGTTTGGTAGAAATTTTAAGTTGATTATTATACATGGCTATGCTTATAACAAACATCATACGAGCCTGTTCCACAAAACGATTACTAAACGAAGTTAAGTTAGCGAATCAAATAGTTAAGGAAATCAAGCCACCAATGTATAAGGTACATCAATCTCCATATCATATTCAAAGATTTAACTAATAAAATAATCGCATTCCTTTCAATCGATTTTATTTCACTTAAATAGAAATTAGTATTACTACATACTTTTAAAATTCAATGACTTTATTTGACATCCTCTACAACTTTATTTGTTTCATTACCAGCTTCATGTTTACTAACTCCAGAAACATTCTCAGTTGCATCCTTCATTTCAATGTTGGGTGATGTTGCATCTGTGGTCTCAGTTGACAGTTCTGTTTTATTCTTAGCAGAATCATTGGAACCATTCTTCTTTTCTTCTCCTTCTTTACCTTCCAGGAACTCATCCCATTTATTTATCCTCTTACTAATCTCAGAATCAGTTTCAGCAATCCTATACTTGGTCCTGCCATCCCATATTTCAGCTGTTATCTGACGTTTGCCAAACCATCTTCCATTGATAAGTTCAACAACTGCATCAGCCATTTCTGGCTCTTTCATGGTGATCTGAGCTACTCCTTCAGGATGTCTGTCATAAATGACTACTTTTCTAACTTCCCCACATTTCCCACATTCATCTCTCATATCTTGTTGATAGTCTAGAATTAATTGGACCTCTTGATCAAAATCAGAAGGGTGGAACAGATTCTTGACAATGACAACTCTTTCATGTTTTGACCTTTCACCAATAAACTTTTCTGGTCTCCAATCAAACAATTTCTGCTGCATTTTCTTAATTTTCTCAAGTTCTTTTTTCTTTTTCTTCTTTGGTTTCAGAGCTGGATTGTATTCACCTTTCATTTGGAATGATGCTCTCTCCACTTTAATTTTGTTTCCTTTAAAATCACTGCCATCAAGTAGTTTTAGTGCTAAGTCTACAGATTCTATTTTAATGTAAGTACACAGTGCATCACCTTTGAAACAGTCTTGTTCTTTATCTTTGTACAATTTTACTTTCATCTTTTGATTGCTAGGGTCTCGTTCCACCAGGCCACATTTTTGCATGAAATTGACAAATTCTTCTTCAGTTAAGTCTAGAGGCAGATTTGACACATACACCTTGGTATTTGTTTCTTCTGATGGCTGGAACCATTGTGGTTCAGCTTTCCGTTTCACTCCTGCTGCTGCTGTGACATCAGCTTTCTTTTGTTCTTTCTTTTTTTCTTCTTCTTTACTTTTGTCTTTCTCCTCAGCCTTATTATCAACAAATCCATACGACATTTGATATAGAGCTAAGAAGTCATCATCAACTTTTGGAATCCAGGCTTTCTTATCAACATCCCAGAAAAATTTGGATCCATCAGCTTCTGTGTAAATATGAGTGTCATTTTCATAACTGTACTCTCTTCCTTGTACTTCTTGACCCGGTTTCAATGTCCAAGAATTGGATTCTGTACTCCATATGTACTTTTGATTGTTTGAAGGGTCAGTATAGACAGCTTCTTCACCTTCATATGTAATATATGGTGCATAATCACCCCAAGTGGATTCAACTTTACTACTTTCGTTATCAGTTACATTACTCTTACTTGAATCATTATTCACAGTTTGAGGATTTGTATCTTTCTTATCAGATTCAGGTGGTAAACTAACCTTAGGCTGAGAATTGTCGTTACCTTCGGGTGATTTTGTTTTCTCATCAATTTTATTTAAGCCAGTGTTCGGACTTTCAGGTTTACTGATTTCTGCAAGCTGCGTTTTGGCTTGTGACTCCTCTTCTACTAATTTTTGCACAGTTTCATCCGATAATTTGATCACGAAACCCGTTTTAAGGCCCTTCTCTTGTCGAGCCATCCTCACGTTTGCATTCCGCTATTAGCATATAGTAAGCACACTTCTTACAATTCACATTCGTTAGACGTAAATAGATTAGTAATTTGTACTATAATTTCCTTTAATATTTAACAATAAAATATGGTTTTATTTACTTTCTCATGGTCAAGTACAGAATTGTCATTTCAATATTTCAATTTGACAGTGGCAATTTGATTGTTAGTGAAGTTCCTTATCATGTAGGTACATTACCTCAAAAATCAACTAAAGAATGAAATATTTCGTTTTTTTATTGCGCTGCGACTGAGAATCTATCACAGTAAACAATCCATGTTATATTTCTTGAGAGGTAAAGATAACATAATATGATTGGTAGTCTAAAATAAATGTGGGTTCAAAATAAAACCGTTAGTGTTGTGGTTTTGTCACTAATTCAGCCGAGACTTGACTTGGCAGTGACAGTATTTGACATCAATTGTAATCACAGTACTGTCATATCTGTCAGTTCGAAAGCGACTTCGACCTGTTTGTTCTTCCACTGCAGATAATTTAAAAATACAAATTACTGTACTGTAACTTTTGAGTGTAACAAAAAAAACTTGTAAGTTAAATTATCTCTATTAAACCGGTAGGACAGGGCTCTGAAGATGGAAGATCTCACTAAAGTATACCTGTCTCCTTTACCTGATTCTCCGTACGTGAGGCCTTTTCGCTTTAACTACGTTCAGGGAGGCAAGGAAAAGAACTGGGATATGCTGGCAGTACACGACAGCGTTGCTATTATAGTTTTCAACACGACCAGAAACGTTTTGGTATTCGTCAAGCAATTCAGACCAGGTAAGTAAAACCTCAATCTATGAAGAATTAAACTGAACACGTTTGCGGAATTGCTGCAGATCTTATCTATTTTTTTAATTAAATTAATGTCAAATTTAGATTTATGATAGCAAAAGTTTAAACCTTAGTGGTTTTTGGTTGCTATTTTAAGTGATAATCCTGTATTTACTGTTAATATGATAATTAAATAAGAAAAGAAGAATATTTATCTCAAATGATTACCTAATATTGAGGATTTGTGTGTATTATGGTAATATGTAATTTGATGTTACAGTCTATATACATAAAAGAAAGTTGTATTAGTTACTCCACTTATAACTCAAGTATGGCTGAACCGATTTAGCTGAAAATAGGCAGGGAGGTAGTTTAGAGCCAGGAGAAGGACATAGGATAGGATAGAGTAGGTTAGGTAGTGTAGGGTACATAGAGTAGTGTAAGTAGAGTAGGGAAGGTAGAGTAGGGAAGGTAGAGTAGAGAAGGTAGAGTAGGGAAGGTAGAGTAGTAAAATGATGGGAGTGACGCCGCGGGTAAGAGTTAGTATGATTATAAAATAATATTTTGTGTCAGTATTCTACGTATTTCAATCTGGATTGTGTATGGTTTGAACACACATATCATGCAATATTATAGTTAGTGGAACAAGAAAAGAGAGAAAAATACATGTATATGTTCAGAGTTGGTCTATAAAATAATTATAATTTTTCATATTCATCCCATAACAATTTTAAATCCAGCACTTGTCTTGTGAAGTTTTACTTGGCTTACTTATTTTTGTATAAAAACTATAACACCTAGCATAGTTACACTTTAAATCTAGTGTGGGTGTTTAAAATTTTATATGAACAATCCCCTTTTTATCTGTACTGTGGGTTATTGTAGCAAAATTAATTAATTAATCATAAACTATTTATTTATGTAGTTTTAAGACAGCAAAGAAAAATCTTTGTCTGGTGGAACAATTCCAGACTGCACTCTACATAAGTATTATCTTTCACCCCAAAACTGTTACCACTCAACTAATTTGAGACTGACACCTGTTTATTTGGCCATAGCATGCAAAATCATCAGTTAGTTAAAAAGTTCAATAATAAGTGTAAAACCTTTTCCAATAAACATCAAAGTTAAAACCTATTTAGATATTAACAATTGTCTATGATCATCAAATAAAACAAACTGACACTGACAGTATTATTTTTGAAAATTTCCCAAAAATTTAAAGAAGTGTTTATTCTGTTTTCTAAATTTATTTTTCTAAACACAATTGGTTACTGATGGCATAAAACACTTAGCTCTTTTTTTGTAAAATTGGTAAAATGGAAATATGTAGTGTGCGCGTTACGGAATTACCACAGGACTCTACTATCAAACCATTCCGTTTGTGCTACTCCTTGGAGGGTCTACCAATGTACCGGGATATGATAGATATAAAGGATGCAGTTGTTGTAATAGTATTTAACGTTACAAGAAGAAGGATTGTAATGGTTAAACATTTTAGACCCGGTGAGTCCATTACCTATCGGAGCAAATACTACCTTGTAAAACTTGGAAGTGTTATGAAAAGGAATTAATTTCAATTATTTCTATATTTCAACATCAACAAATTGGTATGGGTTCCTTTTTCTCATAGAGGTTTGTTAGACCTTGACATAGCTTTTTGATTATATCTGATATCAATTGATATTCCTGATATATAAATAATGCATTACAGTTAGGTTGAAGGGAATGTTTTTGGCTAGTTAAATTATATGACCTCATTATGCCTTTCTTTTATTTTCTTTTTTTAATAAACGTTGCCTCAAGCCAGGTTTTTCTCATGTGTCGTGGGTGCGTTTACAAACATTCAATTTCACATACAAATCACACCCAGACCCAGAACAGCAATTAGTGGATCACACAAATAGTTGTTCAGTGCGGAAATCGAATCCGCGACACGTTGCGCGGCAGCCAGTTGGCCAACCACCGCGCCAACCGCGCGGTCCAGTTAATTATATCTTCTCAAATGTATCCCTATCATTTTTGTCTTTACCATACTAGCTAACATGTTTTAAATAAGTAGGCACTGAATTTGTTCCCTTTTCCCAGCGGTATACTTCAACTGCATACCACCAAGAGACCGGGAATGTGAGGAAATTGATACGTCGAAGTACCCAGCCTCGCTGGGCATCACCCTGGAGATGTGCGCTGGTATCGTCGACAAGAACAAGTCATTGCAGGAGATAGCCAAGGAGGAAGTACTAGAAGAATGCGGATACGACGTGCCGCTTAGGGAACTGCATGAAATTACATCATACAGGTTGGTTGGACGTGCTCTTTTGGCTTTTGAGCACCTAGCTTCGCTATTTAATGGATGTCATATTATATGTAAACGTCCTAAATAAGTATTAAAAAAACGCACCAAAATCTGTTGCGTAGTTTTAAAGATTTAAGGATACATAGGAATTTATGTACAGAGAAAGCGACTTTGTTTTATAGGTACTATGTTGTGATGATAAAAATGTTCTCCACCTTTCATCCCCATTGTATTAATCCCAAATCTTCCTCAAAACTCTAAATTAAGGCTAGCATAGAGGCAACGCACTTGTAACTCATCAATGTGGCGGGTGCCTATTGGGCAATTTAGGCGGCGCCAACGCTCAACGCGGTGACCCGGAAGATTGTTTGACGATCTATAACATAAAAAAATGGAATCGTTGCTTGTAGGAGACACTAGTAGGAGGCTTATCGCCATGGGAACTCCAAAGACGGGAATATACTTTTTGCATTGTACTTATAGCTATCTCCGCAACTCAGATATAGATCAGATAGAGTTGCGGGTTTTTTTTTGTCAGGAGATAATCAAATGACTTCTTCCGTCCCGGAAGGGAGTGTCAGTCTCTTACTGACTAAAAACACCCGTTCCTTCTCCTGCTCTAGTGCCTCATTGCGCTTACTCCGCAACCCCGGCCGTACAATAGGGCACCGTCTGTGGCATATAAACATTTTGTACAGGTTACTTATGCCTAGATATTTAATTAGAACAAATAAATTAGATGTAAATGTAATAAGCTTGTTTACAACACAGGGCCGGTGTGGGCGTTCAGGGTGCTCTACAAACATTGTTTTACTGCGAGGTCACCGACGATATGAAAATAGGAAAAGGTGAGTTATAGATTATAAACAAGCCTTTAGCTGCGGCATGTTCCGCGTTAACTGAGTAAAAAGTTTTGTAAAAAAATATTGGACTGACTTGGATCTCTTTGCTAAGATTCATGTAAATCTGTTCAGTAGATATCGCTGTAAAGGGGAACTGTGGTGTCGTCCCAGGCCTCGGTCAGCATTTTAAACCGTCATCAGCAGGTCGTTTAGACTGCATGGTCTCGCAGTTGCAGGGCAACCGGCTACTCCGCAAAGCGTCTTCATGAAAAGACAAAGTGCCTAGTCAGAAAGGCCCAAAAATGTGAATAACTTAACTGACTGGTGTTTGGTCCGGCAAAAGTTTTTATTGGTTTATTGCTTATTCTTTTTTTTTAATAGACTCAAGCACAAACTCGAATTATTTATGGAATACAGGGGTCTTAAAATAAATAACAGGCACAGCTTAAGGGCCTTTCTCGGGCGTTGCAAATTTCAGGGCTATCACAATAAGGCAGCCCTCAAATTACAACTTAAAAACTAAATAACTTATAAAACAAATGCTTCATATTTAATTAATGTGCAATACAAACTAGTTTAAAATCTATACTTACACAAATTCTGAAACATTCTACATTCATGTTTAATGTTCTCGTGAAAACGTGATAAATGCAATTTTGTTGTATGATAATTAGTTAGTAATTATGAATGTGAATATTGTAGCCGTTGTCTTATCGCATTTCAGTATTTATTACCTTTACACGTTATGTATATACAATGCATAGATTATGCAGCCACATAATACCTGCTTCATTACTATTCATATTTGTGAATATGGTTCTCTTTGAAATCTTCAAAACTCCTGAACTGTTTTTGATGAACTTTATAGTAGGTAGGTAGGAGATAGCTCCTCAATCAATTTACTGCATCCGAGAGCAAATTAAAATAGAACAAATTTCTCTTTTTTAACCTTGTACTTCATGTCTGTGTTTGGAGTGAGAATTTAGCTGATTTTCGTCTGAGATATTTTTAGAAGACCAGCGGCCCTCTTAGGGCTTATGCTGTGATAAACCGTCAGTCTTCCGGGTGAGAAAGAGGGATGGAGCTATACATCTTTTATAGCTCCATCCCTCTTCTTCTCGTTAGGGTAGGCCTTCGGGAGAGTTTTTAAAAATATTGCCAGTGTAATAGGTACAAAAAATGGCAATTTTCTTTACGTACCTACACAGACACACGTATGCAAACTAGTCTCTAGGTGTACATTAGATTTTTGTACAGGAAACAAAATTTTCATTATTGTCAGCGGTTCATTTTGAAGTAGGCGTAGTTCGGTGGGGTATTTAGCGTCAACTTATAATTATTGGTACGATGACGTAATCAACACCCAACCCTGATAGATAATTGACAAGTCCTATTATGAAACTCCCATTAGTACATAATATCTATACATACATTTTCTATACGTATACATAAACTGGCGGCTCACCCCAACTTACCTTTTTAATATTAGGGTAATACCTATAATATTAATAGTGAATTTATAGACTGCACGGTTCGTACGGTGCCCTGGCTGCCCTGCAACGTGTCTCGCGTTCGACTCCCGCACGGAACAACTCTATGTGTGACCCACAAATTGTTGTTCCGGGTCTGAGGTCTGGGATCATGTGCATGTGAAATGGTACGTTTGTAACCGCATCCACGACACAGGAGAAAATCCCAGTGTTAGGCAACATTCTTTAAAAATAAAATATTAATTTGATCATAGACTATATTTGATTGAGATACCTTCACATAGGTATTTTTAAAACATTTATTTAAATTATCTATATCATACTTGTTTAACATAATTACTTTAACACTTAATTTTTTGTCCCTAAAAGGACAGTTAAGAATAGGTCGAACGATACATAGGCACTAGTACTTGGGCATTTTATCATATACTTGTGTTGTACCTATTATATAAGAACTTGACAGGTTTATCATCAAAAACATCTTGTCTATCGACTAATGGATCTCACCTTGCGATATATCGCATTTTCAATCAATGACGTATTATATATAGACACGTCATGAACCAACATCGCGGCGCTTAAAAACGGCGAAAATACTAGATAACTACTTCTACTAGTAAAGAAAGGGAAAGAAAATATGACATCGTATAGTGGAATGCCTTTTCTAGAGGGAGATAAATATACATCTTCAGTTACATCACAGGATAAGTAATAGTAAAACTACATTTTCATAAGATGGCCGCCATAAGATGGCCGGCGCCGGCGTCGAAAAAAATAAAATAAAATTATAAAAATAGGTTGTTTGGTGAACTTACGCATGAAATGACACATTTTTGTCTTTAACTTTTGGAGTATAATTTGTACATCGTCTGAACACACACGACGGCATGCTTTACTTATGTTTCGCACAGGTTTACACACATGATATAAATTAAAAACAAACGTAGCGTCGCGCGGCAGGTTGGTGCGTAACTAAGCGCGATGTTGTCAATTGCCTTCATTTCATGTTGTCATTTTAGAGCGCGGACAACGTATCTATAGATTTATACATCATTGTTTTCAATATTTTAATTGAACTAATAAGTATCTATGGTTCTCTTCAATAAGATATTACACAATTTGGTAATTTGCCAACTATCTCATTAAGACCCAGATCCCGTACATTTGTTATAGATGACACTGATACTTTCCCAGCTAGCAACTACTATACTTAGGTAATTCACCCTCGCTGCTGTTCCTGAAAAATATTTTCAATTCTCAGTTATATCACTGTGTTCTATTATCCTTACTAATATTATAAACTCAAAAGCTTGTAAATATGTATAGACGGTTGTTAGTTTCTATTTCATGTAAAATCTAATGAAAGGATTTTAGTGAAAATTGGCACAGTGACAGAGCATAGTCTGGAATATAACATAGGATACTAATGTAGAAATGTAGAAGCTGGACTAAAAATTTCAACCAGCTTCTAAGAGACGGGTTGAAGCTACCCTCTTTAGTCTACGTAATTGCTATCCTCTAGCTACAAAGTCAAGCGCAATAAAGTACCCCGGGCTCGGCCTGGAGCTGGAGAAACAGAAAGAACCGTTCTCGTCTCACCCTGGACGAGAGAAGCCATTTGATGATATCATCCTCAAAAAAGCTATCTAATAATCTACTTTTGTGTGTTTGTGTGTATTGTGGACGTGGACACTGACTGTAGTCATATTTCAACAAATTTCAAAATTAATCGCTCCTAACCAGATATAAGTATCAAAATAACAATCATTCTCATTCAAATATTCCAAATAATAACCTGAAGGTTACCACAACCATACTTCTACTTCTTGAATTCTGTTTATTTATTTGATAGCACGCTATCTTTCTCGGAAAGTAGGAACACGCGATATCGATTTGTACCTGCTTTCAGGGCCATTTTATATCGATTTGACACACTACACACGCACGCGTGCGAAATAATAATGTGCGTTACATTAATTACTTGTAACGAAGGACTAAGAAATTAGATTTTTTTAACATTGCCTCCATTGGATTGCTCGTTATTAATGCTTCAGGCTTTAAGTCCTATGAAATTGTATGTACTTACCTACAGAAAGCATAATAAATTAATAGATTTGCCCAGTTTTTGTAAGGGGGCAAGATCATTAGGTGACTTCTCGTCGTGAGGGAGTGTCGAACTATTTGCTAAATCCTTATCCTGTAACAAAAAAAAAAAAAAAACTCGTAGATCGCAACATAAAGCACATATCTCCTTTTGCCTGACCTTTTAAGTAGACTCGTCCGATATTATAAAATAAATATGTGTGACTGCTTAAATTTGGGGGTAGAAGTATTTTCAAGCGCAATATTTGTACCGCTGCCCCGGCCCAGTGCAGAAATACGAATAGTATGATTTTTTGTCACTAAGAGGTTGGTCCCTTTCGCCTCAATCTGGACGAATTTTTGAATTCATTATAATAATTATGATTATCGCCCTCAAAAAAGGAGAAATTGCTATATATATTGAGAATGAAAAGATGTTATTTTATTTCCACTAATTAAAATAAATGTTACTTCCTATTTGCCTACTTGCCAAATGTGTATACAGTAGTACTTATTTATTTTTTTATTTCCCAGGTGGTGGCGTCGAAGATGAGATTATAGAAGTTGTAGAGAAATCAATAGCAGAAGTAGAGACGTGGATATCATGCCCGGGACCCTTGAATTCTCCTCCATCTTGTCTGTTTGCGTTGATGTGGTTTTTACGACACAAAGCTGACAGATACAGGAAGTAGGTCAATTTGTTGAAACCAGTGTTAGCTACTAAAATACGGTCTAATATTTTTTAAGGATTGGCGCCTTTAAGGTTAAATTTTGCACTTAAAATACATAATTAGTTAAGGCTATATATATATGAAAAGTGAGAAAAATGTACAAGCAATTTTTAACTTTACCTACGCCAATATTGAGAGCTATTTTTAAATTAGCAATTTTGAAAATCCTTCTGCAACGTTTGGGGCCTGTAATTTTGTTAGCTTTTTGTATGTAGATGAAATTTATAATATTTATTTTAATATCAAATTATTGAATAATTGATTAATATTTGTTTTTTTGTCAAGTAAGGTCATATGAGAGATACTGCGCTGATTGCAAAGTGGTTCAAGACAATGGATTTTTTGCCACATGTATGTGATTTTATTTTAATTTTTATGTATTAGTATGGATTGTTAATGTATTACATATTTTTACGGCTCAGTAATAAAGTTTTATGCCGGTTATTATAAGATATTTTACCCTTGAAATCGGAATACGTAAAACTTACACTTTTCATGTTAACAAGATGTTATTATTACAGCTTGACGTTTCGACCTGGTTGCACAGGTCATGGTCGCAAACAGACTGTGCAACCAGGTCGAAACGTTAATCCTTCCAAGGTATTTAAATAATTTCTTTTCGCGTTAATACCTATTTAATAAATGTTTATAACATTGACCTTAAATAACGAATTCATGTATTTTATCAAGATGTACTAAAATGAACGTTATAGTTTTCGCAATATTTTTCAAAGCCTTGACACTGGCATAGCCTTTGTTCAAGGTCACGTCTAGTTGCTATGCAAATACCTACGTAATAATATTTTATGATTACCGGATACATACATTGCGAATAGTTAAATTAGTATTGTTCTATGCCTATTATTTTCATTTCTCTATCGTAATATATTACGTAGTTAAGTCGGCTGATGATTTAAACCTAGGACACGCGTTTTTGCTTGATTAAAATAAGCTGTTTCTTTCTATATGTGTGAGTACTGTTTTGGGATATGAAATTCCCAAAAGTCATTCACTATGTAAACTTTATTGTCATATTTTTATTTAATGTACCAAAATTGTTAATTGCTTTCCCGGAGTTCTACTTTGTAATTAAAGAGTAAGTGAAAAGTATGAAAATGCGTGCCTATGTTTTTATTTTCCTCTCTAGGCATAAATTAATAAACTAAGAAACACTAGTAAAAATAATTCAAATGTGTATATTATAGCGTTCAGTTCCGTACCTATTTAATATATCAAGATAAGTCCGCTGTACGTCTGTACCTTGTGTCGCGAGGGTTATCTTGTAATTATTTCATTATGTAATTATGTATTACTTCACGTAGAAAATTGACATCTAATTGCGTAGTAATAGTGGTCGCCCCTGCTTTGCTTAAAAACCACGGTGTCAGTTTTTTTTTATCGAACTGCCATGGCATTATAAATTGCAAGCCTGTAATGATTGGCGTGGTGGCTGGGCAACTGGCTGCCGCGCAATGTGTCGCGGGTTTAATACCCGCACGGAACAACTCTTTGTGTGATCCACAAATTGTTGTCCCGGGTCTCGGTGTGATTTGTATGTTTGTAAACGCACCCAGGACACTGCCGAAAATCCGAAAGAGGGGTAACGTTTTTAAAAAATACAATAGGAAGAAAGAAAGCTTTTCTACGATTGTCCTTTACAAAGCCTTCTGCTAATAAGAATAATATATTCAAAAGAGAATTTTCAAAGTTTGTCTAGCCGTTTACGCGTGATGCCATGACCAAGAAAAATTGGGATTCATTTTTTAACCGACTTCCAAAAAAGGAGGAGGTTCTCAATTCGACCGTATATATGCTTTTTTTATGTTTGTTCTATATGTATACGTAGATATTGTACATACCAAGATTTTAGATGGAATGTATGTAAACAGTAGTTTACGTAATGCTTTTGGTAGTATTTTGATTTTGTAGTAAAACCTACTATTTCTGTGTAGGTACTATCCTAATATTCGTTAAGTTTTAAATTATTTTGACACTACAGAATTCCCACAAACAATTCCCAGTTACAAAACGTAATTTATATTTTTTTGTCAGTTTCAAGTTTTTATTGAAGTAATCTTGTGTGCTAAGCCTAACAAGGTACGTAATGTGTTTAAATTAAGATAAAATGTTGTTAAAATAAGTAGGTTTAATTTGTGTCATCCAAAACATAGCTCAAACTATGATTCCATGGTGCTCAAAAAAAGTTTTATTCGTGACGTATGTGGGGCGCTGTTGAATGTAGATGTTTAAAAATATCAAAATATAATACATTTATTCTTTTTATAGTTTTCACTCCTTCATATCTTCTGGCGCCAACTGGTACCAACAGGTTCTGTCAATTAGTTAGAACTTGCTTTCTTATCAAATTAAATTGGCTTGTAAAGAACTCGTATTGTATTGTACCTAAGCATATATGAAATATAATGTTTTAAAATTGCAAATTGAACGAAATTAAATCAGCTTTCAGTTTCATTTTGCTTATTAGAAAAGTGTATAAGAAGTCGGAGTTATTATACCTACGTAGTTATAAAATGATACATGCAAATTAAAATATATGAATGTTGTAATTTGTTTACAAATTAAATAAAGTATGTTATTTTACTGTATTACTTTAATAAAAGCTCATGTGTTTTTGTTCATCGTAAAAATATCAATTACAGTGTTTATTGTTTTAAAAACATCAAGAGAAGCCTTATTAAAAAAAAAAACATTCTATTATACAGACATGAGTTTGCCTTAGATTATGGACTTCTGAGTAACTAGTGTTTATATATGCATTACGTTAACGCGATGAAAACGTTACCATGTTTATCTCTTTGATTGGTTAGTTAACATGTAGCAGGACCAATTAGAGCGCCGAAACGTCATAAACGTCGTCTTAAAGCAAAACAAACTAGCACTAAGCCGCCTAATGAGCTCAAAAACTTTGCATCATTAAGTCACTTTTACATCACATTTCAGCATCAGACTGAAGTCAACAAAAACAAAACACAAGTGTGTCGTCAGAAGTGATCCAGTGTGCCCGTTTTTATAATATATACCTCTATCATAAGTCTAAGACTTTAAAAAGATAGTATTTGTCTGTTTTCTATAACGGCAATGTAATTATTTATGGCCAATTTTCGACCCCTTATTATAAAACAAGATTTATTTTTAGTATAGGTTTAAACTACTGACACCCGGTTTCTGAAAGGCTTGTCAACGCTAAAATTAACTCATCTCCTGTTAAATCGCTTGTCAAGACATCTGATTGGTTGTTGATAATTCAGTCAACCAATCAGATGACTTGACAAGAGATTAAATTCATTTTAACATTGATCGGCCTTTCGGAAACCGGTTGTGAGTCAGGTTTTTTATTTTGAATCTATTGTCACCTTTCATCAATTTGAAATACAAAAACTGGGTCAATGGTTCAAACCAATACTAAAGGTAACATTGTTTTGTAATAAGGCCAAAAGTAACCACCAAAGGCGCTGTAAAGTAACTTGAAAAATTCTATTGCTGGTAGAGGGTACTGTGTCTGATAATCTGTTTGGTAAATATTTATTATGATTTTATTGGTACATAATAACTGTGATTGTAATGCCTTTCTGTGATTAAAACTTGAAATGGATTTATGGTTTTTTTCATTTGAGCTGTTGTCCTAATTTTTTTTATTACCTATTATTTCAGTTGAGGCTTGAGGTCAAGGCTGTTAATAAGACTGCCTAGCAATTGGTGTCGGCCGGTTTGAAGTATTGAACTTGTGTAAAATGGCCATGCAATCGTGAAGAATTATATAATAATTATGATGCGAGAACGATTATTAAGATAATCTTGATAGTTAGGGGTCATACGGGGTCGTCAACAGTTAGGTTACCACACTCAAGGTATTTAATTAAAAAAATAAGCGAAAACGCACATTACCATACTCACGTACAGACTTTACCACGGACTAAGAACAAAGAGGAGATGTCATAATTAGATTTCCCTAAGAAACACCGCGTGATATTTTGCGGGGTGAGGGGGTATTAGACTCCGCCCATTTTTTATTTGCCATCTGCCGGTCCATAGCAATACTACTCGCTCATTCAATTTACTTCTTTTTGTAGTTATGTAACTATTTCACAATAGATGTCACTAACGCAACAGGGTCGTACTTAGAATTACCGGGGAGTTATTTTTTAAATACCTTTGCGAATCATCTTGATACATATTTTTTATCGAAATAGTAATACGATTATTTGTGAATGAGGATCATTCTACATTTATCAAAACCATTTTATTGTAACATCTTTTTCATTTATAAGGGGTTATTCCGTTAAGGGCGTAGCCTGAAGCAGAAACTCGTATACTATGCTACCAAGAGGCTGATGCCCTGCTGATAGCTGGTTCTTTGAGAAGACGAGTGTTATTATTAGATTTGTCATTGCTGTACTAATGTGTAACTCGAAACGGCATATACTTTTAGACTGGTGCCATCTTCAAACATATGATTCAGGGATTCGTCGACGAAATAAAAGACTTCATGTGTATCTTCATAGGTATTGAAGGGAAAAGGCCTCTATCTACGATATAACTACTAGCGGCCCGGTACGTGCTTCACTACGTTTAAGTGTATAATAAAATATAATCAAAATTATTTTATTATGTCCATTTAATCAAACAAAAAAATTTTTGAAATTCTTTGCTATGTAAAATTCCAAATGAGTCAAATGATATATAATTGAAAATTAATGGCACTGATATAAATGTTCTTCGGTGCTATTGTCTAATAGTGCATTCTCTGAACTAATCATTCCTGCGATTCTGAAGAATATTCGGAAAAACAATTGTGGGCAATTGTATAAAAAATATCCAGTAAAATGACCAAACCGTCGGTACTGTCGATTGGTATTTTGCCATCACCATTCCAAACTAATATTATAAACGCGAAAGTAACTCTGTCTGTCTTTTCTTCACGCCTAAACTACTGAACCTATTTGAGTGAAATTTCGTACAGACTTTGGAACTCGAGAAAGGACAGCGCGATAGTTTTTAAACCCAAAATCTACAGGAAGTCACTATTCCACGCGAACAAAGTCGCGAGCAAAAGCTAGTTTCTAATAATTGTTTTGAAAACTCATGGGCAGTTGCATCATTACGTAGCTAAATACGCATTATTACTAAAGTTCAGTGTCAATTTTCGTATATATCTCCAAATAACTGATGACTTCAAACAGGTTTTTCATCAGCTCCTGCTGATGAAAAACCTGTTGTTCGAGGAATGACAGGCAATGTTTGCCAAAAGCCCCTTGACAGCAATATCAGAGCACCACCAAAAACCTGTTGAGTACCTAAATTTTGCATGGTTCGATTAAATGCTTCTATTGATTTTTTATTCGCCATTGTATGAGTGCACCCCATAAAGTAATTGACGTTAGTTGCAAAACTTTTGCCATAGCAGAATTTCTCGAAATATTACAAGTTGCACTTTAAATCACCTGTACATTCAATAGCAATGCTAATGAAGAGTGTGCGGTCCTACCACCTTGTAATAATGTAGCAGCAATCGTCTTAATAATGCCACTTGATTTGCATTACGTGTTCGCCGGTTTTACCTCAACAATATTTTGGAACATAAAAAAACAAAACAATAACTCAACAATATTTTGGAACAATAACGAACATTTCATCTAATTAACTAGTGGTATGTTAAATGCTATTCCAAAGTTAATAATACCGCCAGAACACATCCTAATTATCTTCACGACTGTCATAGGTACTATTTACTATGAAAAACGAACAAAACCTGCCCTAGTGTGACGACATATTTCGAAATAAACGAACAATGGAACGAAAGATATGTACGAAGGACAGAGTGTGTTGTAGGCATTTCATAGGCTTACCGGCGATACATCATCATCATCATCATCAGCCTATAAGTGCCCACTGCTGAGCAAAGGCCTCTTCTCACACGGAGAAGGTTTGAGCATTAATCACCACGCTTGCTCAATGCGGGTTGGCGATTTCAAACTTATAATTATAAATTATAAGTCCAGGTTTCCTCACGATGTTTACCTTCACCGTATATCAGTGGTGTCTAAATAATCCTAGAAAGTACATATAACTCGGAAAAAGTCACATTGGTACTTGCCAGGTTTCGAACCCACACCCTCATGCATGAGAAGCTGGCTCCCCAACCTCCGGGCCACCACGACTATATCGTATATCGGCGATACATATCTGAGTTGTATTACCTAAGTCCTGATGCATTTGGGGTTGAAATAAAAACCGAAGAGGAACTTTAGAAGTATAAATAAGGTCGTTCAGTTTCAAACACTCACGCACTATGATTTAGCTCTAACAGCGTGCGGTGAGGTTTTTTTAGTTGATTTGAGTGATTCCATTCGCGACTTAAATAAATCAACGATACCTATTAACCTTAAAAAGTAATTGCCTCCTAACTACTGCCCTGTCTTTATTTATGTTTTACTACTTGACGACAGATGGCTGTCTGTTTATAAAATGATATAAAAGTTACATAAATAATATTTTGGCGATTATAGGATCTTCAGGAATGCATGTCGACCAAATTACTATACAAACGATCATTAAAATATACTAATACTGAACTATGCGTACCTATAAAAATTTTGTTTCTATGATACAAAGTGTCGACATCTAGTGTCGCGTAGATTGATAATTGGAAACACTGACAATAAAAGACTTTGCTAGAACTATTTTAATAAATGACGAATAAAATAACTTATACATGAAAAGTGATGCCATCCATAGCACCGTAACGTTTATCATAGTATTTTTTACAAGATAAAACACAAGACTTCATTTTGTTTTCTTCTGTGAAGAGTAAAATGAATATTTTATAGGAGTTGTGCACAGAACGAACGACCACATTACACTGACGTAAGCCACGCCCACCTTGATGACGTGAAGGCCGACTTGTGTCACAGGGCCGAGTTGTTTAGGCCGTCTCCTCTTTGTTCTTACTCCGTGGACTTTACCTTTGGTATTTCAGTATTTTATTTGATACCTCAGGAATAGCTGTATGTTGTTTATGTCATATGCCGTCAAACGAAACGGATTACTTGTTGGTAAGCAATCAGCGCCGCCCATGGACACTCGGAGGACCAAAAGAGGTTACTACAAGTCGTTGCCGGCCTCTTGAGAGTTATTAGTGATAAGGATTGATGTTGAAATAAACACAAGAATTTAGAAGTACATTAAGTATTTAATATAATTATTATTAATCTGCATACAAACTATAAGATAACGAGTGTCTAATGTATCCTGGTGAGATCCTCTACTATTTTGATGAGGTCGTCTACTGTCGCGTCGCGCATCATTCCACCACCATCGTCGATCTGTAACAATTACACACAAGATATAACATTTCCCTATCCTTTCAGGGACTGTATAAAATTCAAACTTGCTAAACATAAATTACTAACTAAATGTCTTATTCGTCCGTCAAACACAGGTTTCAAAAGAGAATCAATAAGATTCTCTGCCTAAATTAATCTCTTAGTTATATAGTCTCTATAGATTGACCTGGTTATGTATAAGTAAATTTCAAGACTATCCTCTAAACCCGATTCACTGTAGATGCTTTCTAAATTTTGGCACTATGAAAATGGTTGTTGTCAAAGTCAAAATAATTTATTCCAACTAAACCATAAATAGTAGCCAGTTCTTCAGTGAAGCTTCAGATTCTAAAGTGTAAATTCTAATGAAGAAGAACGAGCAAGAAACTCATTTTAAATCCATCATTACTCTTTTTTTTTTAAATTTACAGATTCAAATATTTACAAGTTTATGGAGTTCATCAATACCAAATTAAAGCTATTTGAAAATACGTCTTTAACATTTAGATTTATAAGAACTGGTCGTAAGTCAAAGTAAGTACAAACCTGTAACCCTTGCACCGTCTCCTGTTGCATTTCCCTAGAAAGGTCTAGGAAGCTCTCGATAAGGTCTCCATCAATGAATCCTTCCGCCGGTTCCGTCTTGATATCCGTGTTGAACGACCGCCAGAATGAGTGCGGTATCTTGCCCACTGACTTAATAGTATGCGTTAACCTCTCTTCTAGTTGATGTAAAAATTCGTACAATTCTGGAGCTAATTGCACTACTAAACCTGTTGACATAATAATTAGTAATTAGTGTCTATTATAATACAAATCGACGTAAGTCATAGAAAAAAAATGTGTTTAACTAGTCTTCAATGAGGAACAGGAGAGTTAATGTGGCTTTGGATGCGTGGCAGTGGGTGAATGTGGGTGGCAGAGAATGAGTAATCTTGACAGTAGATAAATATGAAAGTAGGTGAGTGTGCATGGCAGTGAACTAGTGAGCTTTGTAGTAAATAAATCTGAAAGTAGGTGAGTGAGTATAGCGATCTGGAGAGAGTCGCAATAGAAGAGTGAGTTTGCGTAGGTAAATGTAACAAACATCTGGTCAGTGAGTGTCGGCAGTATAGTAACGTGTACGTACAGATAGATCCAGTGACGGTGGCGAGTAGTACGGGGTTGTGTACGGGCGCGGCGCTGTCCGCGTGCTGGGCGACGAGCGACCCGCCGCGCATGACGTTGACCATGTCCCCGAGGTGGAACTGGCCCATGTAAGACATCTGCTGTCTCTCCTCGTCTGTTGTCGCAGCACTATATACATAATACACATCGTCAAACATCTAATGGCGACATTGGAATTGTTTCAATTTCGTTAAAACCGCTGGTCGGATTTCCAAAGCCAAAATTATTTGACTGATATAGATAGCTACAATACTATTGAGAGCTAAACACTATAAACATCACGCTATACGGTCAAATGGAGCCAAACAATGGGTGAAACCGCGCGAGAGTAGCTAGTATAATATATAATTATTAACGAGGGGATTTGGGATCATGAAGCTAATAAACAAACCAACCTGATCGAGCGAGACTCTGGAATAAAATCCAATCAAGGAGTATGGATGCTATTTTATAATATTAATATTTTTAAACAAGAGTCAAGGCATTGCCTGTCTTGACCATCGCTCTTTACTACTAAAGTTTATAAATATGCGAAGCGTGTAAGGCCATTCATCATCGCTTAACATCAGGCGAGATAGTGGCCTATTGCAAATAAAAAAAACTGACAATTTGTTATGCTTTCACGGTTAAACTACTAAAAAGGATGAAAAAGGGCTATAATTACAAACAACCGTCCAAAAATATATGAAATGATTTATGCAGGATGATAACTCACCTATCCTTTTGGCACACAAACAGGTTGAAACTATTTTCAGCGCCCAGAAAGGTGTCGTCATCCAGTATTTCGATGGCCGTCATCCAGTTGGGGCTGTAGTCACGCGCTATCTCTTCAAAACTACCCTCCATCTACAAAAAAGAAATGCGATTTATTAGTAAAAATTGTTTTGCTTGTTTATTTCTTCTTGTTTAAATTGGACAGATGCTGTTATATATTTATTGATACTGACATGAATTATTAAAATAATATTGTGTTTAATTTTCTGTTAACTGTGGGAGAGACAAGCATCGGCAAGAATGTGTCGGCTCGACCAGAGTTATACCACGGCCTTGCAGAAAACCGGCGTGAAACAATTAAAGTGTTGTGTATCGCCGTGTGAGTGCTCCCGCTATCTCTTCCCAATCCTTAAATATCCGAAACCCTTATCCCTAAAACGCCGGCAACGCACTCGAAACTTCTTTTGTGTTGCGGGTGTCCATGGGCGGCGCTAATTGCTTACCATCAGGTAATCCGTCAGCTCGTTTGCTGACCTATCCCATAAAAAAAGGATATGTATTCAGGTGCAACCCTCTCATATGGAAAACGAAGCATTCGCTGCAGGAACCAAACATATAGACGACGCCCAAATGGTTTTAAAAAAAGAAGTTACGGTAGAGTAGAGTAGGTAAAAAGATTAGGTAGTGTACGGTAAATAGTGTACCTAGGGTTTTTTGTGAGGGGAAAATCATCAAATGACTTCTCCCGCCTTACTGACTAAAAAGGGGTCACGGTGCCTCATTGCGCTTACCCCGCAATGAGGCAAATAGTGTTTGGTTGGGTAGAGTATGTAGTCAAATGACGAGAGCTAAGCCGCAGGTGAAAGCTAGTTTTCCATAAAAAAATGACTGTTTGACTGACCTGTTTATACTGCAATAGTGACATGGACCGCATGAGGTCTCCGACAAGAATGAAGTCTCCTTTCACTTTGAGGTACAAAGCGACGATGTTGTTAAAGTGACTACATTCAAGCCGCAGCTCCTTCTCTGAAGTCCATTCGAAGAGGCGTACCTGGGAGTCAATATATATAATTCAGTAAAAAAAAAATTATACACTACGTATATTTTTATTTATATTCAATTTTAGGTTTTATAAATAGGGACAGTAAAGTACAATTTGCTTTTTTTATTAAATAGGTCGGCAAACGAGCATACGGATTACTGCTGTGGTTATTTCACGCCAGTTGAGGCCGTGGTATCACTACAGTCGAGCCGACCCATTCGTGCCGAAGCATGGCTCTCCCACACTTTTCTGGTCATTTACAATATATCGAGTTTTTCCAACTCTTATTGTACTTATATTCATTCACTTGCGCAGTTTAGTTATGATATAAACATTTATGATTTTTTAAAGAACCCAAAAAGGTTACTTAATACAAAAACAGGACAATAAGGATGACAACACTTTTTTAATTGATTTTAGATTGTTCATGTCGTTAAGACACGTACTTTTTCTATTCTTGCGGATCGAAAAAGTTTCGATACGTCGCGTCCATTCATAATCCTGTGACGGCCTGATTAATTACAATACTATACTGTCATCCGTTTTATCTCGACATTGTTTTGGTACACCTCAAAAAAATTGATGTTTTTTTTTAAAAAAAAGCGTTGCCCGACTCTTGGATGTTGTACTGAGTCGTGGGTGCAATTACAAACATACAATTTCACATACACATGACACCCAGACCCGGAACAAAAATTTGTGGATCAAACAAAGAGTTGTCCCATGCAGGAATTTAACCCGCGACACGTTGCACGGCAGCCAGTTGCCCAGCCACCGCGCCAGCCGTGCAGTCTAGATTGTTTGTTTGATTATCTAACTGACGGATTTAAAAAATAATTTGCGTATCCTGTCGCTTTGCCTGTTTAAGTAAAAACACGTATAAATCAAAGTGTTTTTTGAAAGTAAATAAATAAATAGAGTCAAACTTACCGTACTATTTATAGTTGCAAGTAATTTCCCATTGAACTCGACTAGTGTGTAACAACCTCCTTTGATCTCCTTCTCCGCAATCTGCACGAGCTTGCCTTCCGACCAGTGGAACAATAGGATCCTGCCCTGTTACATTATAATTATTAGTTTAAAGGAATTAATGGACAGGGTCATATATAAAACCTCCTTGGTACAAACCTACAACTCATTGTCGCATAACACATTAATTAAAAGCAAAAAAATATATACAATTACCCCCTTATTACAAAACAAGATTTATCTTTAGTCCAGGTTTAAACCATTGAGTCGGATTTTGTATTTTAAATCTTATTGTCATCTACCTTCAATTCGAAATACAAAAACTGGCTCAATGGTTTAGTTCTAGACTAAAGTAAAACCTTGTTTTGTAATAAGGCCGTTAAAGTTCAATTATGTGGAAGACAGACAAGAAGAGAATGATATATTAATAACATTATCATAAAAAACCAAAATTAAATGTCAAGTAATTATTCATTTTATATTTTAGTAAAACAGTAATAGGCTCTCTTTAATGCAGTTTTATTCTTTTATATTCTAGCCGACTTATCCTCAAGCAGACAACGGTGTCATCTCTCACTCATCCTATTATCGACCATATTTCTGATTAAATGAAAGAATTTATATGTTTACAAAATTAATTTCAACAAGACCTATTCAATGTTTTAAATAATGGTGAGCTTGTAAAACATATATATTTAAACAGTAACAACGGATCTTCTTTCTCATTCTTTTCCATTCAAAACTAGACTTTGGAAGCAGTAGGAGAGCTTCACTGACAAACTGACTGATAGACTATCACCCGGTTTCCGAAAGGCCGATCAATGTTAAAATCAATTTAATCTCTTTTCAAGTTATCTGATTGGTTGACTGAATTATCAACAACCAATCAGATGACTTGACAAGAGATTTAACAGGATAATAGTTAATTTTAGCGTTGACAAGCATTTCAGAAACCGGGTGTATATTCTTGATGTTTCAAAAGTATTAAGGTGAGGTACAATAAATGATATTGACTCATTGAAATTATATATGAAATAGAATTATATATTGTATAAAGTAACTAGTGGTCGCCCGCTTCTTTATCAAGATTTTTTTAAATTTTTTCTACGTACAAACATTCTCTGGATTTCCACAAATAATTCAATAACAAAATTTGCCAAATCAGTAAATGCATTGTTGAGTTATAACATTACAACGAAAAGCGGTATTGAATTTTAAATTTATAGATAGAAAATAGATAGATTATGTAAAATACCTGTTTAGGTTCAGACTCCTCCGGGTTAAGTAGCGCGGTGCCGAGTGCGTAGTAGTGGTTGGGGTCATCGCCCAGCTTGCACGAGACGAGAGACATCGCGAACTCATTCGTCATCAGCTGGTGGGCGTGTAATACTGCGGGGAATTATACTCTTTAGTGTATTGTAATAGGGATTCAATTTGTATAAGTAAAGTTGGGAGTATGAAAGACAAGACTAATATTCTGCTTTTTAAAGTGGGATAAGAATGAAATTTACTAATATATCTATCTTAGTTGGTTTCAATCTTTCCCTTCCCCAATCCCTAAAATTCCAAAAAGGTCGACGTACTGTGTTTTTTGTAGTCTCATAACTGTATTGACGAGTAGACTTATAACTGTACTGTTGTAGTGGGTGTCTTAAGGCGGTGCTGATTGTTTACTATTGGGTAATCTTTATGACAGTTTACCGACCTATATCATTTCAAATGGATCACTTGGTGGAGGGATGGAGAGGATGGAATATGAGGGTATATGTAGTGTAGTTACCTTCGAAGGTGTGGTTGTCGAGTATGAGCAGGTTGTGGACCTCGAGGTCGAGCGCGTTGGGCGCGTGCTTGGGCTGGGCGGGCGGCGCGCCGCTGACGGCCGCCGCCGCCGTGGACGCGCTGGCCCGCACGGCCACGCCGGCCGCGCCGCCCCCGGCGCCCCACTCCAGCTTGTCCACGCGCATCGTGATCACGCCGAACGTCTGCGCATCACGTACAATATACATTACAACTCCTCAATACATACTTCATTTTCATCGATTTGACAATACTATATTTTCAAATATGCTATTTCACAAAAAAATTATACGTCACACGCCGGGTTTTATGTACAAAACCCAAAGAAAAGTATCAACTTTTAAGCTTCGATAACAATTTTGAATTTCAAGAATTAACAAATACCATATTATTATTTATTTTTCCTTTAAAATGTTAAAATACACTAAGATATTATCCATATTAGAAGCGCATTTACAAACCCAGAAGAGTAATATCATCATACCATCATACACATCACATCCAAAACTATCATTTTGTACAATATTGTGCAGTGTGAAAATTCAACACGACACATGTTACAGATTACCAAGCCACAGCGCCAACCATCCAGACCATATATGTACATAAATTATATTGGTAATAACAAAAAGCTAAAAAAAAATGTTTAAAGATACTATTCTCCGTAAACAATGTATGATAAACATCATACAACACCTAATAGGCGTTTAATACCAATTCTTTATTTAAGGCTTATTTTTTTTTTTAATTCACATCAACTATCCATGGAGGAAAACAAAAAAGGACGAGATCTAGACGATTCTTTCCGTCTATCTAAAATATTACCAAATTAAGAAGTACACATGTTTCTATTTGCTTAGATAAGCTTTTTAAAACATTAGGTCCTCACCTGAGAAGCCTCTTGGTAGGCGATACGTCGCGGCGTCTCCCCCAGCGGCACGGTCCGTATGTGGAGTTTCTGTATCTCGTCGATGGTACCTATGGTCACTGTACTGTCCGTCGCTAGCGCCAAACTGCAAAAGAAATATTATGTTTGTTACGGCATAATTGAACACACGAGATTAATCATTATAATTTCTATGTAATGTATACTAAAATTATAAAGAGGTAAAACTTTTAAGTTTTAATGTTTGTAAGTTTGTATGTAGGGGGTAATCTTTGGAACCTCTGGTCGGATTGCCAAAATTCTTTCACTGATAGATAGCTACAATGTTCCTGACTACTATAGGCTATAAAACATCACGCTTCGATCGAATGGAGCCGAGCAGCAAGTGAAACCACGCGAGTGTACCTAGTATGTTATACTAGTACTGGAGACCCGCCCCGGAGGCACACCAGCGAAGTTGTAAACAAGTGCGTTGCCGATCTTTTAGGGATTTAGTGATTAGGTGAGGGGAAGGATTGGGCCTCCGGTAAACTCACTCACACGGCGAAACACAACAGTGTGATTCTTTCACAGTATTTTTCTGTCTGACCTTGGTATCACTCCACTCGAGCCGGTCTATACATGCCAAAGAATGGTTCTCCCACACTTTTTTTGTAGATGGAAAATCATTAAATGATTTTTCTCGACCAGGGTAAGGCCTGCTTCTGTTCCAGACAGAGGCCGCGGTATCTTTTTGCGCTTGACCTACGACCTAGGATAAAGTGATACCTGCAACTTTTTTATACGATATTTCTATGTGAATACTGACCTGTCAGGGTACGCCTGTGCATTGAGCGAGCACATGTGCGTGACCTCCTTGAGGTTGACGTTGGAGAACACTAGCTTGTGGTTGGACGAGAAGATTACCGTCGGCCGGTCTGAGCACGCGAATATATTCGTCGTCGATAGTGATCTGTGGAACATAAAAAAAACTTTGTGTAATTGATATTTATAGCTTGCGGGACGTTCGTCGCGTCGTGTGTCGTGTAATGCTGTTAATGAATATGAGCCCCTAGCGTCGCTTGAAATTAGCACGACGAGATCCAGCCACAGTAAACACGAGTCTGCGCACGCCAAGCATGGGTAGCTCGCCGCCTGACTAGAACTCCCCGAGAGTACGTTGCGTTGTTGTGGAGACCAAACAACAGATTATATAACAAATCCACAAGTTGTTTCAGGTCTGGGTGACTTGTGTATGTGAATTTTTATGTTTGTACATAATCCCAATGTGAGGCACATGAGGGGCAACATGAAAAAAATCGCAAATTTTTACATTTTACAGAAGAGGAAAGAATATTATTTCTTGTAATCATGCTTAAAGGCAGTTTATTGATAATTCTAGTTAAAACTATAAACAAAATAAATATCTCCATACCTAAAGCTCCTCAATACAGTGGGTTGTGTACCCAACGTGACTTTCTTCTTATTAGTAAGTACTCCAGTCTCCTGGTCCACTGTGAAGTAAAACATGGATCCGTCTCCAAGCGCACAAAGTAGGTAACACACTCCTTCTAACACGCAGATCAGGAGGGAACGGGGAATTATTTCTGTAACAAAATTCATAATAAACAAATTGACAAACAATTTTTTTTAAGTTTTCTAGAATATTTTTTTCTCGGTCTTTAATTTTTGGTCTAAATTTAAAAAATGGCGTAATTTCTTTTCTGTATATGTAGGTGTTATTGACTGAAAAGACTTACCTAATTTTCAAGCAAAAATTATGAAAATTACTAAAGCAATCATGTAAATGTACTAAATAATTCGATAAAAGAGCAGGCCAATAACCTGTTTTTAAGCAATCAGCGCCGCTAATGGACACTCATAATAGAAAAGAAGTTACTATTACTATAAGTGTGTTGCCGGCCTTTTGTGGGCTTTGGATTTGAGGTTCGGGGGAAGGATTGGGCGACCGATAACGGAACTCTAACAGCGAAACACACGTCTTCAAAATTGAATAGCAGAAAACCAAACAATTAAACTCACCACCGGATAATTTTTCAGTGTGCAAAGGCCTCAAATCAGGTAGTTTGAGCACTCGTACAGATATGTCAGTCCACAGGCCTACACCTAGGAGGGCCTCGTCGTCCCCGGGGCCCAGGTCCAGGCAGGCCACTTCTTCCTCCATGCACACCTCGCTGGGAACAAAGGTTATATGTTAACATCAAGAGTTTCCACTGTTAGACCTTCTTTACATAATGAGAGTCCACTGGTCAAACAAACTTATTATGGTAGATGCCTTAAGGTACCAATTTTAAGGTAGCAATTTTTTTTGGCATATTTTGCTTTTGTTATCTTATTTTTTTTTTTATGTAATAGCTCGGCAAACGAGCAGACGGATTACCTGATGGTAAGCAATCAGCGCCGCCCATGGACACTCGCAACGGAGGAGTTACGAGTGCGTTGCCGACCTTTTAGGGATTAGGGATTTGGAGATTTAGGGATTGAGGAGGGAATGGGGAAGGGGAAGGATTGGGCCTCCGGTAACCTCACTCACACGGCGAAACACAACGCTGTGGTTGTTTCACGCCGGTTTTCTGTGAGGCCGTGGTATCACTCCGGTCGAGCCGACCCATTCGTGCCGAAGCATGGCTCTCCCACACTTAAAAGCCCTAGTTCTTTTACTTCGAGACATAATAATTTAGGTACTACCTATGATACTTTCCTTTTTGTTGTTTTATCTGAATGGCCATAAGATATACTTAAAGGTATTGCAAGGTTATCCATTCTTTACCGGACACCCTGTGTATAAAAATCAATCCCACTTTTCGTATACATAACTCAACAATGTCTTTACCGATTTGGCTAATTTTGCTCTTGAATTAGTGTATTCGATGAAGTCCAGAAAAGGCTTGGCCATAGAGAAATCGATATCCACGCAGGCTATCTATTTAAAAAAAATCCTCTTTTAAATTCTCAACTCACGCTCTAAGCTCCAGCTGTCCGTCGAGTATAGCGACGAGGTAGATCCGTGGCCCGGCGGCGGCGACGACCCTGGCGGGCCCGCAGGCCACGACGGACAGACCGCGGGCACCTGACACCCGCCACTCTGCCGCCAACTTCCAACCCTCAGGAGATCGAGCGATGAGACGGATACCTTCGTCTGTTACCTGACAAATGAAAATGAAGTTGTTATAATATGGATTGTTTAAAGGACAGTTCATGCATGTTTCATCTATCGAATTATATCGTAATGATTGAATCGATGATATTATTATATGAAATTATGACTGAGTATCCGACCCTAAAGGTCGAAAAACATAGAAGTCTTTTTCAAATGTCTTTTAAGAGTTTTTTTTCACAATACCTATAAGCCTCAAAAAGTTTAGAGTTACGGATTTCTTATCATCAAATACTACATGTATAGCTAAAAAATTGCTACAAAAACTCGAACATGAAGTTATAAAATATCATCAAGTTAAAGACCGAAGGAAGAAGGAGCAAAATTTTATTTTTAAACTAGCCAATTAAGATCACTTACTTGAATTAGTTGATTATGACAGACGTTTCCTGTGAAGAAAGTTTGTCGGTCAGCGACAAAACCTTTGATTTCAGTCTCTTCTACTTCCTCCCCGTTCAGGGTTAGCACTCTGTAGGGGAAAACGAACATTTATTCATTTATATTTGTTAGAACAAAAAATAGAACATAATACTATGACTTGCTTAAAAAAAATGATTTATTAACGCAAAGAAATGCTTTCAAACAACTAAGAGTAGTACAGAAAGATTTCCTAAAAAAAATTAAGTAGTTCAATACATACCTAGTTTGGCCCACAAAAGCCAATACAAGCGTGTCATGGTAGGTGGAGTTCTCGGCGAGTGTGAGGGCCCACATGCCTTTGATGCCGGGCAGGTCAATGGAGGCCTGCTCCTGTATGCCTATACCGTTGCGGATTATACGCAGTGAACCCATCTTGAAGGCACCTGGTAGGAAAAGTAGGGAGTTGTAGAAGTGGTTTTATGTGTTGACCTGGTTAAATTTAAGGGTACGAAAATAATATGCTCAGTTGAAGAGAAGTTGACAAAGTACTGTGATTTTATTATTAAATTTCGGCATTCTGTTTTGCTATTAAGAAAAACTAACACCGCATTAAATTTTTTTCCTGTATCGTAGGTTCTTTTACAAACATACGACTTTATAACACGACTACGGTTTAGGTGTCTTGGGTATCATGACAACCAACCACAGAAAAGCAATTTGTGGATTATACAAAGAGATGTTCTGTACAGGATCGAATTCACAACACGTTGGCGGCAGACCAAATTGGGTAGTTTCCTAGGTCAAAAATAAATTAATTCGACGTTTTAATACGATAAAATATTGAAAAATAACTATACTTTTATTCATCCACCGATCGATACACTAAGTTTTAGATATTTTTTAGCAAATTTTTTAATAATAAGTAAGCTATTTGACGCAAAAATGCTATAACGTCATAATTCAATGTTTCATACAATTTTCATAGAAAAGTATCGTTTTTGACATTTGGATAAAAGTATTGAATTTGACTAGTTGGAAACAACCGTATTGTGCAATAGAAATTACTTTTTTCGTCCAAGCGTGATGTTATATAGCTATAGCCTGCGACGGTAAATCACTACATAGTATAAAACAAAGTCGCTTCTAATCGCTAAATTGCTTAAATCTTCAAAACTGCAAGAGAACTTGTTGCCTTTTTTTTTAAATAGATAGTGAATTAAGAGGAAGATTTATATGTATATCGTTATACATCTATGGAATAGTGGAGAAATTTAGTATCATCAGTATATTGCAGCCATGCTAGTAAATAATATAATGCAATGTATTACACCTACCAGAGCATGTTATAAGTTGATTCTGTCCTTGCCTCTCGAGATCCACAACGCACATGTCTACGATGGGCGCGAGGCTGGTGAAGCTCTCCATAGGCTGTACGTACTGGCTCGCTTCATCCCTTGATGCAGACAGCCGGACGAGGGCCGAGTCACCTAGACGGGACCCGATGAACACTACCCCGTTGTCTAGGTATGTCATGCACTCGGGGATTGGTATGTCTCCTGTAAAGATGTTTGAGGTTAGTATGTGGTATTTGGGCATAATGTGACCTATAAGTGCGGGAGAGCCAAGCTTCAGTACGAATGGGGGTAATACCCCAATCCATAAATATGAGAAACTAATTCCCAAATGGCCGGCCACGGACTCGTTACTCGGTTGCCCGACATGGGCGGACCGATCATTAATAAAATATGAATGAATGAATGAATGAATATTCTTTATTGTACACCATAATAATAAAAACATGGAAACATAAACACAAAATATAGTACAATTGGCGGTCTTATCGCTTAAAAGCAATTTCTTCCAGACAACCTTTGGATGGAGTTTAACTGTAGAAGAATTTGATACGGGCAGTTTACGGCGTACATATACATTATAATAGTTTAAAACATAGTTTAAGGATATATATATAATAAATAAACAAATAAGAAATTAAATATATATATATATATATATATATATATATATATATATAAATAAATCATAACAATAGATATAGCGATGATGGATATGTTACTGAGCCATGTAGTGATCGTTCACCATTTTCTTAAAAACTGCTAGCGACTGCGCACGTCTAATCATCACTGGCAAAGCATTCCACAGACGCGTGGCCTGTACAGCAAACGACTTATCATAAAAAGACGTGGAGTGTACTGGCATCTTCAGTTTCAGGTTTTCTGATGACCTAAGAGATCCTGAATGCGTGTCACAGACAAACTCAACACGATTTTTGAGGTAAAAAGGAGTCGTTGGGTGAAAAAGAATACTGTATAGTAAGGAAAGTATGTGAGCATTCCGACGAAGTCGTATTGGAAGCCACTTGAGCTTAGCACGAAATTCTGACACATGATCATACTTGCGCAAACCAAATATGAATCTTATACAAACATTTTGAAGTCGCTCAAGTTTATTAAGTTGGTCCTCTCTGAGATCAAGATAGCTGGCATCGGCATAGTCAAGAATGGGAAGAAGGAGAGATTGTGCAAGCGCAACCTTTGTGGCAATGGGCAAGAAGTTTTTCAGCCGTCTTAAGGATCCTACAGATGCAAATAACCGTCGACTGGTTTCCTGAATCTGCGTCTCCCAGGACATTCTGCTATCAATGTAAACTCCTAAGTTCTTGACCTTATTGCTAAACGGTACCTGGATGCCATCAAAAATAACCTGCGGGAGGTCAAACCAGTCAATTTTAGAAACCATCCGTGAACTACCAATAACAATCAACTGGGTTTTTAGCGGATTGACTCTAAGCCCGTAGCATCTGCTCCACTCGGCTATTTGGGAAAGGTCTTTATTAATAATTCCAATAGCCTCTGGTAATTTTCCCAATGGAGCCTGCGAGTAAATTTGAAGATCATCTGCATAAAGGTGGTAGGAGGAAAGCAAATTGTTTGAGATAGAGTTAATAAATGTAGCAAAGAGCAATGGAGATAAAACGCCACCCTGCGGCACACCAGCAGTCGTTTCACACCAAAATACTGTTTTTTTTTTTAAATTTGGTAGATATTACTGCTGAATACAGGATTATATTTTCAATCAACTTTAAAATTGTTATTTTATTCATAACATTTGATGTTTTAAACATATTTATTTACGTATTCATAACAAATTTAGCCAAACACTGGTGTTTAAAATTCTTTATTTCTCTCGTTTTCAATCACAGTTTCAGTGAAATTCTATTTAAAATGATGTATTTTTTTGATGGAGGAAAGCCATCAAAAAGTTTGAGTAAGTATCAGTTGGTAACTGACTTAAATCCACCCTGTTCATTTTCCTCCTACATTATTGCGTTTGTACCCGCAATCCCGATTTGGAATAATGTTAGTTTTTTTTTCCTTTTTTGGATCAGAACACATACAAATTGGAGTCATAATCTATTCCATAAGTCAGACAATCAGTGAGTTATAGACATACCTAACAATTCGACTTTGAGATCCTTAACGGCCTGCGTGCCGTCCATCTTCTCCTGTAGTTCTAGCAGCAACATGAACAGTCGGCCCGCGATGTCGCCCAGTAAGTAGCGGAGCCCACGACCGTCCACGCGGCAGTAGCAGTTTATTGGAGTAAGCTGTGAGGATAAATCAAATAAGTTGTATTGGAATATTAAAAGCATGGACATTGAATTTCTTGTAGGTATCATTTATCTATACTAATATTATAAAGCATTAGTTTGTTTGAATGCGCTAATCTCCGGAAGTTTGTTTGTCCATTTATTTATTTGAAGGCTATAAAACATCACGCTTTGATATGTAGAAGCCGAGCAGCGGGTGACACCGCGCGACAGTAGCTAGTGTTGATAATATTATATATAATTTTGATTATAAAAATAAGTTTAATAAACTCAAAAGAATCTTTTAGCTTTTTGTCTAATGAAGTATTCTGATCAATTTCATTGCTTGATTCAAAATAGTAATTTATCTTCCTTGGATGTCAAAACATTCTGGTTTATACGCGTTGCAGTGTATTTGGGAGGACTTGTCTGAAGAAAAAATTGGAAAAAATGTGTTTTGTCAAAAATAGCTTATTGAGATAGAATGGTTAAATTAAAATAGGTTGCTTACCTTAATCTGTGGTGGGGCGACGGCGACATAGCTCTGCCCGTCGTGGTACACTATGGATTCCTGGCCTATCACAATAGCACCACCTGCACATATTATTACATTAAGTTAGTTTCCAACTACATACATTTTAAATATATTTGCAGCATCATCATAAGTGTAGGAGAGCCAAGCTTCGGCACGAATGGGTCGGCTCGACCGGAGTGATACCACGGCCTCACAGAAAGGCGTCGTCCCAATCCTTATATCCGCAACTCCTATCCCTATAAGGCCGGCAACGCACTCGTAACTCCTTTGGTGTTGCGGGTGTCCATAGGCGGCGCCGATTGCTTACCATCAGGTAATCCGTCTGCTCGTTTGCCGACCTATACCATAAAAAAAATCATTATCAGCCTATAATTTGCAGCATATACAATCTGTGTACAGTTCGAAAGTGCGCACTGATACCATGTACCACCATCATGAACTGATGAAAAGTGGGAGTTCAAGGATGGACATGTCTTGTTATTTATATTACATTGCTTACCTACATACTAATATCACAATATCATTATATAGCTAAGCAGCAGTTGATCTGTCAGCTAGTTCACTCCTTATGCGGTATAAAAAAAAAGTAAAAGGAAAACATACCAAGCGGGCTAGGCACTGGAATCAGTATAGAAGCCTCAGTCTCAACATTATCCTGTTTCCATGGAATCTTCATAAATTCTTTTTCCCTTAAATTTATTTCATGTGTCTGAAATAAACATTTTCAACATGACTATTTTGATACATATTAAAAGAAAAAAAAGTTACATAATTGCATATAAAATGAAAGTTTTTAAATAAAACATTAATTTCTAACATAAACTTTACACCTCTAAACAGATTAAAATTCAATATGTATTAATAATTTACCTTAATATGTCGCCCATTTAAATCTTGATGTATTAAAATAATGGTAGGATTAGAGCAACCGTGTAAGAATTCTACATCATACACATTCAGCTCATCAAGTCTATAACAAAACACATTTTATTAAACAAAACTTTACAAAATTAAAAACGCTAAGAGCCTGTGTCGCCACCTTCACATGTTACTACACACACACACATGCTACAAACCTATTTATTTTCAATGACTTCTCCGGTCCTGGGTTTGGCGGGAAGGATCTGACGCTTACTAAATAAAAACAACTTCGTTCCTTCTCTTGTTCTAGAGTTGGGGCCGCGGTACATAATACGCGCTACATCCGCAACCCCGGCTGATTAAGTGGCTTATAAACTTATTGTGTGAAACAATGTAACAATTAAGGACCTGTTTCTCAAAATCCAGATATTAAGAAACAGGGCCTCGTGAGCCATTATTCGGCACGAAAAAGTCGTCTACAAATCCAGCGTGAAAGGCAAACGGCGTTGTGTTTTTCGCCAGGAGAGGTTACCAGTGGGTGGCGCCGATTACTTACCATCAACGGTTTTTTTCTAGTCAATAATTACTCAACAAAATAAACACAATCTACTAACCTTAAACTAGCAGCTTTTAGCTCTGTAGAATCTTTGTCTAGAGGTATAATTTTAAATAGACCATCATACAGTCTTAGACCAATGACTCTAGCTTGTGGATCAATGACCGCAAGGATGCCGTTCTCTGAAGGCTTTCCAATTCTGTCTGAGACATTACCATGAGCTCTAGTAACCACTTCAAGTTCACCGCTAGCTGTGGTCCTCCATTCTAATATCATGGCATTATATCTAGCTGTGAGGATGAACACAAGGTCCTTATTCTCATACTGAAAACAAACAGACCAAGATGAGTAAAATATATATAGTTTTTACTGTGTATGACAAGAAAAAAGTTTTGATATTTGACAATGAGATAAAAAACAAAGATGTACCTAATATATTCTGCAATGGAAATAAGTTGAGTTATCATTCTACAATATGGACTATAGCCATGACATGTATGGCAGGCTTTTGGTTATTCTAATAGCCCAAGTAATTTAAAAAAAACAAAAATTCAAGAGATGGATGAGTATCCATTTATCAATTTCAGTAAACATAAATGTTATTATTAAACACAGATAGTTACTCACTGGAGGCCTAAACATCTTCATTTTGGCCACTCGCCCATACAGACCGACTTCCTTCATGGGACGTAGGCCCTCCGGAGTGACCAGGTACATTTCCAAACGGGATACCTTCGCCACCAGGAGGTTCAGGTCCGTTGGTGATGTGAAGTTGCCTGTAGGATAGGATTAACATAAGAATCATGTTTGTGTCAAAAAAACATTTATTTTTAATCAATGAACATTTAATTAATGTTATCTATACTTAGATGAAAAATTCTAATATTATTTTGCTGGTGTTGTTTAAACTTTAAATACTCTATCTAATCTCAGAAACTATTGGTTAAATTGAATAATTGTTTTCATGATAGATAGCCCATTTGTCAGGGAAGAGAGAAATGCACCAAAGGAGAGTAGAAAGAAAAATCACATAGGAGTATCAGGTACTTTGATAAAAACCTCTAAATAGTGATACTCCAAACAGATAATATTTGAATATTAATAAAAAAGGTTGTAACAACAAGGTGGATCCATGTTCATCTCTCTGTTCATTATATCTTTAAATTACATTACAGGAAGTTTACTATACATTAAAAATCATCAATTTTATTTATACTACAGGGTTTCAGAATCCAATACCTTTACATGAAGCCACCCGAGACTCCATGGTCACTCACTAGGCATTTGAATTATCATATTTTGCTGAGCAAGACTTTTATTCAGTCAGTCAGTAAGTAAGATATATACATTTTTGTGTACCAAACTTTATATTATTTTTAAAGATAATTTTATCATATTTTTGAACCTTGGTATGAGTGATGAAAGAGGATCAATTTATTTATTTTCAACAGAGAAATTCTAAATTAAACTGAGTTTTTTTTCGTTGCTTCCTTTGACCCTTAAATAAAAACTTCTTTCTCAATCACTAAGCATATAAAGTGATATAGTTACAATTTAAAAAAAAACATCAGTTTTTTAAATATTATTACTGTGAAACGTAATAAATAACATTCAGCTGTATGCCTTCCCTAGTTCCGTCTACCTATAACCCTGAAGTTTACAGTTCTATATTTATCCACAACTCTTGATTTTACATTGGAATTATTATGAAAATTTACTAGTATAATCTATTTTCTTAGTTATTAATTGTGGTAAAGAATCATGGTGCAATCGCTTGATAATATATCGCGATAACACATTTGTTTTCGAAATACAGGCATGAGGACTCCGCGCAACAACGACCTTTAGCAAATAAGTACAAGGAAATAGTACACAGTTAGCCACTATATACAAGCTGAAATACATTAGATCATACAGCACAGGCTAAATCTGCCGTAAAGTATAAATTAAGATATTTTCGTCTGAAAATAGCGCGAGACATATACTATTCAATTTAACCTCAATGTGACAATAACATAAGGTAAAATGGACGTTTACCGGTTACACATGATATCACGGCAGTCGGTTTCTGTGCAGTAACTACATAGTTGTAAGCCATTGTGTTTTTTCACTAATCACACATTAATTTTTCACAATTTATCCTCTACATAAAAACTTTTATTTAGCTAACAGCAAACAATTCGCCGATTTGGTCGCCACCACTAGTGTTGTGCTCATTCATTCGCCCGTCTTTGTTAAAGTTTTGAACACAAAAACATCGACTAAAGTAGATTTTTGTGTTACTAAAAGATAGATTTTGTCTGTGCTCGAAAATATTTCTTGAAAATCCGACTTTCTATAAATTCGGCATCCTTGTTTATTAAATTAAAACCATACATAACTATAATTTTGCTAACATGAGCACTAGAACTAGGTCTTCGGTTGACTTCAGGCCGAGTCCCTGAGCATAGAGGGTAGTCCTCAACAAGTTGGAGTCCATTACGTGATTCTAAAATTACAGGTGGTAGTTTATGGGTAATCGAATTGGTATTTGACCTGATGATCGTCTCCACTATCAAGCACTTAAAAATGTTGTTCGACTCGGCAGAAGTTGGGGCTACGGAATTCATTCTCAGCGGGTTGTTCCTATTCCTGTTACTGGCTTTCCTTATCATGCTCGCTCAATGAATATAATATATTTTAGTTTATTTAAAATGACCAAACCACCTTTACATCATTTTTAATACTTATTACAAGGTCTTCTTTCAATCCACATTTTTCATTCTGTCTGTCAATTTTAGACTACCTACCTCTTAGAGCTCTCATCTCTCAAGCAATAATTTTACTTTCTTGCGTATTTTGCCAAACCCTCGTCTCACTGCCATAGATTAGCGTTGTTCTAGTAGATTTAAATTCCCTCAGCAAAACGGCGTACAAAACTTTTCAAACTGCTGCCTTACATTCTGTTACATCTTCACTGCTTTCTGTTATCCGTTCCTTCAAAGTTTTCTTTTTTGCTTAGACCTACCTAGGCTACCTAACACTTTTTCCTGTGTTAAACCAGTTCGCGTAGACAAACCCCAGTCTGACTCAGGCTCTTGAATCATTTTAAAAGAAGCGAAGTGCTAGTACCATTTGGCAACTGACATAAAGAGAGAGCGATCAATGTTGTTGGGTTTTTTATTTTCGAAAACTCTCCATAAATGCTCACAGGGTGACCCAGTTAGAGTCACGTATGATAATTCGACCGAAACTTCTATTTGTTTATTGTGTGCAAAAGGGACTTAAATCCTTTTTTATACTGACAAAAATCGACTACAACCATAACTAAACTGTAAACTACTAATTATGGATACGAGGATAAAGAAAACAAAAATGAATGAAATCTTAATTACTAGCTTTATTATTGTATATAATGTTTATATTTTATATTTTGTACTATATTTACAAAAAATAGATTTTATAATAAAAATTATTAGAATCAGTCTTGATGACGATCGCTGGGCGGCACACTTTCGAACAGGACTTGAGTCAGGAATGTGAATTTTCCTGTAAAGTAAGATAAAAATAATATTAGCAATTTGATAAGGTCTCTTTAGCTGTTACTGATTAACATTTTAGAAAAACCTATATACAAGCACAGTTACTTACTTAAAATAGCAGTCGGAGTTTTCTTATAATATACAAATACAGTGTAGACGGTGGCGCCCATCACTATGAAGCCCACAGCCATTAAATACTTGAGTGATGGGTCGTGTACTATTGGCAACACTGAGAGGAATATTGCCACTACCAACACAAAACAAGGCACAATGGTCGGTACTCTGTACGGCCGTGGTTTTGTTGCCTGCGTTTTCCGTAGAACTAATAAAGCAACCATTGCAAGCCCATAGAAGAACCATAGGAACCAACTCGCAAACTCTATCAGAGTTTTAATGTTGCCAACTGCTATAAATATTGTAGTTAGTATTGCCTGTAACAAAAATAAAATTCGTTATATACTAGATAGTCGTTATTGTTAAAATTTATTTTAAACAGTTCGATTTAAAATATGCTAGTTTCAATTTAAGATTTTTTTCAAGATTGCGAAAGTTTCATGATAGATAGGCTCTGGAGCCGCAGTTTTTATATAAAACCCTATATGGACTGTTCTTATAGGGGAATCGCCTACAGCCAGGTGATTTGGAAGTCTTTGGGCTATGTTCGATATTATACGTTTTGTGGCTAATATGAAAATGATGAATAAAATTCTGCTAACAACATTATTAACAATATAAAAGAAATGCTACCAACCTGGAATGCTACTGCAGGCGCAGGCGTCAGTCTCTTTACATTAACATAGGAGAAAACTTCTAACATGTGACCTCCTCGCGCAGCCGTGTAACATACTCTGTAATAATACAAATACCGTCAATACATTTTATTTGTACAGATGGCAGCGCGACGTACTCAAAAGTGTGGGAGATCCAAACTTCGGCACGAATGGGTCAGCTCGACCGGAGTGATACCACGGCCTCACAGGAAACCACAGAAACAACTACAGAGTTATGTTCCACCGTGTGAATGAGGTTACCGGAGGCCCAATCCCTCCCCCTTTCCCCATCACTTCCCAACCATTAAATATCTGAAACTCTTATCACCAAAAGGCCGGTAACGCGCTCGTAACTCCTTTGGTGTTGCGGGTGTCCGGTGCGGGTTCATGAGCGGTAATGATTGCCTACCATCAGGTAATTCGTCAGCTCGTTTGGAAACCTATCCCATAAAAAACTTCAAGATTGTCTATTAACAACATAACCTAAACAACAAGTGTTAAAATGTATTTTACGAAATCCAACTAGGGATTTAATTTGAATTCATGTTTTAAATTCCAGATCTTACTAACTTCTATAGTGAATTTGTCGCATAAAAACATAATTTATTTAACTATTATTCTTTGTTTAAAATGTTTGATATCTTACCTGGTAACACCAAACTGCACGCTCATAGCACAACCAAAGGTTGCTATGGCAACGCCGAGTGGTATGAGAAAACTGGCTGGTCCAAGTACCCTCGCTCCAAAGGCCACTGCCACGGCCGGAACTGACGTCATTTCGGTGTAACTTAGTACCGTCATGTAGGCTACGTTCATGAAAACGTAGAGTGCTGTTATTAGGGGTACCGCGATTGATATACTGAGGGGCACGTTACTGAAAAAAAGGGGTTTTTATTAGTATGTTTTGTTTATATATTACAGACTAGCTACCCTCGCACGGTTTCACCCGCTGCTTGGCTCCATTTAATCGTAGCGTGATGTTTTATAGCCTATAGCACTCAGGAACATTGTAGCTATCTATCAGTGAAATAATTTTGGCAATCCTACCAGCGGACCAAAGATTACCCCCTACATACAAACTTTTGACCTCTTTATAATATTAGTAGTATAGATATAGAAATAGCTCGAATAGCGATTATATGCTCTCTCATTATTGTCTACTAGCGACCCGCCCTGTCTTCGCAAAGGTGTAATGCTGATACTAAATTTCTTTACTCTTTTATGAATGTTACTATACAAAAGTTTTCCTCTTCAATCACTCTATCTTTAAAAAAAAACCGCATTAAAATTTGGTGCCCAGGTTTCAAGATAAAGTGTGGGAGAGCCATGCTTCGGCACGAATGGGACGGCTCGACCGGAGTGATACCACAGCCTCACAGAAGACCGACGTGAAACAACCACAGCGTTGTGTTTCGCCGTGTGAGTGAGGTTACCGGAGGCCCAATCCTTCCCCGCCCCCAATCCCTCCTCAATCCCTAAATCTTCAAATCCCTAATCCCTAAAAGGTCGGCAACGCACTCGTAACTCCTCCGTTGCGGGTGTCCATGGGCGGCGCTGATTGCTTACCATCAGGTAATCCATCTGCTCGTACGCCGACCAATTACATTAAAAAAAAAGCATGCACAGGTATAGAGGGACATAGAAAGCGACTTTGTTTTATACCATGTAGTGAACTGGTGTTACAGGACTCAAACGGGCTGGTAATAAAATACAGTACAGTTATGCATTCCTGTCTACCCCTTTCGAGGATTAAAAGCGTGACGTCATACATTCGGTTAGCAACAATCGTTACTTCTAATTATAATTACTCGACTAATCCGCTTATCAAACACATGCGTCTTATCAAATCATGTAGCACCTACAATTTATCAGTTCATCATTCTGAAATTCCAATGACCTAATTAATGATGTAGTATTTTATAGCAATAAATCCGGAAATCGTTATTCCAATGATTAGCTACTGTATGAAATTAAGTAGGTATCTTACTAGCATGTGGCTAGGTTTTATTTTTCTTATGCATATTTAACTAACTTTTGGACGTATATCTTGGTAAATATTTATGATGTGTTATTATAAGTAATCGTGGCTTACTAGGTTGGGGCCTTTGTCCTAAACAACTTGCCTTTTTAAAAAGGCTTGCTAGCGGGGAGCAAAGCTAGCTCGCCGCTTGACCAGAAGCATATCCGAGCTTAGGGCGGGTAGCGTTCTGAGCGCGCCTCATAGAGTCAATAGACGGCAAGCGTAATAAGGCACCGCAACCTCCGCCTCGAGAAGGAACTGCGTTGGTTTTTAGTCAGTAAGAGTCTGACACTCCCTCTCGCATTACCCTGGGTGAGAGAAGTAAATTGATGACTTTCCCCTCACAAATAAGCTACTTATGCAAAGAACGTACGCTGGTTTTCTTACGTGGGGACCTGGTACTTATGATAGGCATAGAATACCTTACGAATAATTAATACTAGCTTTAGCTAGCGACTCCGTTCGCGTGGAAGAGTGACTTCCTGCAGATTTTTGGTATAAAAACTAATTTATGTCCTTTCTCGAGTTCCAAACTATGTCTGTACCAAATTGCACAGAAACTTTAGGCGTGAAGAAAAGACAGACAGACAGACAGAGTTACTTTTACATTTATAATATTAGTATAGATTTTTGTATCTACTCACACTCCAGGGTTAATAATCTCCTCAGTAACGACAGTGACACTGTTCCATCCGTCATAAGCCCATAGTCCTGAGTACAATGCTAAGGCAATACCTCCTGGGCTGAAGGTGCTGCCTTCAAAGCCTTTGTTTAGGTGTTCTGTGTTACCTGGAAATATATAAAAATTGGTTCATAAACGGTTAAAGTAAAATCATTACTTTTAATCCCTTAGGATAGACCGGGTTATGTTACCAAGAGGCAGTAGAGGCAGTATGGCAGCCTATTGGCAGAAATTATCGAAAACCATCAAAATTGCATTAGCATTGCCCAACTCGAAATATAAAAATTGGTTTGTAAGCGGGTAAAAATAAAACTCAATCTTGTGTAGGAAAGCTATGTTTCAGCACGAACGGGTCCACTCGACCGGAGTGATAGGGCGGTCTCACAGAACACCGCCGTGAAACAACTACAGCGTGTTTCGCCGTCAGTTTACCGAAGGCTCAAAGGCCGGCAACGCAAAAAGAAACTGAAATTACCTTGACAAATCTCATAGATTCCTCCTCCAATGACAATGAGACAGGCAAACACTTTGCAAACTCCAAATATATTCTGCACTTTAACAAACAGCTTCACACTAGTTATGTTAATGTATGTCATAATAACTGAAAGGTAAAGAAATATATATCATTAGATTATGTAAAGCTAATATTCAAAGGATACTATAGTAAAATAAAACTTAGATAGTTGCTGTTAACACATAAAATAATATACTGGGCGAGTTTCCAACTAGTCAAATTCAATACTTTTATCCAAACATCAAAAATGATAATTTTCTATGAAATTTGTATGAAAAACTAAGACGTCATAACATTTTTGCGTCAAATGGCTTACTTATTTCATAATAATTAGCCAAAAAAAAAAATCTAAAACTTAGTGTATCGATCAATAAAAGTATAGTTATTTTTCAATATTTTATAGTATTGAAACATCAAATTAATTTATTTTTGACCTAGGAAACTACCAACTTACAGGACAATATCCGTAAAAATCAAGCTTTGAAACTGACTGAAAATAACAAAAAGTTATCAGTTTACTATCTTTTAGTTGCTAATAAGACTGACATTTTGTAAAAAAAATAATTTTAATTTGCTTTGCAACCACATCTACTTGTATGAGGGTGGTGAAAATTAGCCAATGCTATTTTTCCAAATTCTTTTCAATAAATTGTTTTTATCTACTAAGAACAGTCACTGTTCAATAAAATAAAACTACCATTTACAAACTTAAACAATATTTATTAAAACAAACTTAATAGTTAATTACATGATATTTTATGGAGTCTTATTGGTCCTTATTTCACACTATTTTAACACAATAGTAATTCTGTTTCATTGTATTAATATGATAATTTAACTTCCATCTTGTTGTATGGGTTGACAGTAACTATTTTCATATCTTTCAGTAATTCTATTATTTGAAATGTTTCAGATGTAACTGGAATGTACCCATTAGATTCTTCATTTAGATGCTCAGCCATTAGTTGCTGAAAAACAAATAATGTTATAAGAAAATGTATGTGGTCTTTAAAGAGTGTATAATCTATAAGAGTGAAAACTGTTGGGGAAAGGGTCAGCTTAACTGGAATGCTATGAAGGCCTCACAGAACCACATGCATTTGTTTTGCCCTGTCCAAAATTCCATCCTCAAATCTCTACCCCACAATTGTGGGTGTCCATGGGCTGCTCTGATTGCTTACCATCAGGTAATCAGGCTGCTTGTTTGTAGCTTGAAAGATTAAAGACACAAATATTGATAGTCAGATGGCTGCAAATTGGATTATGAATAAAACAAAGTTAAAGAATAGATAGTTGAAAATAAAAATGCTGAAATTATATCAAAAATGACTCTTACCCCCATAGTCTCAATGATCAAAGTATCTGAGTTAGGGAACAGTGAATGTATGAGGCTGTGGAGCTCATTCTTCATCACCTGGAACCTTTCTTTAGCTCTGTGCACATGTTCTGGCTGCACTTCACACTTGTTCAGCATCGGACGGGACTTTGCTTCTTGTGTTATTGTGATTAAGGTTTGTAATCTAAAACGGAAAGTACCTATATGTTACAAGAGTTACTATGCAATTAGCAGTTTTTTTATATAAAATCTGAGCCAAACATAAATGGATACTGAAAAAGATTACTTCAATGTCTTTTGCATTTTTATCAACAGCATCATTATAACAGCCTATGAGAATACACTGTTGAACTATTGGCTTCTTCTATAAAGGGACTAGTCATAATCTCTACACTTGGGAAGCATGTTAGAGATCTGAGTTTAAAAGTATCAAGTTTGTAATTTGATTGATAGCTGAAAGGTGTAATTAATCAAAGTATTATACACAATACAATGAATTATCAGTAAGTTTTCTGTTGATTTATACACATTGCAAACCTTGTACAGTATAAAATATTCTAGTTTTAGTAAAATAATCTTACCTGTTTATCTCAGCATCAATATCATGTATGGAACCTCTCACAAAAGCTGTATACTCTTCTACTTGGTTAGTTTTATCTCTAATCTCTTTCAAAAACTGGCTGGTTAGAAGGTTATCGTCTGCCGTGATTGGAGTATTCGAATTTTGAATCTCAGTGCCCAGACCCTCGATATAACAAAGCGCTTTTTCGTTGATTTGTTGCAAGTCTATATTGGGCGTGTCCAACGGCGAATTGTCGATAACATTCCACTCATGTTTGCAGCGCGCTTGTATTTCTTTTATTTCGCGTTTTACAGCGTCTCTTGTTTCTTTATTTCGGTCAGAAGACATTCTAAAAACAAGAAGTTTGTTTGGAGTTCATTATTACAAGATTAATACGATTAATTCGACTGTCCATATTATTAAAAATGTTTACTTACTTTAGACTGTGTACTTTATTCACTTGAACTAATTCACAGGTTAAAATATTTAAAATTCAATGAAATATAGTAGAAATTGAACATTTACAAACACAACAAAAAGCGAACGACCGGTGTTGTTTAAATTTTGACAGTTAGTGACTTTGACACTTCATTCATTGACGTTAGGAGCGCCGTAGTGAGGCGGACTATTTGTGACGGTCTTCCTAATCGATTGTATTTTACTAATCGATTTATAAAATTATGTTAATTATAAATAAAAACTATACTTACATAATGCAGATATAGACGCTAATTTAATAGCTATTTCTTTATATTCTGGGTCCAAATTAGGTGTGAACGGTTGAATTGCGTATTCGGCAAATGTCATAACGATTATAGCGACCTCTGCGGGCCTCAATATAACGACGTAAATCCATGCACATATAAATGATGGCAATGGTCCCCAAAATTTGTGAATTCCTCCAAAAGCTTCTTGGAAATACGAGTATTCAGCTCCGGATTTACCGACTACAGTTCCCAGTTCAGCAAATGATAAAGCTCCTGAAAAAAATATTATGATGATATTCATAGATTTTTTATTGTTACTCAAAGTAAACAGTACATGGAAAATTAAATAGGTGTCTTACCTACACCCACCTAATAAGGATATAATTCCGGAAACTGTCCATATAATAAGACATAGCGCTACAGATCCGGAGTGTTCAAGTGCTGATGATGGGGATACGAAAATTCCGGATCCAATCATTACACCAAGTATCAAGTTGACGGCTGAGAACAAGCCTAGTTCTCTTTTCAGTTTGACAGCACTTCCACACGCGGCTGCCATGCCGTTTCCCGTTTCATTCTTTTCCATCAGCTCTGCTTCTTTTTCTGTCATTGTGTTTACCTTTAACAAGAAAAATGATAATTTAATATAAACTACAATAGTGATTTTTTTACTTTCTACGTGTATTTATTTTGGTAAAACTGCTTCTATTCTAGCCTGGCAATTACGTCAGGTCTGTGCCAATTGCGATAATAAGTTTTGACGAGCAGATAACTAAGTAATTGGCGAAACAAGAAGGAAACTATTATTTTGCCAATTCTGTAGTAATACACGTATATAATAGTATGTCAAGGGCGTGAGGTCATTCGCTCCGTGTTTTGTAAATTAAGTCTTTCGCTCTTCTCGCTTTGCCGCGTATTCTTAGTTCTTGTTATAGGCTATTCAATTCAACAAACGATTGCTACCAACTGTTGCATAATAAACTTGTAAGAGCTAACGGACTATTGGGGCTTTGACAAAAAATTGCGAGCAATATTCATCACAACAGCTTCATATTTGGCCAGCCAATTACATGCAGTTCAAGGTATTATTACGGTAAGGAATTAAGAAAATAATTTAATTTTAGAAATGATTCGAAGAATAATTTTAGTTTAAGTTAGACCTGCCAGTGTTACTTTAATTTGTTATCTACTGCAAACCGTCGAAACCGAATTGCCAATTCGCATCGTACTAACTGCAACCATTTTATTGAACGATAAAGACGTATAAAGAGTATTGAACATGAATGGGCATGAACATGGGCTATTGTGTGCAGCCGTAAGGATGTAATCTTGTTAACGGTGAATGAACTTGGCCCTCACGTGGTCTAAGGATTGCGTACCTACCAGAGGTCGCATGGGAACATTTTTGACCTCATCGGTGAATCAAGGAAGGTGAACCGCTGAACCCACTTATACCAATCAAGATAATGTCACATTCATTGACTTTATGACTAAGTGGTTGCAGGAGATCAAATTTGGGATCTTATTTAGGATCCAATGTGTCTTCCTAATATAAAAAAAACAATTGGTTTTTTAATATTAGGTTTTATAATGGAATTATTTATAAAATACTATTACGTAAATACTTATTTACTTGGAAAAGTAAGAAGGTATTACTTCGTAGTAATACCTTATCATTATACCTATTTTTTAAGATAAAAGTCACACAATGATGACACACAAAAAATTAAAATGTCTGTTTAAATAAAAACAACGTAAAAAAAAACTAAATACATTCTTTCTTATTTATATAAAACTATCATCGCGCGTAAACAAGCGATTATTTTAATAGTTATTAAAGACAGTCTGTCTGCATGAAGAATTTATAGATAAATAATAATAAATTAATCAATAAAGACTCGTAGTCTCATCTCAATTCATTCATAAATGCTCTGTTTTGACCGATAGGAAGGTACGTAAAATAATAATTATGTATATCCTTCTACGTATAACTAACCGATAACGAAAATACCAATTAAAAAAGTGTTGATTACAGAAACCAGACAATCGATTGTTACCAACAGAATAATCGATTAGAAATCCGGGAACCGATTCCTAATTGAAACTAGAAACAAGATGACGGTGGAAAATTACCCTATCATCTTATGATTTTCAGATTTTATCTAAAATGAACCTCATTAGTATACGAGTAGTACTCGCGAGGAGTAATTAATTCCTAATCGGTTTGTCACTTGGGGTTATGAACTTTGAACATGCGATATTATGCATTTTCCTTGTTGAGATCGTTAGTACTATTAATTGACTACTGCTAAGTACTTTTATCTTTCTATTGATATATTGATAAGAGCCAATTGTTAAGGTACATACGTCCTTTTGTCTAAGGATTGTATAGTTTCGGACACTGTAGGTAGGTATTTATTATTTCTTAAATTAGGTAGGTAAAAATACATATCACAGGGTGATTGTACTGGAGTATTTCCTAAATACCATATTTATTACAAAAAATAATACGATTAAAAATCACTTAGTCATAATTTACAGTAAACTTAACTGTTTACTGTTTTCGTTGTGAACTTTTTAATTAATTTGTAAACAACTTTAATTGCTCTCTTGCTACCTACCTAGTGAGAATGACATGTCATTTTCTGATCAGTTGTTGACGGCTGGGGATTATTTACCTACATTTTTTTTTATCTATGGTCATTACAACTTTTTTAAGTGTATGATGAATGTGTTGAATGGGAAGCTGTTTTGTGTAAACAGATTGTACATAATATAAATATACAGAAAATAACGACCTACTCACGCGAATTACTTGAGAAAAGCTCTATTAGTTCCAAGTCATAAACGGAACTCGACTTTGACATTTTTTAATAAATTAAGTAAGGCTCACGCACGATAGTTGTTAGGTTCTAGTTATTAAAAAAAAAAACATAATAACTTAAGTTGATAGTTAATAGCGTTGGGGTCGCGAGCGCAAGAGCGATAATGTACTGATGCTCCATCTCCATGCCGGAGCAGTGGAAGGATTGGGGTGGTTTTTAGTCAGTACCTAAGAGTCCGACAACCCCTTTCAGGAGGCCCAGGGCAGTAGAAACTACCCAAAAAAATATATTTGCAGGCCCTTTTAAAATATATCTAGTTGATTTTATATGTATTTTTTTAACAATATAAGTACTGGGAAAATGATATAATCTGCCGAGCTTAAATAGCTCTTCGCTTTTCTAGGACATTTACAAAATGTTAATTCACAACTTAGCAATCGCTTTTTGTTTTGTTACAGAACAGTCGACCCTCCACAGAAGATGTATTTGCGTGTAGGTATTTGTTTTTGGTAGGTACCTACTTACATCATTTAATTAAAGCAGCTATTGCTACGGACAGAAAAAGCAGACGTTTTTCAAAAAAAAAAAAAAAATGTAACTTGACCGTAATGTCTTTCGAACTTACGATACATACTTCACTTTAAATAAAATTCTCATCCAATAGTTTTATTGTAAATTGTAAGTATTATGTAAGTCATAAATTATTGTATGTATTTCTATTTGACCGATAAGGTGTGTGGTATAATAACAGCTGTGTAGTATGTACGAGTATGTATGACTCAACCCGTTCTCCGTGAAAACAATGATCGAACAACATTGACTGAATTAGTTGGTTAATAATGCCTATAATTTTGTTCAAACATGTGTTTTGAATATTGTAGGAATTACGCCTTTCAAAATGTTACGAGGAAAAATGTTTGAACAGATTTTTATAGGTACTTACTGTTTTTTTTTAAATTGCTGAAATGCGTAAGAACCTTATTATTGCGTTTATATTTCGAAAGATCTATTGTAATCCTTTTTGATGACACTTATGTATGTCTAAAAACAGCAGTAAGTACTTTTGTTTATCTTTCTATAACATACACAATCCTAATTTTGCCGATATCCTTCTCAATTCTAACTTTGGCTAAGAGAGAATGCCATATCCATATGGCATTAAGTCCACCTAAAGTATTTTCTTACTATTTTCATTTTATGATTTTTTAAGTATGTGTAGATAGGTAAAACCAGTTATTAAATGATGTGTTTGTTTTCCTTTCTTCGTGTCTATTCGGTATTATGTCCTAGATAAAGATAATTGAGGTCAAACCTAATACAGTTTAGGACGAGCCCTGTTTGCTATGACGCATTTAATTGGTTGCGTTACTTGATACGTTATCGATTTCGCGAAGTAGGTATATCATTTATCTATCTACTAATTCAGATACTAGCTACTTATAAAAGTAACGTATTCCGGGATTTTAAAACCACAAGCGTTTAAAGCGATAGCTCGACGAAAATACGCAAATCAAGTAGTCTAGAGCACTCTAGAATATTGAAGCTATCTATTAGTGAAAGAATTTGGGAACACATATAAACATAGAAATAATACATAGAAACTTACAAATTTTACCTTCTTTATAAGTATAGACAGTAGGGTGACTATGTCCTTTATCGCCTTTGACGACTAATATGACCTTTATAAATGTTTCCTATGATGTAATGTAATTGACAGAGGGCAATTCTGATGTCATACACTAGGCAAATTAAGTGTAGTGTTGGGATATTAGAAATTCTAGTAATAAACTTTCCCAAATAAATTTTACAACCTCGCACCAAGCATATAAAATTATAATCAACACAAAATCGCCTTCTCTGTCCCTTTATCCCTATGTAGGCTTACATCTTTAAAACTACATATAGAATGGACTTTGATGCGGTTTATTTTTAAAAGAGTGATTGAAGAGGAAGGTTTATATGTATAATAACATAGTGGAGAAATTTAGTATCAGCATTGACGCATGCAACGTCGTCGTAGAGGGTCGCTAGTAAAATAATAAATATAGGTACCTATGTAATTTTAATTACAACAGAGCGTGGCAAGGCTGTCTGTCATAGCAAATTTCATTCATTTGTTTCATAAAATAAAACAAAAAGCAAAAAGTCTGTTCTACTCTAAAGCCGCTATAAAAGTTTATTACACAATGATAATATAATAATTAGAAAACACAGTTTCATGTAGGTACATGGGATTAACATGTATTCATTTATACAGAGTTTCATAGTCACGAGTACAGAAACGGACGTCAACTACAACGGCAAACAAGCAGTTGGATTACCTGATGGTAAGCAATCAGCGCTGCCCATGGATACAACGGAGGCGTTACGAGTGCGTTGCCAACTTTTTGGGGATTTCGGAGGAGAAAAATTGGGCCTCTACTAACATTACAACATTGTGGTTGTTTCACGCCGGTTTTCTGTGAGGCCGTGGTATCACTACTTCATTTCTACGCACTTATCATCACAGCTACGAATATTAGGTATAATTGAATAAAATCAACAAGATGATCTCTGTGTAAATTGTGATGACAAACATAGATACGTTTGGATTATCGTGCGTAAATTACATAACATTCATTCATTACGTACTTACTTACATGTGGCAAAGTCGTGGTAAGGATTATTGTAAACAAACCATGTAAACTACTGTTAACCTATAGGTAGATATATATTTAGTTGCAGAGGTTTGTAATTTAAGTTATTCTTTGTATATAAAAATTTCGTGTCACGTGTTTGTTCGCGATGGACTCCT